ATAAAGATAAAAGGAAACGATAAAAAGAGAAAGGTAAATTAATATATATATATATTAGTATAAAGGAAGTAGTAGTTAAAGCTACCTATATAGAATTACGAAATTTATAGGGGAACTCGACCTAAATAGGGTATTAGTATATTACCTACTTACTCTATTATACCTAATTCTAAGAAATAACTAGGAAGTCCGGCTTAAATTAGATCTAAGAGCTTAGAGAAAAAAAGGTAACTTAGGTAGGTTAATTTAGGGTATTTTAGATACTAATTATAGAACTAAAATATTCTACGTAGCTTAGAGTAACCCTTAACTAAGTAATATATATATTACTAGTAGTAGAAGGAGAGTAAAGGGATTATTAGTTTAAATTATATATATAGGGTATACTATATCCTATGACAAAAGTTTAGCGATAAACCCTACTTTTTTTTAGCGTGGGTTATCACCCCCTAACTAGCTATTTTCATTTTTTTCTCTCTTAGTAACCATACGGTCTTTTGGCACTAAAGTTTCTAGAAATCGAGGGCTAAAGGCAGAGCTTTCTTATAAATAGCGAGCCGGAATATATAGTGCCCTTAATACTAGTGTATCGGCTTCTAAACTCGCCCTCGAATATAGCTATCACCGTAGCACTATTTACCGTACTCGAGAGCGGTTTTTAGAGTAAAAGAATACAAAATCTAGACCTCGTAGCGGCCGTCCCCTAGTCTTTACCTAACGGGCTCGTAAATTTATTTATTTAAAAGCCCGCCGGAACCCTCTCTAGAGCTATAAACGCCTCGCCGTAAGCTACCCCGGATACCCCTCTCGAGCCTTAATTCGCCGTATTTATAAAGCGTACAGTTTATTTAAACGTCGCTTAGCCTAAAAGATCCCTATCCTCGTTAGAACTATAAAATAAAGATTAGTATATACTGGAAAGTAGCGGTATAAAACCGACTTTTCGGATTAGATCTTTTCGGACGAATATTCCGTCTAACGAACTTCGAATTCTAGGGTGAAATAGGCTTAGAGATTCCGATCCGAGATATACTAACGTAAACTTATAAACGCAAAGGCTTATATGAAAGACATTTTATAGATAGTTTAGGCTAGAATCTAGCTTAGAGGGTGGACAAAGTTAGTGATAATAAAGCGGGAGGTACGGATAGTTCGAGGTCGAGAAAGGGCTAGATACACTATAAAATCCTATCTTAATACGCTTTAAGAGGGCCTTATACTATATTATACACTAGGAACTATCTTCTAGTAAGATAATGCGCGGATTTATATATCTACGATTACGTAAGAGTGGTTTAAACGTTATAGGGTTTATATTAAGGATTAGCCTCCATATTCGCCTGATTTAAGCCCGATTAAGCCTTATTAGTGGATACTAAAGGTCAAATTATTAAAGATACACCCCGAATTACTATATATAGGTCGTAGTAAGCGCGACTAGACCTATTTTCGGCGTTATATACGTGCTATATAGGATGCACTTGATCAAGATATAATTGATAGTTTAATCCGATCTATATCTAGGAGATTGCTTACTGCTTAGAAAGTAAGGGGCTATTATACTAAATATTAAATTTAGTAAAAATGCTAGCTATTTAGCTATCTATTGATCCTATTTTTATTAAAATATCTATATTATTAGGGTAGATATATATAGTTGAATGTAGTGATATATATTTGATAGGGTGCGGGTAATTTGCGGGTGTCGCCAAACTTATGGTTATAGGGTATACTACTACTATAGGTAGGATAGGGCGGTAAGTAATTTCTCTTAAGCTTTATATTATTCCCCTAACTCTATCTAATACTAACGTAACTAGATAAACTCTACCGCGACTTAGTATATCCTTACTATATTTAAGCTTCCTAGATATCGACTTAGCTACGCGTTATTATCGGACTAAATCCCGGCCTATATAAATCTTATACTTTATATCTCCCCGACGCGCTATATAGGCTCTTCTAGCTCCGCTAGTACTATTATAGTAATTATTACTATTATATAGCCCTTCTACTTATACTACTATATTAGGCGTTAATATATAGTCTAAAGTATTAGGTAGCTATAATAGGACGCCTCCTAATATAGTTTAAGCTATAAGCGGAATAACTTCTACTATATCTTTATTATTAAGTTTCCGCTTTTAGGGTAAGTCTATAGGTTATATATTATATTAACTAGGTTTATCTAAATATAAAACTAGTATTAGTTACTCTAGTAGTATATCTCGTCTTATAAGAATTTAGTATCGGGGATATCTTCTTAAAAGAAGCGATTAAGGCTAAGAGTAAGAGATAGCTAATATAATATAGTAGAAGACTAAATAAGTACCGTAAGTATAGGGCGTTTCGGGGGCTACTCCGGGCTCTAAGTAGCCGTTATAATACCGCTAGACGCCGCTAATAATAGGTAGGGATATTTAGTAGTTAGCGTACTTAGGGGATATAATATTCTAAGTATTATAACGGGAGGACGTAGTAATATACGCTAGAGATCGAAGCTAGGATACTTAGTATATAGGCCTAAAAGGGGCGGTATAAGTAATATCGCTAGAGGAGGCTTAGGGACTTACCGCGACGTCTCGCTTATAGCGACCGGCGTAGTAATCTAGCTTATAGCGATCTCTATAAAAGAATCCGCTAAGTTAGAATCGTTAAGGCTACTATATATAATAGGGGGAGGTCTATAGGCGACCCTAGTGCCCTTAGAGGTACTATTAAGGGAGTCGAGATAAGAAGAGTTCGACTACTATATATATTAGTTATATAGGAGTTCTCCGGCTATAACGGGTAAGTCCTAGTAACGCGATTAGGTATATCTATTAATCTAGCCGTTAAGATAGTAGTCTAAGGTAAAACGGCGGTATTAGGAGGTAAGATATCCCTCTAGGAGAACCCGGTCCTTAACCTTAGTACGGTTAGCGCTAGTAGGGAGTCTTAGTCGCGGGATATTTACCGGCTAGATAATAATAGCCTCGTTAGTATTACCGTCGCGACTAGCTCTACCGCTCTCCTATATATAGTCTAAGAAAGTAAACGGCGGTCTAATATAGATAACCGCGCGGATATTAGGGATATTAACCCTTATCCTAAGGGCGCTAATAGTAATAATAACCTAGGGATCACTAGCGTAAAAGCGCTTAAGGATAATCTACCGATCGGGCTACTTATTATAGTAGGCGCTATAATAAAGCGTCTTAGCGAGCTACTCTACTATACTTACCTAAGATATATAGATAATTACCTTACTAAGGGTATAGTAGCTTAGATAGCCTTAGATAATATTTAGTACCTTAGGCGCTATAGTAAACTCCTATCTATAGGTGAATTACTTAGCTACTATCGGACGGCTAATATAATACGTAATATTTAGATATAAAGTATAGACGCGGAGAATATATATAGGGTCTATAGCGCTATAATTTATTCGTATAAAGAGGGCTTTCTCTTACGGTAGCGGTAGAGTAGCTATAAGATATAATATAAGGATATATATATTAATTAAGCGGGCTAGTTATATAAGGGCGGGTCGGAAATTATCGTCTACGCTAAGTAGGATATAATAGTATATCTTTCACTATATAAACTCGAATTCTATGATCTAGGAATTTAAGTGGCAGAAAATAAGGGGTCATATAATATTTAAGTAGTAGAAAAAAATATATTTAGAAGTCATATGATTATTTAGGCACTATTAGGCATTAATACCTAAAGATTTAGGCAGGGGTAGTTAGATTAGGAGTAGGGATAGTTAGATTAATAATCCCCTAGATAGGGATCTATTACGATTAAGGCCTAAAAACATACTATATTATAAGTCTTCTTATCTATATAATATCGTTTATAAAGAATAGATACGATTATATTATATTAGTAGAAGATAGAGAAAACTTCCCCTTTAGTAGTATTAAAGGACTTTAAGTTAGAATATAAATAGCCTAGGTATTAGATTAGTTCTAGTTCCGATACTAGATCGTTAGTATCCCGCCTATTAGCTACTATTATAGCTATACTAACGAGGCTCTAAAAGATAGAGAAAAGAATAAACTCGATAGGAACCCTTCTTACCTTATAACTTATACTTCCCTTTATTTAACCTAAAAACCTAGGATAGGTTTTATAGAGAAGAGGGGATAGTTATTACGGTATTACTTTATTATACTATCTTACCTTAGGCTCCCTTTTTCTTAGATAGAGGAGACTCTTCCGAATACCCTACGATAACGGGATAGAACTAAGATAATCCGGTTCCGAGAAGCGGGGAAACTAAATCATAAAAGGAAGATACCTATATAGATAGGGAAGGCAAGATTCAGTCTTATAACCAATATAGAATCGAATACCCCTCGTTCTAACTACGTATCCCTCTCGTATCATTATTCACCTAGTCAAAAAGTACTGCCTTAACAAACAGTTACCTTAACATTGTGCGTTGTAGTGGTAGTTTTCGTGGTGGACGTCGTAGCCTAAAGGCTACCTTATATGACGAAATTATCATAAACGTCCTTTTCGTCTTCGCAATAGGTGTGAATAGCCTACGATGGCCTGTCTGTCAATGACTTCATCTACCTGATAAGTGTGGTAGCCTAACGATAAAATGATTGTCACCTGTTGAGCTACTAAGCCGAATTGGGACATACCTATTCAGGCGACGGGGCAATCTATTCAGGTGACGGGACAACTAAGCCTCTGACTTAGCCTCTGGAGTTCCTCTCCTTTATAAACTCTTTCCCTCTTAAACCACCGCCATCTCCCTTTGTCCTATCCATCAAAACTTTCATCTCATGCATCCCAAAATCCATCATGCCATCTAAATGCAACCTTCGACAGAAGTTTATTGATCTGATATTTAGATCGGACAGGCGTGAAGTCGAAGAAATATCCCAGATTGCGCAAGACTTCCTTGATGGGAATCTCACACACGACGAATTCAGAGAGAAGTATGGCAAGACAAAGGCGGCCAAAAAAAGCTGCCGTCGCTGGCAGCTCATGACCTTACAATGCAGCAAGTCGGACAAATTCTCAACCTCAAACCAGCCAGCGGGGACGACGAGCTCGCCAACGTCCCATCATGTCCGATTCCGACGGAGCTCCAGAGTGTCATGAAAAAGGTTGACGCCGCCCGCTCTGACAGTCCGATGAACGAAGCAACCAGTCGTTGGACGCTCGACCTTCTACTCATATATGCGCATGACATCGTGACATGTGGCCAGCCCGACGCCGGCCAAGCGATTGCCATTCAGACAGAGCGCCACTGGGTGCTTCCTGTTAAGTTTGAGAAGCGGGACATGAACCTAGTCGGAAAACCAGACTATGCAGTCTGGTACGGCAATCCCAACGACACCGCAGTGAACGTTGTCGTTGTGGAGGCAAAGGGGGAGGGTAATGCTGGTAAGGGAATGTCCCAATGCCTTGCCTATATGGGTTAGTATCTCTTAGGATGAATGATATTGCTTGCACTACCTAGATTCTAATCGGTTTAAAGGCATGGTGCACCGACTTCGACGACAAGAAAAGAAACAAAACTGTACCGTGTACGGTATGGCGGCGGACTCGCAATGTTTTTTTTTCCTTAAGATCAACGAAAGATCAAAGGTTATTTTCTTTATTTCCTAGCGAATTGCCTTTGTCTAACACTCGAATAGTGGTCTGCTTTTTCGGTTATCGTCGCCGACGGCAAGTATGCCAAAGTTCTTGGCCTGCTTGTCTACCTTCTGCGGAAGGCAAGGGAGGCATCTCCCACCCATTCAAAGGAGTCCTCCGCCCAAACTCATACGAAGGGGTCATCCCGAGGCTCACTCTATGCAAGTGAAGATTGCATAATGGGCAATATGTGATAAAAAAATTTGTAGCCTCGCTCTGGTCTTACGTTCTTGATTTTAAGTGGATGATTTGCTCTGGGCCTCGCGTCTTTGCTTTTGCTGTAACTTGAATGAATGAAGAAGGAAAAGCTATCTATAATCGCTAATTAGTATTGAGATAACTAGCACTAGTCCTCATCAGTTCTAGGGAAACCCGGTCTATACGGAAACACCACGAGTATCACCTGAAACACCACACATCACTATGGCCTTTCCGCTGCCCCCCTAGATTATTTACACCATATCGGATGTGTACTGCAAATTACCATGTTAGGCTTAGCTTTGACTCCTTAGGTTTAGCGCTCTTTGTCCTCATGCCTCCTCATGCGTGGTTGCATATATTCCCCTGCTCTTCCCCCTCCATCCAACAGCGCCAATCTTCTTTTTCGCCTTCTTTCTCCTACGTCTCGCAGGTAAGGCATTTTTGCCATTGACCCGGGTCAGCGAGCCCCTAAGCTCCGCCACCTCCTTTTGCATGTCGGGCTCGTCGGCTCTTCTGCGATCCGACGACTGCAATCTGCGCTACCCTCCTTCTTTCGGCCCTGTTTCCCTCAGCTCCTGGAGGACCACTGGGCTCGACTATTGTGCTCGAGATTGGGCAATTTCCCCCTTGATCCGCGACATTAGCGTGCAGGTGAACCACCTCATATGTCAATCGGCCGGTCGATAGTTGAAGTTCCGCGAATATAACTGATAAAGGTGCATCAGCCCCCTTTGTAGCAGGGCACCAAATCTGCCTTGGGGGCGCACACTCCGCGTGAGAGCCTTATCTACATTAATGGAGGACGCTCGTATTATTTTGGAACCGAAGATGAACGGGATCAGACCACTCAGCGTACTTGAGTGCCCAGACTCTACCTCGGCTGCGATTCGCGTCGGCCTATAGTTACTCAGTCCGCGAGTTTACGAGAATATAGTGACGCTTCCTTCGCGATGACCGCAAAATCTCTAGAACAGCCTACAGCTTTGGAATATTTGCTGTGAGGCGACGCCGGTGGTCTATATGCAAACAATCCACCCCCCTCGACCTACACTAGTCCGTCGTGTTGTCGCAGGTATTTCAGAGATTTGCGCAAATCCTGACCCTTATGACTGAAATCTACGTTAGTTTCACGATCGATTGGCGTAGAAGGCGGGATAGAATGCCTAGGCGAACTAGGTACTACTTCTATAGCGACAGCGTGATACGAGTTAGAGATTGTAAGTGGCGTTCTTTCCTTCTTAGTCCGTCTTGCGCGATTCGTCTGCTGTTTTGGGCCATGGAATGACTGGCAAGTGGAGCTCAATCAACTTAGGAGTGATACAACTAGGTGATGAGATAGAGGGATCCGGAAATGGGTCTACTGTTACAACATCGGCGTCACGCGGACTAGAGACGACGAGGCTACCTCTCGTCTCCGTTTCATCGTCCCGCACTCGAGTATAATTTCTGAGTGCACTCAGAAATCCAATCTTTGACCACAGCCAAAAATTTTTGTACAACCTCATATCATATGGGCTGCTGATCGTGAGGGAAGCAACAAGATCTATGTCTGTAAAGGGGTCTACATTAAACAGCAAAATGCATTTCCAAGACGAGATGGCCGGCGGCAGTATGTATTCAGGCATGGTACCCTCGGAAGAGAGCCAGCCAACGAAAAATAAAGATACAAAACAACGAAACACCAAAAACAAACGCAAAACAAAACAGCAAAACAACAAAATACCAAAATCACCAAAATCACCAAGACCACCAAACGTAGAAACAGAATACTCGTTTTCTACCTTCATATCGCCTCGCTGAGGTTCTCGGAGAGAAGCAAAAACGGCCAAAAAGCCCAGAGGAACGCGACCAAGAACACCTCCTCCACCCCCAGTTTATTGAAAAGCTCCATTTTCATTCATCTCACCTCGCGAAGAGTCTCGGAGAGAAGGAAAGGATAAAATAACAGAGGAACGCCGTCCCCTCGACAACTCAGACGACCTCCGCCACCACCTCCCCAAGCCCAACGGTCTCTTTCGCCCCGCGGCAGAAGTTGCGTGTCGCGGTAGTCATGTTTGCGGCATCAGAGGCGTCTATCTTGGCCTTCTTCCTCTCCTTGAGCTTGGTCGGGGTTGTCTGGGGGTCGGGCGAGTCGGGGGGCCCCCATAATGGGCCATGGGCTTAGTTGGGCTTCGAAGGTAGGGCTTATAGCCCACTGCTGGTTGGGCTATGGGCCTGAGGTCCGGGCCCAACCAGGCCCATTGCGGAGGTCTACATAGAGTGTAGGTTATCCGGTAAACCCAACGTTAGGTCCGGTGTGAGCCTGGGTCGGGATATTCGACCTAATTCCGGTGCGTACGGAAGTCTAATGAGGATAAAGGGTCTCATCAACAAAAGGGTTAGGCACATATGTGAACTCCATTTTCCATGATCCTTTTCTGTTACAACTTATGTATCTCCCAAGTATGAGCATGTTTCTATTATTCGAAGCCCAGTGGCCTTCTACCCTAGGCTTATAACCCATCGATGGGCCTAGATACCGGGCGTAAAGCCCAGCCCCTTCTAGGTTGGGGCGGGTTAGGCTTTGGGATTTGTGGGGGGTGCGGAGATCTACATAGAACGAGTAGCGCAGAAGTATTTATGGAGAATTTCTTCACTGCAGAACAATATATACAGGAAATCTGTTATAACCGTGAACTCGCAGCTACTTATAAACTATCTCTGCAAACTTGAAGGAGAATATGTGAAGCCGGATAATCAAATAAGCGCTCAACATGCATAAACATGGCTTAGGTTGGCTTTGTCAAAGATCGCCCAAGAAGATATGCATAGACCACTCACGGCACCATACCGTAATCATCCGCCACGCCATGAGGCCATTTAGACGGTGACACCGTTGAACAGCAGCTTGCTAGTAGTGCTAGCCGGGCGGGTGGCAATAGACGAGATAGCGAGCTCGACAATACGGGCACAAGCCTTGTCAGCGGTCACACCCTCGAGAGCCATCAGGTAGGCGGCAACACCGGCAACATGGGGAGCAGCCATAGAGGTTCCAGACAGGCTCTTTGTGCTGCCACCAGGGTATGCGGCAGTGATGCTCACACCAGGAGCATAGAGGTCCACTGTAGTAATACCGTCAGTATACTTCGCACTCAGGGAGAAGTGGAGTGCTTACCAAGGGAACCGTAGTTGGTGAAGGAAGCACTGCCGTCTGTGCTGCTAGAAGCGGCGATGGTGCAGACATTTGCAGCGGAAGCAGGGGAGCTGTTCTTCGCATCCTGGGCTTCATTTCCGGCAGCCACGGAGAGGAAGATACCAGACTTGACGACATTGGAAGCGGCGTCATTCATAGCCTGAGAAGTGGAGCCACCCAGAGACATGTTCATAACAGCCTTTCCAGTGACACCGCGGGACTTTGCATCCGCAACAGCCCATTCCATGCCAGCGATGACTCCCGAGTTAGTTCCAGAACCATCGGCACCAAGAACCTTGACAGCAACGACAGTGGCCTTCTTTGCAACACCGTACTTAGTGCCCACCGCAGTCGATGCAGTGTGAGTGCCATGGCCATTGCCGTCAGTGTTGTCACTGTCAACCATGTTGGCGCCCCACACAGCGCGGCCTCCAAAGTCGGAGTGCCCGATTTCAATACCGGTATCGACACCATAGACCACGATGCCTGCGCCAGCAGTAGAGTCATAGACATAGTCGGTAGCACCGGAGGACTTGCTAGAGATGCGAGCTAGGCCCCATGAAGGAGCATTAGCCTGAACCACGTTCGCGGTCGCGTTCACAATCATGTCCGGCTCGATGTACTTGACCTATATTTTCACCGCGAGTCAGATTGCAACACTCTCTTGAGGAATGAACGTGGGTAATAAAATGTCATACCGCCGGGTCATTGGCAATGTCTTTGATGGCACTCTCATCGAAGGTACCACTGTATCCTTTCATGCCATTGATGTTGAAATGCTTGCCTGGTCCAGTCTTGCCACTGTTGCGTCTGGTGACACGGGCATGAACACTGGCAGCCCAAGTGCGGTGCTTGTCGAACTCGGCGGTGCTAACGCCATCATTCATGACAACAATGTAGGAGCTAGGAACGACCGCGTCAGAATCAGTGGCGGCCAGGATCTGAGCGGCATTGACGAGTCCCAGAGTGGCAAGGGACGTAGTGAGGACCTTGAGGAAACCCATGATTGCAGTTCGAAATGGTGTAAAGATGAAGAAGATGAAGATGAAACTCGGGAAGATGCTGATGAGAATCCTCAACTTGGGAGCAAAGAGTCCCTTTTATAACATACTGAGAGATGGAGAAGAGGACCATCGCCGCCGGTCTTCCGGGCTCAACTGCATCTCCATCTTCAGACCCTGGTGATGGGACATGTCGGACGTTGACGGAGAATGAGTAGATTAGACGGAGCAACCCATCGCTTTAGGCAACGATCTCTCTTCGATTCATCAACCCGGTACAATGCCAAGATACCCAGCAAGCTGCGATTGTAACACTCTTATCGCTAGCGCAAGATGTGCAGGTATAGCGTTTGGCTATAGCAGACCCGGTCCTAGGTGATCAGCATGCTGCATATGCAGTCATGCAGAACGTGTGAGTGTGAATCTTGGCGAGTATATTTTAGATTAATTGCGACTCTTTGCCCGTCGGGAGTCCGATGGATCGTTTAGCGCCCTGACTGGGGAGTCTCTGCAGAAACGCACGTGTTTCATGCAGGACATTGAGCAATTCGGGACTTTGAGAACATGATAGGCGTGGCCAAGGATGCGGAAACACCTAGTCCCTTGTAGTTGCAGATCTTTGCGGAAACAACAACGGAGTGGGTCTCGGGGATAGGGTTGGGCTTACAGACGTTGCAGTGAACAATCACCACGATGGTTCAAGTCTCTTCTTAGCCCCGCGAAGGTGTATCACGGCCAAAGCTCAAGTGGCAGAATGGCATGTTGTGAGGCCTGAATGACCCATCGATGCCTGATTTTGGAGCCAATGAAAAGGCTCGAATTACCAGGACCCTGACTAAGCCGCCCCTCCAATTTCCGTGGCAGGAGAAATGATCCAAATGAGGGTATTCGCGCCATAGAACGTTCCAAAAGGACTCCCTGATAGGAGGAGCGGACCACGCGTCCGCGGTTAATACTCTCTTCTATTCTTTTTCTATTTTTCTCTTCTTCCCTTCTTCCCTTCTTCCCTTCTTTTTCTCCTTCACACATCCCCTATTCCTTGCCTTAATCACTGCCTCTTTCACACTTCTACCAAGGTAAACCTCCCTCGCCGAGTCTGACTCCGTTGCTGAGATAACCCCGTTGCTTTGTAGGTTCATCAAGTGGAATTAGGTAGGTAAAGACTTTTGCACGGTCGGAATAGCTTCGTTTCTATCGGAGATGCATGTGTTTATATTAACAAAACACAACTATGGTGATAAAGGCGGTCCAAATCGCCGAAGATGGGAAGGAAGCTATCTAAGAGGAAGAGGCTACTTCTAGCACAGCGAGGAGAAGTGATAGGACTTCAAGCAGATCGCCTGGGCCAAAGCCATACTGATATACACATCCCATTCATACTGTTCGTCCTGGCAAGTTATTGCTGGGTGTCTCCCTCAGTCCATAGTTTCTTAGCTTAGTGTAGTCTTCTTCCTCAATCAACGTCTTCATGATGCATTTCGAAACCTCTCTCAGCAGTAGACTCCGACAATCATATTTCCCCTCATCCCTTTCACTAGTAAGTGTACCGATAATCAGGATGGCGATCCCCCGACATGGCGAGTTGCTGTTCGGGAGTCATAGGTTCCCCCCTTGTCGCCTCATCTGTGGCTCTCACACTCTTCCTATTGTTCAGCCACTTCAACAGCAGGACTTGTCCTGCCACCAGAGCCATCCCAGTGGAAATCACACTGATATTGACCATGGTCCCCATTCGAAAGTGGGGTGCCGATGACTTCGGATAGATCCAGGTACTCAAGATCCCGCCTGTGTTTGTTGCAATAAATGCCATAGCCACGGCGGTTGCACGTCGTACATGTCCAGCAGTATTGTTTGGAACCCAACTGATAAGGCATGGTGCACAGGCAAAGGTTCCCGTTAAAAGTAGTACAAGTGCAGCATACCGTTGGCCCGTCCCTTTGGCGTTGAGAGCCAGTGCTGCACCGATGAGTGCAATACCGAAGGTAATGAATGCACAAAGCCCTCGTTGGCGATACCGATCAGCAAAAAATGCGCATATCATGGTAACGACGAAGGCACAGGCATACGGCGGCACTGTCATCAGCTGGGTTTTTGTGCTACCATACCCCAGGGCCTGTACAATTGAGGGTGAAAAGTATGCCAACCCAAACAAGCAGCAACCGCTACAAAAGAGCGCAAAGCAGGCTACCCAAACGTGGAGATCGGCCAGGACCGAGATAACCTCTTTCCAAGTCACCTTCTCGTTTTCCAGGAAATTTTGATCAAGGCGTAACCGAGCCACGCAATGTTCGATGTGTTGCGGAGTGAATGTCATGACACTATCCGGCCCATTGGGTAGTAGGAAGAATGAGACGATACCGAAACAGACCGTGAACAGCCCTTCGAGGAGGAAAATCCACTGCCAGCCCCTGAGACCGCGCATTCCATCCATCTGCTGGATCGCGGCGGCTAGTAGACCGGAAAATGCACCGCTCAAAGAGGCTGCCGAAAAGAAAAATGCAATACGCATCTGCAATTCATGTCGTCGATAAAACCCAGCGAGGTAAAGAACAATTCCCGGGAATAATCCGCCCTCTAGGAGCCCTAGAAAGAAGCGACATGCGAGGAAGCCTTCATAATTATGGATCTGGGACTGTAACACTGTAACAGTTCCCCAGCCAGTGCACAGGACGGGCAATAGAATTCGTGGACCCACGGCTTTCAACAGCAAATTGGAAGGAAGTTCCGCGAGGATATACGGGACGTAGGTCACAGTAATAGCTGCGATGATCATTAATTATGGTGTTCCTATGGTACCCTAGCCTATAAGCATCTCACTTGCCTGTTTTGTATTGATGGTCACTTAGGTTGAGATCCTTTTCAAGGCCAGCCTGAATGATCAATATTGTAAGCCGGGTGCGGTGGAGGATTGAAGGAGATAAAAACTTACAACTCGCGCATTTCCCACATTTGCTCGATCTAGCCAGGCCAGAAGGTATAGCATCAGAGTTAGCGGAATCAAAATTGAATCCAATCTGCGCAAAGTTGAGCGTTCTAGCCTTTGTGCCTCGACACTCAGGGAAGTCTCGTCAAACAAAGCATCTGATTTGAGATTCTCGGAATTGGGATCCCTTGATTCATTGGTAATCTCGACCATCCTGAAGGGAGATCGGTATTGCAAGAACTTGAGTAATGAAAATCTTTGGGCAAGCGATTCGAAAAGCCGAAGAAGCGATCCTATATTTAAGTTGTGATTGACCTTCAACAGTCATTCAACGAATCATTGACACACATCTAGCCCTGAAATGGCCAGCAGAGCCGGCGGTATTTTACATATCCCGGCGATACGAAGCAGTGAGAAGCGCGATTAATCGAATCAATTTGCCGCGATCGAGTACCGAACGCATGCCCACATGTATATTCCAGAACCAGTTGTGATGGAGGAAATATAGCCCGTGGGCCCCCAGACTATGTAGGGCACAGGTTCGTTAAAACCTCCGCCTGAATGTAGGTAGAATGTGGTCTTCATGACGCGTGTACCCGGACTAACTAGGCGGCAGCTTATAACGATATATTTTGACAGATTCATCATGACACCAAATTAGCTTGAGGTTTCTACGATCTGAATCCTGATAGATATTGAAAAAAGTAGTCCTGTGCCTAGAATTCCCAATAAGAGATGGTGATCTACTTATACATCCTGTCACTAGTGCGAAACTCGGATGTAGATGGTTCGAGTAAACCATACCCCAAGGGGTGCCCGCAAAACGGATGGGAACATTCGATGGCTAGACGCTCGTGAATCAACCCCAATCAACCAACCTTCCTAGAAAGGCGTGAAGCCCACGTATGGGAGGCGTTCACGTATAAAGGAACGAAGGCCCAACTAAGACAACTTTGCGTTCTGGCTGTCCACTCAATGATGAGAAATCAGTTTGCCGAGAATGCGTAGTCAACATGGCATGAGCACCCGTCAAGAAAATCCTCTCGATGCAGTAGAAATACCCGATTGGTGACGCCACGGTACCCCCGGGGCCAGTTTCAGTTCTCCGCCAAGAGTTGTCCCCACGAAGCCCCCTTTTCCAAGGTGAATCCTCCTGTGGGCTCCTGAAATGAATTAGTCACATCAAGGGCACTCGGGGTTCTTTAGAAATGCAGCAGTATGAATGATCTTTGGGATTTTCCTGATATACAATATGGTTCCTATGAGGGTCCAGTGAGATCGGATCGGAGGACCATAGCGTACGGCAGACATCGATCACGGTGGTGTAGAGTCATGAGTTAATCGAAAACGACAGGTTCCCCGCATCCCGGGGGCGGGGAAGTGGAGATCAGGGCCATCCCGCTTGCCTAGGCTGTTCCCGGGGTCAAATGCCGCTTTCTCTAAGCCAACCACCGGTATCATACCGTATGTCGATCTAAATAAAAGACCCGAGGCACTACGGAGTATCTTGGATTCTTTTCCGGGGTCCGCAGTCCGGGGTCTGGGATTTTAGAGTCCCGTCTTTCTTTCTCTGCCATCACTCCTGGCGACTTCAAGTCTGGAACAAACAGATTGCTTCGGTATGTCACGAATCTGGCAACTAGTACAATGACTGAGGCCTCAATCACGGCCGTTGCTGCGAAAGCCAGACTCGCTGTGTGCGTTAACTCATGGCCACCCTTGCACAAGCGCGGCAAATCTACGTGCGTCGCAGGATCTCAGCCTCCCTTGCAAATCAGAAAAGGTCCTTTCTCTCGCTGTCGGTGACTCTAAAATTATCGTGCGCGTCGGTTCACAAATCTTCCAACTCATTGCAACTTTTTAGTTGATTCTGGGGTACCGTGGCCTAGCTATTGACGATTGTATTTGAACAGGTTACACTCTCATAGCGCTCTCTAGTCCGAGGATCAGTTCCTGAAGCTCACTGAAATTCAAACACCCTCGACAATAGCATCTACTTCAATCTCAACTAACATCTCCTCATTGATGAACCCCCCGTTGACCACAATCATTGTGGCTGCAACTCCCACACAGCCGTGCTCACTTTTGTTATGCTTCCCTAGAATCTCGCTAAAGCCTATGCCCACACCCTCGCAGTTTTCATGGCGACTAACAAACATCTTGACGCGAACAATATCCTCCGGCCCTGTACCCCCAAGCTCACGGATAGCTCGGATACATTCTTCTAATGCAACACGTGTCTGTTGTCGGGCATCATTTGCGTGAAGAATTCGTGGTGCGCTCGCTGGAGAACAGGGATCTACAGCGGTAGTTCCGGATACGAAGATTTGATTACCACGTCGAATCGCTCGGTAATACCCAATTCTAGCTTCGTATGGAGAGGATGTTGCAAAGCACCTTTTTGCCGATGCAGACGCCATGCCTAGGAAATTTGTCACAGTGTTCAACTACATATTATCTTAGTCAAGCAAACAGACGTGGAGGAGGAAGTGATGTTACCAGATATCAAAAGCTTCCGTTGAATGGGACGCGCCAATATTTTGTCCTTGAATGAGAAGTGTCACCTTTATAGCCAAAGGTCGAGTCATAATAGATGTGTGTCATACGCCCAAGCTTGAAGTATCCCGACATGAGTCATAAGATGCGGCGTCTTAAAATAACACCCACAAATCTCAATCTCGTACGGGGTACCGCGGAAACCCTCGCTTGTGTTGTGTTTGCTCGTCTGATTATTGCTTTTTTTTCCTAATTGCCATTATAAATAGACAATACACTCGTAATATTTGGTCTTCCCTTTGGTCCGAAGGATAGTTCGAACCCTTGGGCTACAAACCCAGTCCCATCTCGAGATATCTCAACAATCTCTGCAACCGGCTGCAGACCGTCTTTACCAACTGCTTTCATTCACCCGCCGATTCGAATGGGCTATCGGCCAATGGAATCAAATATGGGTCGAGGGGTGGAGTCCCATCAAATGTTTTATCCAAGGGCCACATTGGACGATGAATTCGTCGGTGCCCAAGACGCTGCAGATTTTGATCAACGCCGCCCAGAGTCAATGCCAGCATCCAGTCTGCAGCCATGTCAAATAGCTCGGGTTCAAGGTATCCAATCTTGACTATCACGATGTGAGTCGATCGAGGATTGAGATTGAGACCAGTAAAATCACTCTCGTGGTGATATGGCTTGCGTAGCTTGGTCAGGATTGTAAACACACTTCCAACCTGTAAGACCGCTTCAATTCCAGCGTCATGATCCCCATACCGGATGGAATGAACCCTTCCAGTCATTGTGACGGGCCCTGCATGCATATCATCGATCTGTGCCCCAGCAGTGACAGTCACCACAGCCCCTACGCCGGCCTTGATGATAATATCAATTGCCTGGGGCCCGGGAAGACTGGCGTAAATGACTGTTGGACCGGTTGCTTCCCAAAATTCCGGTCTCTTCAAGAGATGAAGCAAGCCGAAAGTTACATCGCCCGATCCCCCAGCGGTGGGATTGTCCCCGGAATCAGAGATGAAAAACGGTCTCTTTGGCGATGCCAAAGCACTGTCAATACATATGGACAACGAGCCGGTTGGCGCCACGAAATGAAATTCTTCGCGAGCTCCCCAAAACAAACATGCAAGTCGCTTCGCCGCTTTCGTGACAGCGGTCTTGTCCCAGCCTGTTACCATTACCACCGCATGATTTCGTGGTTCATCTGCCCACGCATATCCAACCCAAATGGCTGCATCAAGAATGTTTTCCGTTGCTTCGATATCAGGAATAAGCGCATACAGGCCTTTCGCTGGTTCATTGCGTGTCGAAGTCTGCTCGCCCGGTAGCAAGATAGGGATTGGGACCCATGCTTTGAACGGTCTGATCATTTCCACGGCGTCCCTTCGTGAGGTCAAAACGTTAACAAGATTCCAACACGCGCGTTCCTTGGTTTCTAGCTCATCTTCATGCGGTGCCATCCGATAACAAGTAATCAGATCGGTCTGGTGGGCCAGCTCTCGCGACACATTGCCATGTAAATCCATCGACGCCGAAACCAACACTTTTGGACCGATCACACTCCGAATCCGGCGGAGAAGCTCTGCCTCAGCATCTTCCATTCCCTCCACACACATTGCTCCATGGATATCATACCAGAGTCCATCGATGGGTGTTGATGCGACTATCGCTGCCAAGCGGTCTACGATCTCGCTGGAGAGTGCTTCGAAATCGGCACGAACCACGATTCCCCCTGGGAGTGCATGGCCTATGAGTGCTCCTTTCCAGTCTGCCGCATTTCCTAGACGGGTGCCACGGTGCAGAAAGCCGTACTCTTCAATCACCTCTGGGCCGCGGCGTGGATGAAATGCCCCGCCGAGTGTCCGAGCGGGGAAAACCCGGACGTCTCACAGGCAAGTCCTGCGATCGCGATTACTGGGTGTTGCGGCATTCTCAAATGGATGTCTTGAGATTAAATGCGAAGCGGGCGTGCTCGTTACTTTGAAGCTGCGCGTAGAACTCGTGACGGTAGACCAGAGTTGGGATGGGTTTATGTTGCTCTGGTCTCACGTCGCTTCGACACATCTCTCCCCGCTCTACGAACAAGAGTCCTGGACGGAGGTATCTCCCTCCATACCGACCGTATTCCAAGCTCATGAGGGATTGAGAAATAATTTTGCACGTTATGATTGTGCCTCGTTGCACCTAGGTAACTGAGGCAACGCCCTGACCTGTAAATCGTCCAGCATTCTGTTTTCCTCGGGCTGCTGGGGCCATCTTCTCACCTTTACAACATACTGACCCACGATAATATCACCTTGAGTCATGAATCCGCTCCATTCTGAGCCGCCGACCTTGGAGATCGCTTGTTTTAACTTGGAATCAGCCCTGATTGCTGTAAAAGCAGGAGCAGATCGCATCGAGTCAGTATTGGACGATGGTAGCCTCGGAATATGTGTCTGCAGGCATGCCATCTGATTGTCTCCTTTGTTGTTTTGTGGTTTTGGTGTTTTTGGGCCCTTGCAATCTTCTTCCTTCATATCACTGACTTGACTCAAGGCTATGCCAGGATTACCACTTGGGGGGTCTCTCGGCCGACACTGCGATTCTCCGACGATTGAAGTCACAGCTGGCAATCCCAATCCCAATTTATGCGATGATTCGACCACACGCCGACCACTTCTATTACGAACCTTCGGAATTTGAGGTGATGAAAAAAACCGTTGTTTCCCTCAAATCCCACGGAGCTGATGGTTTCGTATTCGGGATTTTGAAGCGATGCTCGGAGAACGCGCGTGATCCAACCAACTCTTGGATCGATGTACCGCGTAATAAGGAGCTTGTCCAAATAGCCGGACGACCCTGCACATTTCATCGTGCGTTTGATACCATTCCCGAGTCCTCCTGGGAGAACGCGTTGACCGACATCATGAACTGTGGCTTTGCCTCGATTTTGACCAATGGCGGGCCTTCAGGGACAAAGGCCACGGACTGTGTGGACAAGCTGCAAAGGCTGGTGCGTTGGAAGGAGGCACAACAACACTCTCAGGACAATTCTCAGAGCATCAAAGTTCCAGAAATCATTGTTGGGGGTGGAGTGAGGACATCCAATCTCGGCTTGCTTTATCGGAGCACGGGCGCGTCCGCTTTCCATTCCGCTGCCCTGGTGGGTTCGGATGAAACTGCATGTGAACACGAGATTTTCCAAATGAAACTTCAGATATCATGAGCACCGAACTCAAAATCTCATTCCTTGCCAATCTGCCCACGACCATGACTATATGCTTCAACCCACCTGGGCTCACCGTGTTAAGCGTAACGATATTGGAGTTCAATCCATGGAGTGCTCCGTGCTTCTAACCAGGATGCAAAATGGCCTGCTAGCGAATGATTTATCCGGGCACAGGAGCATATGTACGGAGGAGCTACGGATATGGAGTCCTCCGTACTCACCTGTAGGTCGTACTTCAGGGGTGCCATTAACCCCACCGCGGGAAGTGAGGAAGTGACGCCGAAATTCCGTCAACTGGTACTTTTGCCGTGGACATCGAAGCCCGGTGTGTATATCTGATGATATATAGGTACGCGTATAGGTCTTTGGGTGTTGTGAGACCATCTACACCCATTGCTCACTCGGGATCTCTCGGTGCAAGCCGAATGTAGCTGGACCGGAACATGAACGTACAGTGAGCCCTATAGTACTCCGTGGGCGATGCCCCGAGATCCAAGTGCAGTGGTAGTACTTCGTGGGTCATCCTCCGAAGTCACCAATCGTGGTGTCGGGGGAACGCTGGCAGTGCTCCCGTGTGGAGCAGACGCAAGGTTTCCGACAAAAGTTGCAGGATTTCCGCGACCAATGAACGGCTTCGCAGGGGAAAAACGGTGGAATGGCAGGTTGGCTTGTGCGGGGCTAAATTGGTCTTTATTTTGATTCTTCTCATTCTTCTTGTTCTTGACCAACGCTGAAGATGGACACTATTGCCGTAGATCCAGTTTTGTACAGCGCGGTCGAAGGCCCTTATAGCCCCGATGACTGGCAGTCGTGAGTGGCCTCGTCTTATGTCTTCCGATCCATGGAGATATTCACATCTCACTAGCGAAACCACGTCGATCGGGTCGTCGATTTATCGTGGTCTGATGGATAATGGGAGGCGGTAAGAAATGAGAAATGCTCTTTGGGTTGGCGCGTCGATCTCTAATGAGCATCTAGATATCAAACTCTCTCAAGAAAGGAATATTGGTACGTGGTGCGTTTTTTGGTCTTTTTTGGTCTTTTTTGGTCTTTTCCTTCTTTTCTCCTGAGGAAAAAAGGAACAGCAGCAGCAAAGAAAAGAACATCAAAAGCAGAATAGAACCAGACTCATTCCTCATAGTGTTCCGTCCGATGAACAACAATTCGAGACCTATGAAGCAGGGTATGATGCAATTCCTATTCCCGGCCGCAACATTCTCTCACGATTGCAGCCACCTGGTGGATCTCATCTTAGATTCAGATCGAGATAATCCTCTGTTTCGGTCGCCCGTCGGAGCAGACCGAGAACGCCCATTGCAGATCCTTGATATTGGCACAGGAAAGGGGACTTGGGCTATGTATGCCGGACCCTTATGATGCGACAAAAGCCAATACTAAATATTGCTAGCGATGTTGCGGATATGTTCCCTAATGCGACTGTTCGAGGTGTTGATCTCTTTCCTCCCCCGGTTACTTGGATGCCACCCAATTGCGTTATTGAGGTTGACGATGTGCTTCAAGAGTGGACATGGCGCGAGCAATTCGATCTCATCCACATGCGCAATATGATCGGATCGTTTGACTCCTTTGAGTGGGACCGTGTGTACCAACAATGCTTTGAGTAGGTCTATTGCCGAAACTGTCTCAGCCAATCTGACCGCACAACAGCAAAATGGCACCCGGTGGATGGATTGAGCAGCTCGAGGTCGGTCCATTCATCACCAGTGATGATAACAGTCTCCCGGGAGATAGTGCCTTGGCCTCTTGGGGTCCCTATATGAAAAAGTGTGGTGATCTCGCCGGTCGCCCTTGCGATATCCTCCTCACTATGTCGGAGAGCATCAGGAATGCAGGATTCGTCGACGTACACGAAAAGGTCTACAAATGGCCCATTGGGCCCTGGCCCAGAGACCAGAAATTCAAAGAGGCGGGTGTGGTTAATTGCCAACACTGGATGTCGGGTATGGAAGGATGGTGCATGTGGCTGCTAACCAAGTTTGGTCACCCCGAGCCCTGGACTAAGGATCAAGTGTATGTATACTGTGCGAAACTTCGCACTGAACTAAAAAATCCTTATTACCATGCCTATCACAAAGCGTAAGTGTTCATTGGTGTTACATTCCTCGGTCGCCTAATTGACCGCCATCACAGGAGAAAGGTATGGGCTCGCAAGCCGATGCCTGGTGAAATCCAGACTCGGTCATCCAAATCCAGCTCCAGCTCTGCGACGGCCAGATCTTGAATATGGCACCAGGTTCCATATCATATGGTTTATTGAGAACCACCTACCTCCATATTTAGGTAGCAACTTCAGACGTTCCTGCTTTGGCTTTTGGTCGCCCCGTATCCTGTGGAGGGTCGGGCTGGCCTTTGGTTGTTATATATACCTTCTTTTGCGTCAGACTTCGCGCAGGCTCATTGGCTTGGGGCTAGCTTCTACCTAGATATATGTATGTAGGTACATGTAATCATCGCAACGACCATTTACGAGATTATGTTATAGGGTGTGCGCTACAAATGCCCAATGAATAACGAGCTTAGAATAACGTGGCTAGAACCTAGACCAGTGGTATTGGACAACATAGAGATCCAGAGGCGAAATACGGTATCAGAGTACAATCTTCTCTCGGATATACAAGTGAAAGGGACCTCAGCAGCATTGAAGCATGTTTCCGGAGGTTTAGATTTCGTCGTCATTCTATACTCAGCCGATGCCTAGCTCTGTCGATTTTTCGCCAGTTCAAAAGCCCGGAGGATGTTAAGGCCTTGATGCCCAGTGGGGAACAATGGGAGTTTGTATCGACCATTACAGGACTGAACAGAAAGCTGAACGTCTTGCTCCGTTGCCCAATCGAAATTCTGGTGCTCTATTGCTTCGAGTCGAACAGGTATTTGGAGCGTTGGCACCTGTTCCGGTTTTGCGGATTCTCGTAGCGCTTCTTGAACCTCAACAATGAATGAATATTTGATGATGCGTATTTTGTCGCTATTGCGGCGATGATGCTCCCAGCAATCTACCGCCACGAGGTCAATAACGCGAGACACGTGTAACCCACTCTCTTCGAGCGTTTCACGAACAAGGGAATCGAGTATTGTTGGATCACTTTCTTCGCATGCACCCCCGGGTCCCTCCCAGCACCCAGGCATTGAGTCGCTCAGTGATCGCTGGAGAAGCAGAACGCGCGGGATGGGATCGGCATGCGAAAAGATGTACGCGCCGACACCAAACCCTTCAAACTCAGGCCGGGCAGCCACGAATTGGGCGAGGGGAATCGTAAAGTATTCAAGATGAGGAGCAACCGTATAAGTCATATTGATTGGAGACCCCCAGGTACGAGGAAATTTGAAACAGGTCAACGCCCAGTTTTCGGCTATTTTACTGCCTTCCCCGCCAGGTAACCGAATACGAACTTGGTCTACTGAGATTCGTCGGATCTGATCCTCTTGAATGTTCTCTTCGGAGCATAAGTCTCGTCACAACCTTGGAAGAACTGCAACCGCTGACATCCAATCTAAGGGGTGGGGTGGATGGGACTTCAATTCGTGTTTTCTAAAACCAAAAGAAAGAAAAAGAAAAGAAATATGGATATGGAGCTATATTATATACATCCAAGCTCTAAATTTACGTTAATTCGCTTTTGCTTCTCAACAATCCCACTATCTAGAACATTCATCGTTTGAGGTATCACAGGAAGGGTCGCTGAAGGGGACAGGGTTAATCGTGGCCAAATCTACAATGAAAATGGCATAGTTGGAGGATCGAAATCTGATGGCTTAATTGAAGACAACAGTCTTGTGGCCATTTAAGATCACGCGGCGCTCCGTCACATACTTGACGGCGGTGGCGAGCACGTTGCTCTCCACGTTGCTACCGGCATGGGTCAGCTCTTTGGGACTCATGCCGTGATTGACCCGAACGACGTTCTGTTCGATGATTGGGCCCTCGTCTAGATCACTAGTAACGAAATGGGCAGTGGCACCAATAATCTTCACACCACGGTCGTACGCCTGGTGGTAGGGTTTGGCGCCCTTGAAGGATGGCAGGAAGCTGTGGTGGATGTTGATAATGCGCCCAGACATGGCAGTGCACAGGGTTGGCGATAGCACCTGCATATACCGAGCCAACACAATTAAGTCAACGTTGTGTTCGCGCACCAATTCCAAAATGCGGGCTTCCTGCTGCGCCTTGGTCTCCGCGGTGACAGGAAGATGGTGGAATGGGATATTATAAGTGGCCGCAAGGGTAGCGAAGTCCGGGTGGTTGGAAACGATCAGCGGTACCTCGATGCTCAGCTGGCCAGTAGATTGGCGGAAGAGCAGGTCATTGAGGCAGTGGCCAATCTTAGAGACCATGATCAGCACGCGGGGCTTCTTCACGGTGGGGTTGATCTCGAAGTTAAGCGCAAAAGATTGAGCGGTGGGCTCAAAATCGGCGCGCAATTTCTCGAGCTCGGGTGTGGCATCACTTCCGGTAGCAAGGGCAAACTGGGTGCGCATGAAGAAGCGTTCCGATGCAGGATCGCCGAATTGCGACGAATCGATGATATTAAGGTTGTTCTGCACAAGGAATGCAGTAACGGCGTGGACAATGCCAGGGCGATCAGGGCCGGAGAGGGTCAAGATGAAGCTAGGAGACATGATGAGTGAGACGACGGTGTTGAATCCGCAAGAGACCTTTCAATAGCTGGGAGATGTTGAAAAGACCTGGTTTTTTTTTTTTTTTTGGTGAATGCCACCCGAACCGGTTTCGGCGATGACTCATCCTGCGATCGGCACCTGGGCATCTATTTGTCCGACTTCTTTGTTCCTCAGAGACTCCTACTTCGTATTGACAACATATCAGATAGTCGATCTTCTTCGCCTACATCTTCTCTGTCATCTACATGGGTGCTTTGAAATGGGTCTTGTATTCATCACTCGAACACTGGATATTGTTACAAAGATTCCGCCAACCTAGAGGCAGCCGGTTCTATTTCCTCTCCTGTCAACTGAAAGCCACCCCGGCACAGTGGGAGTCATGAGACTGCAAACGAATGCTGCAGAGGCATCAGTCCAAAGCTCGGCAATCATTGCTCCACCCTTGTGACGAAACGAAATTACCCCAACTACGGAGTACGCTAATGCAGCATTGCACTCCAATGAGCTAGTGTGCGTAGCCAACTTACCGAGGATGGGTGTCAAGACATCCCAATGATCTATCCCCCTGCATAGTCCCGGCAATGACTACCTCGTCACGGATCTGAGAAACCTTCCTCGTATGGATTGCCCGACCGTTTATTTTATTTTATTTCATTTTTGTTTCATAGAACTCTGGAGCAACAAATCGTGGTCCCTTGGCTAGTTCGGAGACGGATCATGTAGCCGCTGCTGGTTCATCCGTATAATGTCAACCCTAGCAAGCATTCGGAGGGCATTCGTTACCGACGTGAACAACCCGTGATTCTTCTTACGCGACACGATGTGTTATTACAGGTGGCCCATTACGGGTAGCCTCCGGGCCATACGAGTAACACCGATAACCAGGGCGCCTCCTGGTGGAGATGTCTTCATTTCCTCCACAGTGGGGTTTGAGGAACGCCCTCCGTGTCCCCGGAGTACTCTTCGCACTTCCACTTTAGGACACACAATGCCCTCTTGTTCTACGGTCATACGGACCGTTGAGCCGTGATATGGAGCTGGACTTGAAGCATTTCATATCTCTTGGTGGATATTATTTTTCAAATATAAAAGGGTCGATATCTCTGTTTCGTCTGCAGATATCCCACCATCTCCCCAAGCATCCAAGATCTTCGCATTCTGGACATCATGGCCTCGATTCTCTCCTTCAACGTTTACAAAAGTGCCTTGCTCTTGGCCACCTTCCTCAGTGCTACACAGGCACAGCAAGTGGGCACCAGCACTGCCGAAATCCATCCATCCCTCACTTGGCAAAAGTGCACCACCGGAGGCAGTTGCACTACCCAAAATGGCAAGGTTGTCGTCGACGCTAACTGGCGTTGGGTTCACAACACTGGCGGTTACACAAATTGCTATACTGGAAATGACTGGGATAGAACCCTATGCCCGGATGATGTTACTTGCGCCGCAAACTGCGCCCTGGAAGGTGCCGATTACTCGGGCACCTATGGTGTCACTGCTAGTGGCAGTGCGTTGCGCCTGAACTTCGTCACCCAAGCATCTCAGAAGAACATCGGCTCGCGTCTCTACCTGATGGCGGACGACAGCAAATACGAAATGTTCCATTTGCTCAATCAAGAGTTCACCTTTGATGTCGATGTCTCGAACCTTCCCTGTGGGCTGAACGGTGCTCTCTACTTCGTCTCGATGGACGAAGATGGTGGCATGGCAAGATATCCTACCAACAAAGCCGGTGCTAAGTACGGTACCGGCTATTGTGACGCACAATGCCCGCGTGACCTCAAGTTTATCAATGGACAGGCCAACGTGGATGGATGGGAACCCTCCCCCAATGACGTCAATGCTGGTACTGGAAATTATGGCTCGTGTTGTGCAGAGATGGATATTTGGGAGGCCAACTCGATCTCGACCGCGTTTACACCCCATCCCTGCGACACCCCGGCCCAAGTTAGGTGCACTGGGGATGCCTGTGGCGGTACATACAGCAGTGATCGTTATTCCGGTACTTGTGACCCCGACGGATGCGATTTCAACCCGTACCGAATGGGTAACCAGTCTTTCTATGGTCCGAACAAAATCGTTGATACTGAATCTCCCTTCACCGTGGTGACTCAGTTTATCACCAACGACGGGACATCCACCGGCACACTCTCAGAAATCAAGCGCTTCTACGTGCAAAATGGCCAGGTCATTCCCCAGTCTGAGTCCACCATCAGTGCTGTTAGCGGCAATTCTATCACGGATTCCTTCTGCTCTGCTCAGAAGACCGCATTCAAGGACACCGATGTCTTCACTAAGCACGGCGGCATGGCCGGCATGAGCGCTGGTCTTGACGAAGGGATGGTCCTGGTGATGAGTCTCTGGGATGACCACGCGGCCAACATGCTGTGGCTCGACAGTACATACCCCACCAGTGCCTCTTCTACTACTCCTGGTGCTGCTCGTGGGAGCTGTGATATCTCCTCTGGGGAACCTTCTGACGTTGAAGCCAACCATGCCGATGCCTATGTAATCTACTCGAACATCAAAGTCGGTCCTCTCGGCTCGACTTTCAGCTCTACCAGCCCGGGGTCTGGCACTACCACCACACAGGCGACGATCACAACCACAACCACATCCAAGACCAGTACCACTACTACTGGACCAAGCACCACTGGCGCTCCTCGCTATGCGCAGTGTGGCGGATCTGGCTGGACCGGTGCAACCACTTGTGCTAGCCCGTATACCTGTGAGAAGCTGAATGACTACTATTCTCAGTGTCTGTAGGTAGAGAGAGGTAATCCTTGGGAATCCCGCAGTTGAATGTGGCACCGTGGTGAAGATGAGAAATGTTTGGTCCCAAATTGTTACGGTGACGTGTTGTGCTGAGTTTGTTGTTGAATACAAGCGAGTCCGTAGGTATTTACTGAATCAGACTTTTTTTATGTTCACATCTTAAGTTTTCATCGAGGTTTCTCCTTGGAAAGCTTCGTAAGAATTTCTATTAGTTCGGATCAAGGCTTTGATGCGGACTACAAACACTAAAGAGTCTCTTTTGTGTGCAATGCCCCAAAACATACATCAGCACATGTAGTCACAAGGTGTTTCTTTTTCTTTTTCTTTTTTCTTTTTCCAATTTCAATGACATGTTCCAATATACAAGGTAGGCCGAGTTGTGTACATAGATACCGACGTGTAGAGGTACTAACCACTGGTGCCATATTAGACTTCCACCTATAGGAATCTATAAACGGACTTTTATCCGCTACGAATGTCCGAGGTGCATATAACCCCCGCATCAGGAATATGATGTCAGCCCATGGAGACACGGTATAGCCCATTGGGCTGCCAGATCAAATGCTTGTGGCGCTCGTCCGTCGTGAAGAATTCATGCAGAAAGTGTCATGACGGAGGATGCTCCGACTAGTCAAGCCATGATAACGCCCTCACCTCTACGGGGTATTGAAGGTGGCGTACATGGAGAACCAGTCCACTCTGAGAAGTACCTAGGATATGTCGGGTGGTCTCGTGGGGAAATTGCATTTGCGGGGAATCAGGAGGTGGTTTAATTACCCGAAGAGGACAGGGGGGAATACCTGGTATCACCCTGAATACACCTCAGTAGACATGGCAATTAGCAAATAACTAAGCCTTTTGATCGTCAACTGCGAACTCCTATGATTGCTGTTGATCATCTCTCTTTTAGAATCTGATCGATTGATTAGTCCGGGGTTTTGACATGAACTGGTGCAAGTGCCAGCAAATGATATGGAACAGCGGCCGAGTCCTGTGTTTCTATTCGTCAAAAGAGATGACGAATATCTAAATCCCGGTCGATGTTACCTTGTCCCCTGTTGTTTTGTCCTCTTATAGCCCTTACTCCGTGCATCTGCCGGATCAATCCCTAAAACAGGCTTAGGCTAGTTGCTGTCTGCCAGGAAACATCCGGTGCTTGGCAACCATCGACTCTCATTGCTGAAAGGGCTTCAATTATCATAACTGGTTGGGTTTCACATTGAGTATATCTCATGCTCATTTTCAAGTACGTGGCAGACATGCACAATGCACCCCAAACTTTACAGCGTGTACAGTGGCGTCCCCTTCCCACATAACCTCATCTCCGAGATTGGAGCCACTAAGGATCTCAAATTCCGTGCCCGATCTGGTCACCATTTTATTTGGCTCTTCAGGGAGGCATTTATTCTGCAAACCCATTCCAGTCCGGACGGCGGTCCGACAGCCGGTTGGGAGCCCGAAGAAGGCATCCCTCCATCTCACTCCGGGGAGAGGGCGCTTGCTACCACGTCCTAGAAGAAGTTTGGACGTTTTCTTCTCATAAAGTTAACATGAAGTGATTATTTTCGATCAGGATGTTTGTTCCTTGCCGTTGTTGATCCATTCTAACTTGGTATAAATCCTATTGCGCCCTCCGCTACTCCGTACAATTGAATTCCATCAGATACAAGAAATCTCTCATTACACTTCCGAAAAGATGCAGTTTACCTCCTTGCTTGCGATAGCTGGCATCACGAGCTTAGTGCTCGCAGCTCCAGGTCAATCGCTATCCAAACGAGGATCATCTTTTGTCTGTATGTACCGATCAACACATCGAGATGTAGGTTGCTAAGTATCGCTCTGGATAGGGTTCGGCACGAATGAAGCCGGAGCCGAGTTTGGAAGTGGAAACATGCCAGGAGTATTGGGAACGGATTACATCTGGCCATCGACCTCCACGATTCAAACTCTGCAGAGTAGAGGAATGAATCTATTTCGCATCCCCTTTGCAATGGAGCGACTAGTTCCTGGAAGCCTGACCTCGAACCCAGATGCAACCTATCTAGCTTCTTTGAGAAGTGTAAGCTATTTGACTTGCGGCTATGCATCAAACTTAGCATGCTGATGAAACTGTCACAGACTGTGAACTATATCACCTCCAGCGGTGGATACGCTGTTATTGATCCTCATAACTTTGGCCGATAGTAAGCGAGCTCTAAGGACTACATGAAGCTATAGGATATCGAGCTGACGGCATATCTCTACGTATAGCTATGGCAATATTATCACATCTACCAGTGACTTTGCAGCCTTTTGGACGACGCTGGCATCCGAGTTTGCATCAAATGACAAAGTCATCTTTGACACAAGTGAGAGAGACACTTCTCGCCTGTAATGCATTGACTGACTGCTCAGACAATGAGTATAACTCGATGGACCAGACCCTGGTGTTGAACCTCAATCAAGCTGCCATCAACGCAATTCGTGCTGCAGGCGCCACATCGCAGTACATTTTCGTGGAGGGAAATTCGTGGAGTGGAGCGTGGACGTGGACCGCCGTCAATGACAATATGAAAGCTTTGACAGACCCTCAGGACTTGATCGTTTATGAGATGCACCAATACCTTGACTCTGATGGTTCCGGTACATCATCGACCTGTGTGAGCTCAACTATTGGTCAAGAGCGGGTTGTGGCTGCCACGCAATGGCTCAAGGACAACGGCAAGAAAGCATTTTTAGGCGAATTTGCTGGTGGTGCCAATTCCGTCTGCCAAAGCGCAGTGACAGGTATGCTGGATTACTTGCAAGAAAACAGTGATGTATGGCTGGGCGCCTCCTGGTGGTCCGCCGGGCCTTGGTGGGGGGACTACATTTACAGCTTCGAGCCTCCATCCGGAACGGGATATACTTACTACATGAGTCTTTTGGCGAATTATTTCCCCTCAAATGGCTCAGGTGAGACAATCACCACATCCACCACTACTGGTACTGCTACGACCAAGACCACCACTACAACTGGTGCAAGCACCACTGATGCGGCTCAGTATGCACAATGTGGTGGAATTGGCTGGACTGGGTCAACCACCTGTGCAAGCCCCTACAACTGCCAGAAGCAAAATGACTACTACTCGCAGTGCCTGTAGGGACACCAGAGGGGTAGGATATGCAGTGGTAGGTGGAGTTGGCGCTTCCATATTGAATGAAATAGTATTTGATTCATCATTATTCGTTGCCTAGATGCGGGATATGCTAGATTTTAAACCCTCGTAAATCTACACGGCCGTGGCGGTGTTGTTTTCTCAAGCCATGCGGCAAGGTTGCGTGGTTTCTTGCCTCAAGCAAAGCTCGAGGCTCACGTCCCAATGTCTAAGGTGATGCTATTACAGAGACTTCACCAACTCTTCCACGCTCTTCATCTCCCGGTCATTATTCTCGCCCACGTCCAGCGCAACCAAGAACCGACTCACACAATTGTAGCCGGCGATACCGGTGGTGAGCTCCACGATCTCCCGGTCGTTGTATCCCACCGTCTTCAATTCAGCAAAAACTGCATCCTGGACTGTGATCGTGCGAGTCATCTGGTCCGTATAGCGTAACACAGCACGTTGTTGCGGGGTGAGTGTGCTACTCTCGAGCTCGGTAATGTTCCCCTCGGCAGTTGAAGGCAGTGTACGCACAGCATGCAATTGATCAGGCGTGATACCCCCTTTCAGAGCCAATGGGGCGTGGGCATTCCATTCGTAAGTAGCGTTGTTCAGTACGGCGACACGGCAGACTGCCAGCTCCATGATACCAGAGTCAACCAGAGTACGCGACCGGATAGCTCCGATAAAGCTGTTCCAGCCATCGGCCACCGGTGGACTGTGAAGGAGAGAGAGATCCAGTGGGATCAAAGGGCGAGGGTTTCTACGCTCCGCGATGCGAGCATAAATGCCAGCGGTGTCGGCAGGCGCATCGGCAGGAGGAGTGGAAGGGGCGTAGGGCAGCCGCATGGTGTGTGGAATAATGCGATTGATTTGAGATTGGATTGCTTCTATTCTCAATTCAGTGCATGAATAGTCCAGCTTCCATGTATTTAACGGCACCTCGACAATCACCCCAACCGAAGACGGATGCCGAGGGGCAAGGGAACGCTGGAAGATGTCTTACCCGGTGGGGGAGCGTTTCTCCGGCAACCTGAAGACGTGACTCTGCACAATGTACCCATGTTGAAGTGGTTCAAAGAGATAGTCGAATGACTACACGATATAAGAATTGAGAACAATGAAATGCACAATACCCTCTATGCTCTATATGAATACTCCGTAGAATGTGACGCGATGGTGGAATTGCCTTCTTAAGCCACCTTGGAAGGGTTATATATGTTGTATACTCCGTACTGCACGTGAGATACGATCTAAACGGTAGCCCACCGCAACAGAAGGAGAAACAAGCGTGAAATCTGTGAGGATGATAGGCATGTACAAGATATGTTCCGATAACCCCATCGCATCTTTCATTCAAGCCCCATACCCCCAGTGAACAACGTCGGCACTGACTCCAAGGCACTCCCGCGGGGTGCCGCCCCTCGCTGCCGATGTCCCCGCATGCGGGTCATAGGTAGGGATGTGGGAATAGATTCACTTATTATACAATACATGATCCGTTGGCTTTCTCACATCTACTTGCATATCTTACCCATTTTCTCAGTCAATTTTCAATATGAAGCACCATTTGATGGTCGGTACCTGGACCGCCCCCGGGCGCATCTACACCGTGCAATTCGATGACGAGGCCCTCACGTTGGAGCTTGCCAAGAAGACTGACATCCCCGAAGCTGAGCCCATCTCATGGATGACCTTTTCACACGACAAAAAGGCGATATATGGCGCGGCCATGAAAAAGTGGAATAGCTTCGCTGTCAACAGTCCAACTGAGATCGTTCACCAAGTCTCGCACCCAGTAGCTGGTCACCGTATGTCCTAGAATCGGAACGCAGAGTGGTTCCCCTTCCTCGCTGACCTTTCTTTTTTCGTTTCGCACTAGCTCTCGCTGCCAGCAGTGAGACCAATACCCGTGCCATCTTCGTGCTCGCCGCCCAGAAGCCGCCTTACAATGTTTACGGCAACCCCTTCTATAACCACGCTGGCTACGGTAATGTGTTTTCAGTGAAGCCCGACGGCGCGCTGGACAGCAACATCCAGAACTACGAATACGTTCCCAACACTGGTATCCACGGCATGGTATTTGACCCGACGGAGACCTATCTGTACTCCGCCGATCTCACGGCCAACAAGATTTGGACACACATTAAGGATCCTCAGACGGGTGAATTGACCTTGGTGGATTGTCTCGAGGCGCCTGATGCCGGCGATCACCCTCGCTGGGTTGAGATGCACCCGAGCGGCAAGTACTTGTATGCCCTGATGGAGGCCGGCAATCGACTGGCAGTCTATGTGATCGATGAGCGAACCCACAAGCCAGTATTCACTCACATCACATATCCATTATTGCCCTCTGGTGAGTGCCGCGATTCTCCACAAATCCGACCGTTAACCGACCGTCTTCATCCAGGCCTACCCCCCGCAACAAGTATCGCGGCGATGTCACTTTCTGTACCAAAGGCGGAGAATATCTGTTTGCGACAACACGATCCAATCACTTCGATGTGACTGGCTACATCACCGCATTCAAGCTGGGCCCGCACGGCGAGATCGAGCGCCAGCTTTTTATTAATCCTACCTCCACGAGCGGTGGCCATTCCAATGCCGTCAGTCCCTGTGACTTCAGTGACGAGTGGCTTGCACTTTGTGATGACCAGCTTGGATTTGTTGAGATGTACCGATGGCGCGACGAGAAGCTGGCACGCGTGGCGCGTGTGGATATCCCCGAGCAAGGATTTGGGATGAATGCGATCTGGTATGACTAAACGAAGAATGAATCCCTGAATGTGTATGGAGTATAAATTACGATGTAGAATCGAAAGAGAAATAGATGTGCCTGGTGGAGTAGCAGAGAGAGAAGAGAAGAGAGAAGTATAAAAGCCGGCAGTCAAGTTCGGTTGTGTGCACCCGGAAGAGGGGCAAAGTGCCGGGGAAACATCTTCTTCTATATCTCTTCCTGTGTATATATCTCGTAACCCCCGGACATTTCTGGACTTGACTCTTCTTATCTTCTCTCTTCACAACTGACAGCTCTCATCATGCCTACGCCTGGTCTGCTCTACGTCACAATGCAGCCCAAGGGCTCGCTACCAGACACCCAGTTTCATGATTGGTATAATACTGAACATGGACCTTTGCGCCTGCGATTGCCCTTCGTCACCAATGGTTTCCGCTTCCGTGCGACCGATGGCGAGCAGCCCGAGTATGTGGCTTTGTACGATATTACCGACATGGACGAGTTGACTCGTAAGACTTATTTGGATTTGAGAACCGATCTCATCAAAACCGAGCGGGAGAAGAAGACTATGGCCCAAATTGATGTCGGTCGTCTACTGTATGATCTGGCGGATGAACGCACCAGTCCCAACTTCCGCCCCCTGGAAGAACAAGCCGACACAGATGCCGAAACCCGGGGGAGTGTGCTCGTCGCCCTCCGAGTGGTCACTCATCCTGACCCCGCCAAAGAAGCTGATTTAGAGAAATGGTACCGCGAGGAACATTTTGAGATGCTCTCCCGTGTGCCTGGATGGCGCCGAAGTCGCCGTTTTGTCACTGCCGCAATTGATTCCGCCCCGCGCGAATCGCTCATTCTCCACGAATATGCTCCCATTAACGGGCTTGGGGGTGATGCCCACAAGGCTGCCATGAATACTCCATGGGGATCACGTCTCATGTCTGAGGTTGTCACCTCGAAGAAACGCCGTGTATATGAGTGGTACTACACCTTTGGCCCTGCTCCGCGTGAGCTCACTTCGCTGGCTGCCCCGGATGTTGTGGGACCATGGAACTCCAACGATGGTCGCACTCGCACATTCCCCTCGACTTCTCGCCCGGCGGTTGAGTCCTTCGTCACTACTTCTGACGGAGTTGAAATTCCCTACCGACTAGAGGGTAGCACCGACCCTTACGCGCCAGTCGTCGTGCTTAGCAACTCTATCCTGGTGAACTGGAGCATCTGGGATCGTTTCGTTGATGCATTCTTCGCTCAGAAGCAGAACCAACGTTATCGTGTCGTGCGTTATTTGACCCGAGGTCGACACTCGCAGAGTGGTACGCAGCCTGTCAACCTTGATCTGCTGGCCTCTGATCTGGTGGCATTGCTGGACGCCCTACGTGTTCCTCCCAAGGCAGCTCGTTTAATCGGTGTTAGCCTAGGTGGCGTGACCGTCCTGAATACTTCCCTGCTTTACCCTGAGCGCATTGGAGCCTTCATTTCATGTGACACCAACTCTTCTGCCCCTGAATCTAACCGCAAGGCATGGGGTGACCGTGTCGCCATCTGCGAGAAGGAAGGCGCTACTGACCCAGAAACAAAAGAGCCGATTGTCGGTGAAGAATTAGCCGAAGTCACCACTCGTCGCTGGTTCGTGCCGGAATCATACGAGACCCAGCCTGAGGTCCTCGCGACCGTCAAGGAGGCTGTGCGCACTAATAGCTTGAAGGGCTTTGCTCATAGTGTCCAGGCCCTCTGTGCCTATGATATCCGCGAGCGCATGACTACTGCCACCGTTCCAGGCCTTTTTGTCGCCGGTGCCAAAGACGGTGTCCTGCCCCAGACAATGCAGAAGATGGCGGCGGATTTGTGCGGAGGCGCTGAGCTTAAGATCATCGATCGTGCAGGCCATCTACCCATGGTGGAGCAGCCTGTAGCATTTGCGGAAGTTGTGAGCGAGTTTTTGAGCAAAATTGATGGGTGATTGCATGACTATGGGTTCTGTGTAAATGGAATTTGTGCACCAGGATAGATAGGGAAATGGGTTATGACTGTGATTCAAGACTAGATTGATCCACTGCAAAATTAGGTATATCAATAGCGAAGCATGAGGTTATCAATATGTCCAACCATTTGGGCCATTTCATGGATCAAATGCGGCCTTAAATCCGGCGTTACGAGCTCTATCGCTGAGAACGGGGGGTGTGTGGTCGCGAAGGCATCAGGTAGGTAGGACAGAGGATGACCGGAGTCTGATCGGCGGAGTGATCCAGAGTAACTCTGTAGATGGAAGTTAGTGGATGAGTTCAATTCCACAAATCACGACTTTCTCAGGCAGGTAAGAGAAGTGAAGTGGAAAGGAAAAGTGAAATTGACAGCTGAACAGTTCGGCGGACGAAGGCGGCCAAGGGCGAAGTTCGACTTGCGGGGAAATATCACTGCACTTCTGGACTATCTTCTTCTGCTCTAGTCCCTCGCTCTCTTTCGGTATTTCTCTCCTTTTTCCCCATCTACCTTCTATTCTACCATCATGCCAGAGAGCAAGATCCCTCAGCCGGGTCCTGCCAAACTCAAGCGCAATGCGGGCCCTGATGAGTGGCTGGAGGCTGCGAAGGATTGTAAGTATCTGTCGGAGCCACATATGAAGCAACTCTGTGAGATCGTGAAAGAATACATGATGGAGGGTAAGTGGTATCTAAGTATATGCCTGGCCATTTATGCTGACTTCATTCGCAGAATCAAACATCCAACCAGTATCAACACCCGTTACAGTCTGCGGTGACATCCACGGTCAATTCTACGACCTCCTGGAGCTTTTTCGAGTTTCCGGCGGGATGCCTGATGGCACGGTCTCAGACTCGCCGAAAACATCCCCCTCCGTAATCACCTCTGCCGATATCGAACCCCCCTCAAGCATCTCAGACCCGAAAATCCGCAAGAAGCTTCGCGGTCCCAGCGTGAATCCCAATGACGAAGAGGAAGATACCAGTGCGCGAAGCCGGTCTACCAGCGATACATCCACAGATCTGCAACTCAATCGCAACTTTGTATTCCTGGGTGATTACGTGGACCGTGGATACTTCAGTCTGGAAACATTAACGCTCTTACTCTGTCTCAAAGCAAAGTGAGTGTGACTCTTCTGATACTATCGATATAAAGTATCCGTGTCATTGACGTTGTTGGAATAGGTACCCTGACCGAGTTACATTGGTCCGTGGCAATCACGAGTCTCGCCAAATCACTCAGGTATACGGTTTCTACGAGGAATGTTTCCAGAAATACGGCAGTGCTTCGGTTTGGAAGGCATGTTGCCAGGTCTTTGATTTTATGACACTGGGAGCTATTATCGACGGCAAAGTGCTATGTGTTCACGGAGGCCTGAGCCCCGAGATTCGCACATTGGATCAAGTCCGTGTGGTGGCCCGCGCACAGGAGATTCCCCACGAGGGTGCTTTCTGTGATCTTGTGTGGTCTGATCCAGATGATGTAGAGACATGGGCTGTCAGTCCTCGAGGAGCAGGTGAGCATCATGGCAATTGGTCTTCCCACGGGCGCATAGCTGACGACTGTTTCTAGGATGGTTATTCGGAGATCGAGTGGCCGATGAGTTTTGCCATGTGAATGATCTCTCGCTGATCGCACGCGCTCACCAGCTGGTCAATGAGGGCTACAAATACCACTTCAACAACCAAAATGTTGTCACAGTATGGAGCGCGCCCAATTATTGCTATCGATGTGGAAATCTTGCCTCTGTATGTGAGGTTGGAGAGGATCTTAAACCTACGTTCAAGCTGTTCAGTGCTGTCGGCGATGACCAGCGACATGTCCCAGTCTCGCGGCCAGGGCGCAGCGAGTACTTCTTGTAAGATGTGATGCGATTTCTGCACCGGCGCGGGCGTTCGGTTCGATAATAGGGGCGGAAAGGATGAGCATTATATAATGATTTAGACCAGATTTAATGATGCATACGCCTTGTGTTTGAATACAAAAGAAAAGCCATACAAAAAGCAAAGAGGACAGAGTAACGATTCAGATCCTCCGTTGTTACAGGTATCCATCTGTAAGCAGCACTCTCTACACTGTGAAGCTAAGCCGGCAGAAGACTTCTCCCGAAGAGCTATTCACTGCCGACCAACTCATCTTCCCCACCCCAACTGGGAGCTATGGCATGACCTGGATCTCGGAGGTTGACACAATGGCAGTCCAAGGCATCGCCATAGAAACAACGAAGGCCGAGGCTTTCTCCAGCGTCCCCCGCAATCAATTCCCGGAATGAATCCCGAGCTGCCCGGGTCAGCTTCCGGACCTCATACCGAATGGACCATAAAAGGCGATATATGCACGGACTTTGTTGTAATTGCACTCCCAAACTGCATACTCGAGACAATGGAGAAATTCGACGTTCTGATTTGCGGCAGCGGGTCTGCTGGGCTCTGCGCCGCCACCTGGCTTGCTAAGTATGGTGTGCGGTGTAAAGTACTAGAACGGCGCGAGGGTCCCATGAAGATGGGCCAAGCTGATGGCGTGCAATGCCGCACCGTGGAGATCTTTGAAAGTTTCGGCATTGGAGAAGAGCTTCTGCGTGAAGCATACCATGTTCTCGAGGTGAACTTCTGGGCCGACGATGGCGCCGGCGCCATCAAGCGGACAGGTCGGACGGCGGATACCCAGCCGGGCCTCTCACACCAGCCTCACGTTATTCTGAACCAAGCACGTATCAACGGACTGCTCATTGAGCTGATGAAGAACTATAATGACCAACAAATCGACTATGGCTACAACGTGACCGATGTGAAGGTTGAGAGCGCCTCTGCGGAAGACCGTGATGCCTATCCGGTGAAGGTGACTGCGGAAAGGGATGGAAAGACAGAAGTGTTTGTAGCGAAATATGCACTGGTAAGTCCTACTCAATTTCGGATTGTTAACATTGGTTGACTCGACTATTCAGGCTTGTGATGGGGCACACAGCGTTGTGCGCAAAGCCCTCGGATACAAAATGATCGGAGACAGTACCGATGCCGTCTGGGGTGTCATGGACATGATACCCCGAACCAATTTCCCGGACATCCGAAAGAAGTCTACTATTCGCTCGAACTCAGGAAACATCTTGATCATTCCCCGCGAGGGCGAGAGCAACAATCTCACAAGATTCTACATTGAACTTGCTCCAGGAACTAACCCCAAAGAGGTGACGCTAGAAAGCCTCCAAGCACAGGCGCAAAGTATTTTCCACCCCTACAAGGTCGACTTTGTGGAGACAGTTTGGTGGTCAGCGTATGCGATCGGCCAGCGACATGCCGACTTCTTCCACAAGGATAATCGGGTCTTCCTCGCCGGTGATGCCTGTCATACACACTCACCCAAAGCCGGCCAGGGTATGAATGTGAGTTTACAGGACGGCTATAACATCGGTTGGAAGCTCGGTGAGGTCTTGACTGGGCTGGCCAGTCCGTCACTTCTGGAGACCTATGTCTTAGAACGAGAAAAGGTCGCGATTGACCTGATCAACTTTGATCGTTATTTCTCCAAGTTATTTTCTTCTGGAGCGGCTACCTCTCCAGCTGAGTTCCAAGAAGGCTTCATCAAATGTGGTAAATATACTGCGGGCTTAACAGCGAAGTATGAAGTTTCGCCCATCACCTCTGCGCTGGAATCAACAAAGCTTGCCTCAAACGTGGTCGTCGGCATGCGGCTGCCCAGCGCACAGGTCGTGAGGTTCTGTGACTCTAAGCCTCAACAGCTGATGAAGGCTTTGAAGTCTGATGGCCGATGGCGTATCATGGCCTTTATGGGCGACTTGGCTGTACCAGAAAACCGCTTGAAGCTCAACAAGGTCCGTTCCTCGTTATCAAACCACAATTTAACATCATCTAATATATTCTACAGTTGGGAGAATATTTGGCCGCAGCTGATGGGCCTATTCACACATTCACACCCAAGAATCAAGACACTGACAGCCTTATTGAGACCATCTTGGTCGGTCATGGAAAGCGTCATGGTGTTGAGTTAGAGCAAATTCCCGAGTGCTTCTACCCAGTCTCTGGAAAAAACCAAACAAGAGGTAACGCTCTCTTGGTTTCGGATATCTTTCCCATTTCTAATCTAGAATTCTTAGATCTACACAAGATTTATTACGACGACGAAAGCTACAACAGCGGCCACGGCCAGGCATACGAACATCTTGGCGTTGATGCGGCACAGGGTGCTATTATCATCATTCGACCAGACCAATGTAAGCAATTATCCACTACATATATCATACAAATCTGACATTCTTCAGACGTGTCCGCCATTCTGGGCCTGGATGACTATCCGGAAGTCGGCAATTTCTTTTCTGGTTTCCTTCAACGCCAATCATAATATGCAGCAGACGTGACAGTTAAAGTGAATGTACATTTGAGACGCTATGGATTACCAGACAACTGGCACTGTTCGCAAAAGATATGCAATGTCTCAGAAGATTTCTACTTCTTTTGGCAAGAAACAAGTTTATTATTAGAAAGCGCTCAATTTTAGGTTGAAGTTATGACTATAGTAACATCGACAATGACTAGGCTCTCATGGACTTCTAGTATTGAAAGCAAATCCAAGGAGCATAGTCGAGATGGACCGGGTTGATGAGATCATAGTCGAGAGGAAACGAAAGACACCATCGACATCTGCTTGTATCTGTGTAGGTGTGTGATATCAAGCATCTTGTGCAGTGTTAATAATATTTGGCTTCGGTTATCATGCGAAGATTGATACAGTTCATATGTTTTGATCTAGGTATTCCGGGCCTATCACTGGTGCCACTCGTTATGGTTATTTATTTCTGCTTCGATCATATTTGACTGCTGTCAACACGTGCATCAGCATTACCCAAATTTCTATCAATTCTCCGCCCTTGAATATATATAGATCTGCCGATAGAAGCTTGCCACGATTAATGTAGCCAGCGGTACTGCGTTTCCGTCAAATCTGGACCAGCTTAGGGGAAACACTGGAAATCCAAAGGTCATGTCAAAGTATGGGGTCCCCTGTGGAACATTGATGGCCTCAGTCGCTTAGATGGATCTCTCAACCCACTGACAGGTAAAGGGGAATCATACAATGAATGCAAGTGAGTACCGATGATGTGGGGGAAAGTGAGAAGACAGCTTTTTTTTTTAAAAAAAAAAAAAACGGGATGAAGTGGCTATATAGTCTTAATTGCAGTTATTATACCTAGGCGAAGCATGATAGTCCATTGATGAATATGGAGGAGATTGATTTCGGTCAGTGTTGGTTCTATTATAGGCCAGTGCTGGATTGGGGCTGGAATGAGGCATGGGAAGATCAACTTGATGAACGATTGAGTTACCGTCGGAAACGCAACCAGAGGGAAGAGAGAGGTGACCTATGATGCGTATTTTAGGGGGGACAGTAGGCGATAATAGAAGCAAAGCGACGTGGAACATAAACGATTAGCATTAACTTATAGTAGATCTATGAAAGCTCACAGGTTGCACTGCACTTGAACACGCTTTAGTAACAATTCGCCTAGATTAGCAAATTGTCCCTGTGTCGCGTCTTGTTGGGCCAAGACTTGCTCTGCGACCTCATGTGCCCAAATGAATTCAGAGTGAAAGTCACGCAGTTCCCATAGACGTTGTCGCAGCCATACTTGTTGTGTTATATCGCTGGTCTCAATCACTGCCATCAGCAGCGGCCATTGCAGACGCCTCAGGAGCTTTGGGTCAGACAAATATTGTTTTCGGGTAATGTCAATGATTCCGGCTGTAGCTTGGTGGTGAACACCGGTGGGCAAAGCATTGACCCAGAGAAGCCGACGATGGAGCAAGATCTGAGAGTAGAAGGTAGAAACAGCCATGTAAATAGTATTAACTGTCCGTCGAGCGGAGATACTACCGGCAAATCTCGCGGTGATAAAAAGGTCGGAGAATTTCTAGCATAGTTAGTAAACATCTTAGAGTTTGAAAGTGGTCATACAAACCTCTCGTATAGCGAGAGTCTCCCGAAAGAGAGGTTCGGCAAAATCAGCGGTGCCAGCCGCGGATTCCATAAGGGCCTTCCAAGTGCGATGGCGTAGGCAAAACCCAGCATGTAATAGTTCTAGAGCTCTATAATTTTCGATGTCATCCAAAACTTCCTCATCTGGGTACCATTCGCCCCAAAAGCATCGGCCCCAGAGACGGGCACACCGATAAAGATGATCTGGCTGCAAAGCTGGATTGCGAGACTGTATGACATAGTCATTAAGAGACTCCGTGAGACCCATGGGACGGCAACTAGCGTCGATGTATCTGATTTGTCATAAGTTTGAGGCCTGGATACAATGGCAGTTAGATGAAAGACTCACAGAATCCATAACAAAAACTGTTCAGAAATGAAGGAGACCTTGCCTACGGTCCTGGCGTCATCGAACGAGGCATTGGTTTTAGGAGACAAAAGCGTGTCATTGACATCTTTTATGCGGAATAGTCGGGGGTGTGTTTCTAAGAGTGACCGCACGCCCTGGAGATGAAGTTGAAGCTGGAAAATCATTAGTCCATTGGCGATTCAGGGTGAACCAATCAGCCCTATATGAAGGCCATTCTTACATGGCGCACCGAGTGTCCGAACTGCCATTCCCAGGCTATCATCAAAAACATGGTTGCAAAGACCGTCTCTACATCATCCAGTGAGACCTGGCGGGGTGTCTCGAGAAGCTGCCTGAATTCTTTAACCGCTTGGTTGTAATGGTACCGTCCATGGTCTTGGGAGCGCACAATTAACCCGTTGCGATGCATGTCACAAGCAGCGAGCGCCAATATCATTCGCATTATAATTTTATTGGATGCAGCTGGACTTTCGTAAAGATGGCTAGATTATCCGGGTTCGCGATTAGCTGAGTGAAGATTGTGGAGTGTCGCGCGGGTAACGGTGACCCCATTTCTGATCCATAGAACGAGAAACTCACCAGAAGCTGCTCCACTTCCAGTCTTTCATGTAGTAAAAGACAAGCGAAGAAGAAGGGAAGTACTGGAAGTATTGACGATCAAGAGAATCGAGCATCAAGGAATTGCCGCACGTAGCATTAACGTTCAAGGAGCGGTATAGGGGGGTGGGTATAGGCGTGGGGTGGAATGTGTCAAGGGGAAGAATGTCAGCTGCCCATGAGGCTGGCGAGGAGGTAGCAATAAGAGCATCTGGTTGGCTATCTATAAGGCCCTCTGCCTTGGTAGTCGCCCAACATTGTTTTTCGGCATCTCTTGTCGCAGGCTTAAGGTGTCGAATTTGAGAGCTCCGCCCACGCTTCACAGGGACACCCCATTCGCAATGGAGACGCAGAGCTAAACAGCGCCCGCAAAATGGCTTTTCTTCGCCACACTTGACTTTGCGACGACGACAGGTACTACAGCCTATAGAAAGGTAGGTTAGTCGGGCAGTTTGAGAAACTAGAAAACATGTCCTACCACTCTTCGAACGCGGGCCATTACGCCCGGAGCTCTGCGTGGACATGGGTTGTCAATCCCCCAGCTCTAGAACCAGTGAGGATCAGCCTGCAGGCATGAGCGGAGAGATCGACGAGAAAATGTTGACAGTGGTGAACTGGAAAGCGCAGTCGGATACAGTGCTCGATCCCACTGCCGAAGCCGATAAGATAACGGCCGGGGTGGTTGGAACGTGGGGAGGCTGAGTCATCGATGACGTCTGTCCGCTTTGGGCAGGGTGGTGACAGTTTCCTTTTCTGGACATCTGGACAATCACCTGTTCGCCTAAATCTGGGGATCTTAGAGGTAACTAGGAAGATGGCGGCTATTCTGAACTCTCCAGAGCTAATGTTGGCAATCTTAGAAACCAATCGAGATACAATTGAAATGGAAGATCCAAAATGAACGTCTCGGTTGACTACAAGGAAAGAATATCTAAGACTAACATGATCGAGGGGATATGTCCCCCATGTATTTGAGCCATACATCTAATCTTCCCGCGCAATATCATCTCTCCATTGTTGTCGCGCTGTATCATACAGAGCTTGCTCGGTGACCATATCCCATCCGATCAGGGCGAGGGATTTCCCAACGATCAATGCTTCGATATGTGCTTCATCCGTCCCCGCTGCAGCTGCAAATGTTGGATGATGTGGGAAGGAGGTTAAAGGCGCGGGAATTGCAAACATTGTGTGTAGTGTGGGAGTCTCGTAGCTGACATTGCCTATCCATGAAGTTAGCATCGATCAACAGAGAGTATGCAAGCCCACACACCGATATCCGAGGACCCTGTGAGTACTTTGTCGTGGCGCTTCAGCACATGACGGTTATACCGTCCCATATGAAGGTAATAGCGTTCACAAAGAGTGTCGTTTAATCGGACATCGGTATAGAGTTCATCCCTTGAAGCAGATGCGTGAGTACAGTTTCCATCGGCCGTTTGGGTAAAGTCGCAAGCATACTCAACAATCTTGACTTGACACCCCGTTGCCAATGCGCCGGCCTCGACACAATTCCGTATCTTGCCCATCAGAGTATTCAATCCCTTTAGGGTAGGACTACGAACCTGCCAAAAAGCTTTCGTATAGTCCGGAATAACGTTCGCCACTTTAGGCGTATCCAAGAAAGCGCAATGAATCCGCTGATCTGGAAGAAGCTGTTGTCGAAGAAGCGCAACATTGTTATAAGACGAGACTAGAGCATCCAGAGCGTTGATTCCTTCCCAGGGATTTCCACCGGCATGTGCGTTTTTCCCAGTAAATTCGCCTAATAAAGAAAAACGAAAATCAGCAGGGGACCCAAAAAGAAAGATTTAAACGCTCACAATGAAGGTTCTTGCGCGCATTCATCAGTGTGCCGGCTATACCATCGGATGCCTCCTGGTCGGGAAATAGTTTTTTCGGTCCAGGATGACTTGGAACAAGATCAGCGCATGCATTTCCAGATTGTTTTCTTACAAGGCCTTACGCCATTAACGAGATGTCGACGTTTGTATAAGCGCCGGCATCAATCAATTTGGCCTTTCCGCCTCCGTTTTCCTCGGCTGGAGTGCCTAACAGCTGGGTTCGGCCTGGAATACCAAATTTGGTGATGGCGAATGACAACGCAAGGAACGCAGCGATACTGCTGGTCGCTATAAGATTGTGACCACAGGCATGGCCGATCCCCGGCAAAGCGTCATATTCTGCGTTGAAATTGATCAATCGCCCACTCGTTCCACTCAGGGCTTCAAATGAGGTGTCCAGACCATAGGCGTGGCGAGTAACCGTAAATCCTTGTCGCTCAAGAAAGTCACAAATTGCATCATGAGCGCGATGCTCCCTATAGGCAAGCTCGGGGTTGGACCAGATCTAGGGATTATGACCGGGGTATTAGCCTTATGTTAGCCTATGAGCAGTCCAAATAGCAGTAGGAAGTTACCTGATGATTGAGTTCGCGTAATTCCTGTTGTAGAGCGTCAAGGGCGGCATCAACCGAGGCCTTGACTTCCTCGATACTAATGGCCGCAAGAGCCATCGTGCTGCAAATGAGTTGGTCGACGTTAGGGATGGGTAACTATAATCGTAAATTTGTCGAAAGGGAAATAAGGATCAGGCATCTTTAACTATTGACCACGTTCGGAGTGGGACCGGATAAGCATCCCTCGCCCACCTGGGCAGCATTTGGTGGCGTTTGCCGACGACAGACTCAGATAGGGGAGTCCGAGGAGCAGAGGGGAGGTCCGGAACATCATCCGAATCTATACCATTCCTTCCGAGCCTTGTTGATGCGGGCAGACCACGGGATATGCCGGTTATTCTTCCGCAAGATTGGCGTTGTTGGCGAAGGTCTATCACCCGGTCAAGGGAAAGTCCTCGGCAATCTGCACAGACCGGTGGAATCCGGGGTAAAGGAGAGTATGTTCAATGCGTCAGGTCAGCCCCTTATCTTTCGGGGCGTCCACGTCGTTACGATGGGGCTTGACAGGAGAAAAAGGTGAGACAAGCCTATTCGTCCCTGATCCACAATACGGAGTCTGTGCGGACTATGGAGTAGATAGCTCAATTGCCCCCACAAACCTAGCGGGATTATGGTCATTTATCTTTCTCTTCTTGGGCTGATAGGGAAAGCATATAAGTGGGTTGCCGACGAGCATATTGCCGATGAGCCCTAATGATTCGCCAGGTTGCCGATGATACGATGCCAAGCTTCGGCTCCTCACGAAGTCTATGCCAACGCCAACGAGTTTCAGCAAAGCCACGCATGGATAATGACTCGGCGTTTACAGCTGACCTGCGTCGTCTTTGATTGCCGTTTCTTTTGCCTGGGTGGTTATCGCCTTAACCCCGCCTTTTCGTGGAGAACCGGGCGCATCAACGTAATATCGAACTTACGAGGATCAATGACTTGGTCCTCCCTAGGTATTCTATTATCAAGCTCGGGTCTTATGTATCGTCACCATGTTTGGGCTCATTGGTCTTGGCCTTCCTATCCTGTCAGCCATATAGCCTCCCCTGAGACGCCTGGAAAATGATACAGCATTTCGTTCTTCCAAGCAGACGCCCAAGAATATCTCACGCTCTTCGCATATCTCTCTTATTCGATAGCTTCTTGCTGAGATTGGACCTACCAATATGGAAAAACAACAACCCTCCTCCGAGGTCATCAAACCAGACCTAGGAATACTCAAAATTGGGTCGACGTCTGCTGCTCGTGATGTGGACTTTGGGCAGGTAATGGAGGTGGGAACAACTCCAGCAATGGAAAAGAAGGTCTTAAGGAAGCTGGACTTCTTCTTGATCCCTCTTATGGGCGGTTGTTATATGTTACAATACATCGACAAGCTGGCAATCAGCCAGGCAACCCTTTTCAATCTCCGGCAGGATTTGGTGTGTAACTTCTCTGACTTGGTTGTTTATAATGTGCTCGTTTGCGCATCTGTTAATCAAATCACTTCTCACTAGCATCTGAAAGGCAATGAGTACAATTGGGCATCGGCCATCTTTTACTTTGGTTATTTTGCATGGAGTTGGCCGAGTTCATATTTGGTTGTGAGGTAAGTTGGGCAGAAGTCCCGTCACGAGCAAAGCTAAGCTAATAGTTGGCTGTAGACTCCCTTTGGGCAAATATCTAAGCGTCGCTGTATTTATTTGGGGAGGCTGCCTGATGGTACATGCCGCCTGCACAAACTGGGGTGGGTTGATGGCCGCTAGATTCTTTCTAGGCGTCGGAGGTATGACTCTTGATACCATTATCGCCCGGCATTGCTAATCCAGGTTGACAGAGGCATCAATTGCTCCTGGCTTTGCACTGATAACGGGAATGTTTTATACCAGAGCGGAACAGCCAGCACGCCAGGCAGCGTGGTTTGTCGGTAATTCGGTTGCTGTCCTGCTTGGTGGGCTGATTGCCTACGGCATTGGCAATATCCACATCACGGCCCTTGCCCAGTGGCAACTGTTGTTCCTGGTTCTAGGTACCGTCACATCAGCCTATGGAGTCCTCTTGTTCTTTACCCTTCCCGACTCACCCACGAAGGCTGTCTTTCTCAAACCAAACGAGCGGGCCATTGCGGTCCAAAGAACCTTGAAGAACAAAACGGGAGTTTTGGATACCGGAAAATTCAAATGGGGCCAAGTTTGGATGGCGATCAAAGACCTACAAACGTGGTTTTTGGTGCTTTATACGCTATGTGTCAACTTTTGTAACGGCGGCCTTACTAGCTTCTCTGCCATTATCATCACCGGCTTCGGCTTCCCCCATCTTGAGGCACTTCTCATTCAAATGCCTATCGGTGGCGCTCAACTAGTCTTCCTTCTCCTTACTTCGGGATTCGCTTCGCTCGTTCCAAAGTCCCGCATCCCGATGATGATCGTCAATACAGCGGTATCCATGGTGGGAATGCTCTTAATTTGGAAGATAAACGATGATAATCGGGCAGGCAAGATGACCGGTCTCTGCCTTGGTGGTGTTTTTGCTGCCAATATTCCTCTGTCCCTCAGTTTGATCACTTCGAACGTCGCCGGGTTTACCAAAAAGAGCACTGTAAGCGCCCTCATGTTCGCAGCATACTGCATTGGGAATATTGTTGGGCCTCAGTTTTTTATTCCTTCGGAAGAACCTTCATATTTGGTCAGTACTTATTTCATCCTTGCAACCTCTGGGCATTACCCAACTACTAACCTGATAAGACCGGTATTAAAGCGTCGATGGCAGGGTTGGCTTTCGGCATATTCTTCTTGGTTTGTCTTTATATATTTTACGTCTGGGAAAACCGCAGAAGGGACAGGCTGTACGGTTCTCCTATGGAGATGACTGAGACCGAAGAGCTGCAAGACGAGTTATCTAACAAGACTGACCACGAGATTGAAAGTTTCCGATATGTACTTTGAAAGATCCCACATCTCAATATCCGGACCGGAATGCCAAAGGCAGATCTGTATTCTTCATGTGTCCTTTGCCTTCGTCCTTTTGTACCTTGTTGCGTGACAAACTAGCAGATACTTCGCAAAAAAGTCCTCGGCAAAGTCATCGAATGGTTCATACGTGGCACCAAGTTTATATGCTGCTGCAATACCCGAGATACACGCAATCTCATGCATATTCTATGATCCAACATATTAGTTCTGTGCAAAGTCAATATAAACGAAGCAAACTCACCACCATCGTCCAACTGCCTGCATATAGTGTCCGATTGGTGCCATTAATTAGCATCATTCCCGGGACAACTCTGAGATAGTGCTGCCACCGGTGCCCAAATTGGTGCCACCATTTTTGACTGCATGATGTTAGGCCTGTGGTAACAAAATTTATAGGCGACATTGAGAGATCAAACTCATTCACGTACGAAATTATTTTAGATGGATCAATATCCTCCCAAGTCCATAGATCTTTCTGCTTTTCGTTCTGCCGACAAGATAAGTAGTGAGCTTCTCTGGCACGTTAATTAACGGACATTGGGACATACCAAGAAGATAGTTTGGAAAACATGTTGAGCAGGCGGTAGTGGCGGTTTATCTTCCCCCAAGTTTTGACGGAATTGGTGTTGATAATTGCTACAGTCAAACCCCATTTCAATTCTTGCTGGATCAGATGCATAGGAACGTGTATAGTACATCGGGCAAAATCCCAGCCAGCCATCTTTCTGACTGCGTGGCTGCTGCTCGGCAAATTTGATATGCTCTTTTCTTTCCTGAGATGTGTCCTCGGCACAGAGAGTTGGGTCATACTGGGCTTCAAAATTTTTATGAAAGTATTCCGAGTCAGAGTGCGTTATGGTGATGTCGTTGTAAAATTTCGCGCCGCCCAAAACATATCTTTCCTGCCAAGTGGCGTGTCGATCAAGCAGTCTTTTTGCTTCATCCGCGGGACAGCACATTACCAAGCTATCAAATCTCTCTGTTAATGGAATGCTTGGTGTTTGATCGTCATCACGGTCGCAAACTTCAAGCAAGACCCCTTTCTTTCCTCGCTCCAAGATTCTTGTTTGACAATTGAGACGGATATTGACACCTTTGGTACGGAGGTCCGCTGCCCAGTCACGGTAGAAGCTGCTCAAGTTTGGGAATGTATACATAGTAGGAAGATTCGGCAACAGTGTATCTGGGTCGTATTCCCACAGCTTCATCTGAGGGTCGTTGAAAAGCCGCTCCAATAGGAGACATGATACATTGGGCGTCTGATTCCCTGTCCCCAGAAAGAGAGCCAGAAGGGGCAAGACCATTTTGTTGCTAAAATCATTGCTGAACCGAAAAAGTCGCAAAACGAGTTTCACTGGCATGATTCCGAGTATAGGCATCATGTACTTGATACAAGATAGGACTCGCGAAAGCTTTTTGATCTCCGCTGAATGCTCGTCAACTAAAGGGCTTGGAAACACATTGGTCCAGAAGTCTTTTCCCTTCCCAAAAGCGACTTGAAGCTTGACTGGTTGTGGCTCATAACCATAGCGACGAAAGAAATGAAACGTATGTCGGAAGATCTGTGACCCGCCTTGGACACCATCATTGAGCCAAGTCGCTCCAAGCTTAGACTCATCCAGTGGAATTGAAGTAGCCTGGCCGCCAGTATAAGACTCAACATCAATGAGGGTCACTGTGAATTCTGGGTGCTTGGCCAGGGTAGCAGCGCATGACATGCCAGCTGCGCCGGCGCCTATAATGACGACCTTTTTGGGCGACATCTCTGTCAATATTCGGCAACGGATGCAAGGTTAGTAAGAAGGCGGGCAGTAAGACACATTATATATGCCGTATGTTGACTTGCTTTATTGATGTCACCATGGTGATGTCACATAACGATAGCTCCAGGGCTCTGGCGATGAGCCAATCATACGGTGGGAAGGCATTCTTCGATCGGGAAGTCCAGCCCCTAGCATCTGAGTTGTCATGCAGGGGTGCAATAATCTTGGATGAAAGACAGGAGGCAGCGAGAGAATGATCAGGAAGAAAGATGATCTCCATGGAGCAAAAGCCCTGGAAAGTAGTGGAAGCTTCGTGCCCCAGGCAGCAATGCCAACCAAATCAGCCCTGGAGGGCTGATCAAATTCGACATCCAATCAATCGAAAAGACCTGAAACTTGAGCAATTGAATCCCAAGCTGGTCAATATGCCGATATAGAGGGGAAATGACAGGATGCTCTAAATCGCTTCCAAGGAACCGTGGGGTCGTCAGCATATCAAGATTCCAACGCTAACTGTTGTGTACATTTGCTCATCGCTCTTCGTTTTCTTTTTTCTTTGATCCTTTTCTGCTTTCTTTTTTCTTCTTTTGAGTCCTGTTAGTAGATAGAAGTTATGTTCCATTCACTATGTATTACGATGATATATAGCCCATATCAAACATACATGGGGTTTTCCGGCCAGAGTCTCGAAGACTTGATATTGAATTGCATATCACGTTGAACTGATTTCGATATTAAGCCTACTTGTCATATCACCTCTTACCGAGTCTACTGGGTGGTGATATTGATGCCTTTGAGTGTGAGAAGAATTCGGGGGCAATTCATGTAGGGCGACTAGCGCTGTGACATAATCTATATAACTCTTGATTGGGTGGCAGATGAGCGAAACATCAGACGTCGGTATATAAGCAGCTATTAGTCCGAAGCGATGTGACATATGCAAATGCAAGGAACGTGTGTAACTCACTTTTAAACTGATCACGCTGTTAGCCCTAAGCCTACCTTATAAACCCACATGCAATTGATCGGTCTCCGATCGGTGTCAGGCGCAATATTGATTCACAATTCAGGGGTCATGTTACTTATGTTACCTTAGGAGCTCGATTGCTTCACGTACGATGATCAAATATGGGATATTGAAGGATGAAACCTTGTCCCCAAAATCCAGGCCTTTTATCAGGTGCTTGGTTCAATCTCTATGCGACTTTAATGATATATAAACATTACATTCACGCGAAACATCAGATTCACTAGATTCATTTCCAATTCAAATTCCATATATCGACTTCCTACAGCTCCGCGCCGGGTGGCTTCAATTTGTCTCCCACACTCAAATTGTCATCATGAGACTCTCTGCTACAGTGTTCGGTGTTGCACTACTCACCACGTCTGTCATCGCAGGTCCTCTCATATCTCAGCGTCAGGCACGCCATGAGATGCGACGACCCTCTCAAGATGAACATCGCACAAGCCGGCCTTATATCCCAGGCACTTCGGACGTGCTTCATCCAAACAAAACCTTGCAGGAGAGTTACAGCTCAAACTGGGCTGGCGCTGTGCTCATTGGTACCGGATATACCTCGGTCTCTGGGGAGATCACAGTTCCCGTCCCTCAACTTCCAAGGGGCGCTGATCCCGAGACGAATTACTGCGCCTCTGCATGGGTCGGCATCGATGGTGACACTTGCAATACAGCCATTCTACAAACTGGGATCAATATTTGTATTCAAGGGAGAACTGCGTCGTACAGTGCGTGGTACGAATGGTATCCAGATTATTCCCACGACTTCAACGACATCCAAATTTCAGCCGGGAATGTGATCAAGGTAACGGTCGATGCTACCTCTATAAGCTCCGGCAATGCGACAGTGGAGAATCTATCTACCGGTGTATCTGTAACCCATACATTCCCAAATGGCATTGGGGGGGATCTTTGCGAGTTCAATGCGGAATGGATTGTGGAAGACTTCTCCGTGAATACTGGGCTGGCTCCTTTTGCTAACTTCGGCACTGTGGTATTCTCCAATGCCGTTGCCTCCAATGGCAGGCAGACTTATGGACCCTCACGCGCTACGATCATGGACATCTATCAAGATCAGATTCTAACATCCTCGTCTGTTACTGAAAATAGTGTCATTGTTAGCTATATTTGACTATCATAGGCCAATGTGAATGGTATCCTTAAACCCCATTTCCGCAATGCTTTAGTTGAGTTAGAGGCTTTACTAACAACCAACACCACATATGTCTACTTATACAGATTCGCATTATCCCCGGCCTTCCTTGTCCGATGGATATTTGAGGATTAATGAGCAAGAGAAAGTAGAAGTTGTCCTGGAGATTTCCATCATTTTACATCCGCCGAAAGCGGCTCGAGATCACAAGCCTTGGAGTCAACTTGGTCGATAATCTTTGCAAATCTCTCATAGCCAAACTAACGTCTTTCATATTGAATCTACAAGCAAATTGATAGTACTGCGTTATGCTGGTCCATCGAAAAGGCTCGACTCTCCAGGGTCATCGGGCACCTTGATACCATAAAATCGCCAGAGAGCATCCTGCACCACGTCGTAACAAGCGCCATATCGGAGAATCTTAATTGTTCGGAAATCAATCATAGTAGAAGCGGCTCGAGGAGAGTGGAACTTCTGTCTTCCGTAATCGATGACTATATCTGCCACTTGAAGGATCTCTGGCTCGATGTCTTCAACGACAGTCTTGGCCCCTTTACCCGTGATATTGGCCGACGATCCCATTAGAGGAAGTGCCTCTAGTGTAGCAAGTCGCGACAATTCCTCCAGCAAGGCACCCCCATTTACCAACATTGCGAGACTGTCCTCAACAACGCTCTGGGCCAATACATCTGGGGGCAGCTTCTGAGTGATAGGGTGATCGGAGCGATACGGTGCAACGACTCCAAGAGGAAGGTCCAAGCTCATAGTCAACAACTTGACCATATCGGCTTGCTGGGAGGGAAGAACATGGAGATCTCGATGCAGAGAGTAGCTGCCAACCATCGCATGCCGTTTGTGTGGTTGCCGCTGTTTCGTCTGAACAATCCGATTCAGCGCATCCGGGTCCATCGCTGTGATTCCATAGCCGACGTTCATCGGTATAATAGCAATGCCACCTCTCTTCAGAACTTGAAATGCCGCTTGGGCATCATCTTTGAGACTGGGCTTTTGACGAAGGGACATCAGTATGAACAATTCACTGTGTAGACTAGGTACTTAAGTCGTCACGATTGCAAAACAAGAGAAAGGATTCTCTCGGTTTGATTCAAGGTTGACAGAAAAGGATTTGCAAACACGCGCACGTCTCAATTCTCGAAAACATATTGGAACTTGTCTTGGAATATTGTATACAACATAAGACAATACAGATAGTCTTCCGCCCTAAAAGGAAGGGTTGGACACAGCATAGCGCGTGATGGAAATAACAGTGATACGTGTCACACAACCCTACGATGCCTGATGCCCTTATTTGGATGATAGAAGATTGTCACATTAGATACATGGCCAGACCTTTGAAGGACGCTACAGCCAGATTCACATGCTGCGCTCACTGAATTCTCACATGGGAATCATTTGAACGGAAGTCCCCCCGACCTGCGCCCTCGTTATCTCGGAGTTGGGAAGGGGACACATTCGATAACTCAGTTGGCCATACAGCGTGCCAAATTCCCTGAGCACGAACGGCATATTCATGCCCCTTTTCAAGACCTGGTATGGGCAACTTGACTGTGAGGTCTAGAGTTTGGCGTGCTTGTAACTCAACAAGATCTGCCTCGGAGGCAGGTAATTTGCGTGAGACCATGATGGTGGGAAGGGTCAATTTCCGCTGGTCTGCGGTATCACAAACCTCGAAGACACCGAGAACAGCAGCCTGAGGGTCTAACGGTGTATCCCACCTCAGAATGGTGACTGGTGAATCGGCGGCGTTGTGAACCGAGACTTTGATCGGGAGAGCAACTACTTCGTGTGCCTCCAGTATCGGTGTCTGAGGAGCCAGAGTGACCTGCAAGCTTGAGATTGACTCCATCTTTGCGTTCAAATCGACCATGGTCATAAGACGGTAGACTTCAAGGAGGGAAGCACAGGAATAGGTGTAGGGTCGATGGAGTAGCGCAGGGTGCGAGAGATGCAGCCTGTAACGTATGTACCCAGGCACTCCGTAGGTAAAAAGGGATCGACATCACGCCTTATATCGGAAACCGCCGATCATGCCGAATCAATATCATTCGATCCAATCACATTGATTGGTTTTGATTGCTAAGTCGACAGTCCAGGGATATATGTTCTCTGTCGCAGTTTTCCCCCCGGAGCCCCCCGGCCTCCGTGCAGAATTCCCTCAGATCGACCTGTTAATTTAAGCCGAGCGTCTACCAATGCCAAGCCTACCTCTGATAGGACTTTCTCATGGCTGAGACTAAGCTAAGCATTGCTTCCTCCAGTCAAGACTCTGGTGCCGTCTTGGGTGGTATCTTGGCCCCGGAGTCCGTCGACAAATGCAGGGTCAAAGACTTGGCGTGAAACGAATGGGCTGGGGGCGTTTAGATCAGGTCATATTCCCTAGGGTATTGTAATGTCCTTTGTGCACAATTCCTTTGGTTCTCACCTCAGGTTGCAAGGGACCGATAGTTACCTTGTTCTATCCAATATCTACCTGTATCCCACGTAGCGCAAGTACTAAATATTTCCAGAGCCTCCCTACCTCGACTAAGCCACACGCACGACATAGCACTCTGTCCGGTGGCTTTTGGCTGGAGCGCCAATTATGTCTGTATCTGGGATCGTGAGGAGTTACATCGAACAGCCCCCGCTTTTCACTCACGGTGTGGGATCAAATGCAGCTGCAGAAGCCATCGGGTATCTAGGTGCTGAAAACAGCCCTTCAGAAGTGCGGGTTTCCGTCGGGCCAAGGCAACATTCATGGGCGATTCCCTGAAGATGAGGCCATTCTAGGATATCTCCAACCAGTTACAGCTGTGCCCGCGGCCTGACCCTGGAAACGTAGTTATCTCGAGCCATCTCCGACAAACAGGACTGCCCATCAACCTCCCGTGTGCCATACAAGGACAGCTATGGGCGTAATCTAGTCGTTTCACGCAGAACGGATACTACCTTCTCTTATTCACCCGTCCATGAAGAAATGGGAAGATGAAGCATGCACCAGAGCGACGCGGTCGCAATAACCCGAGCATCAACAGGGGCACAATGCCCTGGGAATCTATAAAGCGGTCAATCTGCTCTCGAGCATTGAAGTTCTTTTTTTCATTCCAGCAGCACTCAAGATACCACAGTTGCAACCCTTTCAAGAATCATTCTGAGTCTTTTGGCCTCTGAACACCATGCGTTTCGCTGCCCTTTCCGCAACGCTTCTGGCTCTCGCACAGCATGCGTACGCCTTGCCACTTGAAGCCGATGGGACTTCTGCGCTCGACGTTACCTTAAGCCGTGTCAGTGACACTCGCATCAAGGCTGTCGTGAAGAATTCCGGCAAAGAAGATGTCACCTTCGTGCATCTCAATTTTTTCCGTGATAGTGCACCCGTCAAGAAGGTCAATGTCTTCAAGAACGGTATGCAGAATCTCCCCGATAAATATTAACTCAAAAATAACTCTATGTCAGATGCCGAGGTTACTTTTGAGGGAATCAAGCGGCGTTTCGTGCTCAGTGGTCTCAGCTCAGAGTCCCTTACCTCGCTTGCTGCAGGAGAGACTTTTGAAGATGAATTTGACATTGCCAGTACCACGGACTTGTCCAGCGGAGGTGCTTTGACGCTCAACTCGAACGGTGCAGTGCCCATAGTTATTGACGGTAAAGTCACTGGCTACCTGCCATACCGTTCCAATGATCTCAAGATCGATGTCGACGGTATCAAGGCATCCCGGGTCCAGAAGGCCATCAAGCCTCTCGATCGCCGTACAGTCGAGTCTTGCAGTAGCTCAAGCAAGAAGTCAGCACTTGCCACTGCTCTCAAGAACACTGTGAGCCTTTCAAACGCTGCCGCTGAGGCTGCGCTTTCTGGATCTTCCACCAAGTAAGTACACACAGCACACCGGTCTGATTCAAGGATGCTAATAAAACACGACAGGTTCAGCGAGTACTTCAAGACCACCAGTAGCGCAACCCGCCAGACCGTGGCCAACCGCTTCAAGGCCGTGGCTAGCGCTGCTGCCTCTACAAGCACTACATCCTATAAGTACTACTGCTCGGATACCTACGGATAGTCAGTATCTCCCTTCTGATAAAGTTTGCTCGTTAGTTCGTGACTAACAGATGTTGTATGAGTAGCTGCGAGACCAATGTCTTGGCTTACACTCTGCCATCTCTCAATGTTATCGCCAATTGCGATATCTACTACACCTACCTCCCTGCATTGGCTGATGTATGTCACGACCAAGATCAGGCCACCACAACTCTCCATGAGCTCACCCACGCTCCGGGAGTCTTCAGCCCCGGCACTGATGATTATGGATATGGATACAGCGCTGCGACAGCCCTCTCTAGCGCAAAGGCTGTGTTGAATGCTGACTCGTACGCGCTGTATGCGAATGGTTAGTGTCTCAGATCAACTATCTCTAGTAAAACCTTACTGACTAGACAATAGCGATCAACCTTGGTTGTTAGTTCGCTATCATTCCCTGTAATTGCTTCAAGATAGAAGCGAGGAGCGCCAGGATCAGTTGGAATTGCCAGAGAGTATTAGTTGTTTTTTAGTAAATATTGTCGATCCGAGAAACCAGTTGTGAGAGAACGTTGTCCGTGAATGAGAGATTATGCAGACATATTGCGAATGGAAGCCTGACTATGATGAGATTCTTGACATCTTCCGAGTTTGGGGTTCAAATGGAATCCGTAAAGATAGACTTAGTCTGTATTGCCACGATAGATCCCCTTATATCGAAGTCACCAGGGCCTTCTCATCTTCACTATACTTCACTCCCTTGCAGAAGCAACGATTAACATTGTTGCAGGCCTCTTTGTTCCTCTTGAGTTGCTCAAGCCTCATTAGTGCAAGTGATTATCGCAGACCCAAATTGTTGGCCTTCTCATCTGAGATCATCTGAGAAATATCTTCCTTGCCTTCTTGCCTGCGGGATAGTTATAGATTCGAATCTATCAGGGTAGGAATTTCCTGGAACCGCATTCCAATGCACTCCGGGGCGAACTGTGTAGTATGACCATGATAGCAAAAGAACAAGCTAGAGAGTTTGAGAGCTTGGCAACATCCACATCATTCATCTTGGCTTGCTTTGGGGAGATCCCTTCCCGTTGCAGGCGACTGGAGAAGCAGCATCATTTCAATGAAGTCCACAAGAAAAAGCAACTCCGCCCTACATGATTACATGTAGTTTATGGCATCAGTCTTCCACAGGGAGTGCCCCACCGGCTTGCATCTCGAGTGCCACCTCATCAACTTTCTTCCACAATCTCAACAGATTGCTTCCTGCCACTTTGCTTGCATCACTGTCACTGACACCCCGTTTCAGCAGCTCCTTAATCAAATCTGGGAACTTGGACACATTCTCCAATCCCCGCGGGACCGTGGGAATACCATCAAAATCACTACCTATACCAACATGCTCGAAGCCTATGAGGTTCCCAATGTACATAATATGATCGACAACTCGTTCCAGAGTGGCGTGGGCAGGGTCCGTGTCTGGCATTCCATCAGCACGGTCAGAAGCCGTGCAGGAGATGAAGTCCGGTGAGAAATTGACCATGACTAAAGAATTTTTCTCGCGGACCAGCTTCAAAACGTCGTTGGGTACATTTCGTGGGTGCGGACAGAGCTCATAGGCAGAGCTGTGGCTGTAAATCACTGGAGCGCGACTCCCTCCCCATTCGGATTTGCCAGCTCCCAGCACATCACGCATAGTCTCGGTGCTCACATGGGCCAAATCCACGATCATGCCGAGGCGATTCATCTCGAACACCAGCTTTTGACCTTCTTCACTGACACCATGCCAGAGAGGGTCGGCTTTCTTGATTCCGCCGCCCGGAACTTCGAGAAGGGCAGCATCAGCATAGCGGTTATGACAGTTATGCGTCAAAGTTGCATACGAAACTCCCAACTCATAGAAAATTCGGAGGTGGGCCAGTGAGTTTCCGATCGAATGCAATCCCTCAATGCCAAGCGGCGAAATGATCTTGCCTTCGCGGAAAGCGGACAGGGCAGTTGTGCCATTGGGCGGGGTTGAAAAGACTTTGGGATAAGCCTGTTGAACTCGCGACATGACATCAACCTGCTCCATTGTCTCACGCACGCCTAGTATGGCTAGGTGAGCATATTGGGCAGCAGTCAACCCTTGAAGTTCACTCACTTGCTGCATAATTCTCATCGGACAGATCGGTCCCATTTGCAGGACAGGGCACGAAAACACTCCAAAAGCTGCCACCAACTCTACCTTGTTTTAATCGAGGAATGTCCACATGCCCAGGTAATGTTCCTTTGACAAACGGCTCCGTGAAGTTACGATTATTTATACGATTGTGAAACATCTCCCGGACCAAGATCGGGAAGTCGTCATGACCATCTAGTTCAGTCATCAGTCTCGGTCATCCATCTCAATATAGCTCCACTGGCTCCATACCAAACAGTGGAGTCTGCGATAAGATGATTTGCGCCCTTTCCTCGATGCTTCGAGGGGAACGGGAAGAATGGGACCATGTGAACCAGGCGGTGGTAACGAAGATACAGAGAGTCAGCCACCAACTCGGGTGGAAGTGTGTTTTCTTTCGAACAGCATCTTCCTGGCTTCCCAGCAGGGAGTTCTTCTCTTGGCTCATAATGGTGGACAGATGTACGGAGTACGGAGTACCTGGGGAGGTGTTGTGAAGTCGATGAGGTGCTTATCGATAAGACTTTGTCAGGTGCATGTCATTTCCTTCGAGTGCCTACATGTAGGTCCTAGGTACTCCGTACCGGAGGAGAGGAGTGCTAGATACATTATGTATACATATAAGCTACGGTGGGATGAGTTCTGAATAGTAAATACATACTCTAGGTACGTACATGTAACTACCTCATTGCATGTAATCAATCAGGAGTTTCAAGATTGTATGATGTAGATAGTTCTCCCGTCCGGTGTAGGAGTGTTTACTCCCATCTACGATGTGTACATATAAACGGAAAGAGAGGAGATCGACAACCCTTGGCCGGAATTCCCTTGCCAGACATAACTCCATAAAGTACCTACATCGTATAGTCCCATGGATGTAGTTGGGTGTCGTACTCCTCGGATTTTGCCATCGTGTCGCAGTGGACTAGGCGGTGAATTCGCAAATCAGACCGCTTTCCAACGCAGATGTCTGGGGAGAGGACAACCTTCCAAGGTTGGATCGGGTAGGCTGACTTGTTTCGTCTCTTCCTGAGATCCTCGTGGTTTTTGCTTGATATTTCTCTCTCCCAAATTGGAAATTCAAGCTTATCATGACACAACCTGCCAAGACCACAGCCGGTTTGCTGCCCATTTCGGCAGCAGCTACACAGAAGTCGGGCTCTGGAGCGACCGCAAGAAAGGCACCCAAGCACCCCGCTCCACGTCTCAAACTTATCATTCGACGCTTGCCTCCCGGACTCACGCAAGCCGAGCTGGAGAGTGCTCTCGGAGATCCGTGGAAGGCTGGAGCAGGCAAGGTCGACTGGCTCCAATATAAGCCTGGTAAGGTGTCGAAAGAGTAGGATACGCCCTCTCCCAATATAGCACTATGTTGCTTTTGACTAACTAAACCATCTTGAATAGCCTCAACAAACCGTCTCGCCCCTCACGAGCATATATCCACGTTGTGTCCACCGATTGTGTCTCTTCGCTCTCAGAGACCGTGCGCCAGGCTTCTTTCCAAGATGCCCGTAACACTTTCCATGACCCCATCCTACTTGGACCTCCGTCACTGGAGTTTGCACCCTACGCTAAGACTCCCGGGAGCCGCTCGCGCAAGGATGCTCGTCAGGGCACGATTGATCAAGATTCAGACTTCATTGCTTTCTTGGAAAGCCTGACCCAGCCCATAACCAAGCCCGCTGCTGTGGATTCCGCGACGGATACCGATGACAAGAAAAAGGAAATTGTCATGACAACCCCGCTCGTGCAATTCATCAAAGACAAGAAAGCCAGCAAGTCAAAAGATAACGCCTCGTCGAAGTCCAAGCATAGTCGGTCGGAAAAGGAATCGAAGCAGGAGAAAGTGCAGGCGAAGAAAGTTCTACAGCGAGGTGATAAGGAGACCACCGTCAATTCTTCCGATAAGAAATCTAAAGGAGAAAAGCCGAGCAAGGACTCTGCAAAGGTCGCCAAACAAGGCAGCGCTTCCAATCCGAAGGGAGGCAAGTCAAGTACCAACGCTACAAAAGAAACGACCGCAGCTTCTGAGCGGAAAAGAGAGCGCGGGAATGTCGCAGTGACCACCAAAATTCTTCAGCGTGATCCTGGGCTATCCACATCTGGCGGGCGACGACGTGGCAAAGGTGGTTCGACCGATACTGCCTCCTCCAAGAACGAGAGCTCTCGAGACTCGCCTGTCTCTTCAGCCGATGCGCCAAAAAGAGAGGCACCCAGACAGCCCAAAAATGCATCATCTATAGCCAATTCTACAAAGCTCAAAGATGGCGACTCGTCCTCACGAGCCAATGCGGCACCTGTTCCAGTTACAAATCCGCCCGCGAAATCTACTAAAAGCGGCAAGGCAAAACCGCCATCCACTGCCAAACAAGCTTTCCTTAAACACGCCAACCCATCTCAGGGGGTGACTGAGGCACTCCTGGAGTCTGCATTCACCCCGTTCGGAGCAGTAACCAAGGTTGAGATCGATAAGAAGAAGGGATTTGGATATGTTGATTTCGCTGAACCGGAAGGACTTCGCAAGGCCATCGCTGCTAGCCCTGTTTCGGTGGCCCAAAGTCAAGTGGTGGTGTTGGAACGCAAAGAAAATCCCGGGGTTGAAAAGTCTCGCAAAGGTCGCGAGGCTTTCACTTCCAACAAGGCCAAGACAGTTCCCGAGGCTGCGGGAGGCGCTGCGGGAGCTGGGGCAGTTGACGGTACTACGGCAGGTAACACTGGCTCCTCGCGCGGATCTCGTGGAGGACGTGGGTCGCGGAATAAGGGACCCAAGGGAGGCGCTGGAGCTTCGGGGAAGACTGGAGGCGCCGAGGCGAAGTAGGAGCGCGCATGATTACCTAGTGCTCTAGCAATTCACGAGACATGATACCCAAAGGAATGATAGATGTTATCGATGACGATGAGGACAACGGGAAGGACTGAAAGTTAAAATCACTCATCCGAACAGTTCAAAGCAGATTTCATGAAACACACCCTGTTCTCTCCGTGGCAGCAGTCAAGCATAGGACTGAGGAACTCTACAACACGCATCGCGGTGGCCTGAGGCCTGAGCAAGTCAAATGAACCATTCTTGGAGTTACAAAGGACTGCATGGATCCCATGAATACGTAGCATAAGAAGCTATTACAGAGCAGAAGAGTAGTCAAATGAAATCAGGTTTTTCACTAATACAGTATGTATCTTTCCCTCACAGCGCTCCATACCCACAACCAAAGATGGAAGAGGACCTTTCAGACCTCCTCGACACCCACCAGGACCGACCGACCGAAGTCAGACATCGAGACCAGGTCAAGATCATCACCACTCCCTGGACCGGAACGCAGACACTGCAAGCAGCACGCGTAACAGTCGAGGCGGGAGTAAAAAGGTTTCACTTTAGGGCATCGAGGACATGTAGTCATCAGCAAGGGTGGAGATTCTGTGGCTCTTTTAAAGAGCTTAGAAAGGGGACGTCTACTCTAAAGTGATTCTTTGAACTGTGGAAATGGTTAGTGAGATGTCCAAGAAACAGCTGATCCCCTGAGGGAGTTTGAACTGTAGAGGGGGGATGAACATACGTAGAGTCGCTTGAAAAACAGAAGAAGGTCCGGGGGACTGGCCTTATTTATACCTTCTGCTGGCCACGCTAGCCGTAAGCGAGAATGTCGATGTTTGCTCTGTTTGTTTGTTCGTAGTCCCGTGGCGGGACCATGGACCAATCACCAGCTCTTCCATTCTTCATCGGTGGATCTCCCGAGTGGACCTCTCAGCAGAAATTTCAGTTCCCGTCGCGGCACTGGGCTGGTTCACTTCTCCTTACGTGACAATTTGCTGTTTTGATGTGTCAAGCTTCCATTTCGGTTTTGGTTTGGGTTTAATTCGGCAAGCCGACTTGCCGGTTTTCACTCGTATATGTACATACTCCGTTCATATGTATATTGCACAAGTCGATTTGGCCGCATAGTCTGCGGCCTTCGAAGAAGCTCGAGCGGGTATTAGTCAGCGAAAAGGTTCATTTTTTACAACCTGACTTTCCGATGTATAATCTTTAGATATTGTAGGTATTGCTGTACCAGTGCATCGTAGTGTGCACCAAGTCGTCGTCAAGGACAACATAGATAAATAACCTGTGGAAGATTCAATTGATCTCAAGAAAATCGTCATTGAGCATATACCCTGGGTTTTACAATGTTTTCCTATTCGATTGAGGCTTGTAACTTGTCATCATGATTGGCGCTAGTCTAGGACATAAATATGTTACATATATATATATCTCTCTCACAGTTGATATCCTCTGTCTTCCCACCACGGTATGTTGTGTATGATGGCCGATATCTCGACGTTTGCCTATGGTTGCAGATTAATCTTTATGCTTTTTCTCCCATGTGTCTCAAAATGTAGTTTAGGGTCCATGTTTGAACTGTTGTATACACCGGACTATATCACCGTGATAGACACATACATGTATACATATGTGTATGTAGATTGCACAGAAGACACCATTGGAATACATATGTAGTAATTGTAACGTCATCAAATGTTAATTTCGCTCCATGTTGTATACCTCACGTGTAAAAGACTACAAAGTACATGCGCAGTGAACAATTAAAGGTTCCCCCGGAGCCTCGGACAGGGTCTCTTCCGAAATATCGGGCCGCGCACCCGCTTTCTCTTATCGCTTATCGCCTATCGCCTTTGTGCGGGGATCTCTCTCAGGCCCTCTCCGTAGACTCCTCAAGCATGGCACGCCCAAAGGTCCATCCAGCAAATAGGCTACGAGCTAGTACTGCATGCACTGCCTGTCGTGCATCTAAAAAGCGCTGCAGTGGCTACTTCCCATGCACCAATTGTATCCACAAAGGACGTGGCCGCTTGTGCACCCCGTTCAAATCCTTATCAGATGCCAGCCTCCGCAACCGCCCCGTTCCTGTGTTCCGATCCGCAGTTGAGGCACCCCAGACATCGAGCGGATCAGCAGTTGACATACAAAGACGCCTGAGATCACAGTCCCAGGACACTGTTCCCCATGACCGTGGGCCCGGCGCGTTAGGAGCGGGATCACATTCGCCTGAAGCTACACATCGGACGCATCCGCGCATGCTCCGTAACCTGCAAGGAGAAAGAGGTACGAAGCCCTGTGGCCTCCAATCACATGACTGTATTGACTCTATCCGCAGTATATGTTGGGAAAGCCGCCTCCCTGTCATTTCTGCAATTGCTTCGAGATACAGTGACTCAACATATTGGACCCTCACAGTTCTCCCATAATGTGGGAAGTGAGGATATGCTAGAGTCAGAGACCCATCATGATTCGCTGAACTTCTCCGAAGAAGGTTGTAGCGCTGACGAGAAGGGTCGTTTCATCCAGCATTATGACGTAGCGGTAGGGCAAATGCCGACCATGATTTATCCGCTGAGCAGACTGCTGATTACATGCAAGACGAGAGGCTTTCTCAATTTAGGCTGCCAAAATGATACTCCCTCCGCATGGCCAATCCCAGAAGAGCCAAGTTCTAACCAGGAAAAAACGAGGGCGGCTATTATAGACCTCATGATTGCCATTGGGGCACAGTCATCCACCAACGATTCTAACACACTTCGAATAGAGCGGTTCTACTTTGCTCGTGGCCAACGTAGAGCCTTTTCCAACATGCTGGAAGATCCCAGTCTGGATCTAGTGCGAACCTTTCTACTCATGTCATTTTATATGCTAGGGGCATGTCGTCGAAACACGGCTTTCATGTACCTGGGAGTGGCTTCACGAGCAGCAGTGGCGCTTGGGCTCCACGCAGATTCTTCAGGATCAACGAGTCAGGATGAGGGTAATGTTCATAGTCAACGGTAAAAAAATTCCACGGATTTTATTTGAGCTAGCTGATTCCCAACAGATCACAACTGTGGATGAGCCTATGTGTGCTAGATCTGCTCGTCAGTTCAATTCTTGGACGACCTTCTGCTATATCGCCTTTATTACCCGAGAATCGACGAGAACCTAGTTGGATAGGAATAGCGCCGACGGATTCTGGCTTGATGGCTTCATACTATCTGTCATTGATACTAGACGAGATCCTAAGCCGTCTTTATAGCGGGAAAGCTGCGTCCGCAGAGACAGCAGAGCTGCTGTTACGGAGGCTCAATAGCTGGAGTGGATGTCTGCCTCAAACTCTGAGAACTCCAATTTCAGAACAGAAAGATCGGAACACCATCCAGAGACATACGATCGGAAACATGCATGTTGCATGTTCATATCATTTTGCAGTGATCCTAGTCACCCGTCCTTTTCTCATCTCAGCTCTCAGCGTCCGGCTTGCTAAGTTGCAGCAGAGCCTTTCGACGGTTGAATCCGGTGAAGAACTCGAGGAAGACCCAGCTCACTCTCGGCTTGCAGCTGCATGCATTGATTCAGCTGTGTACATGCTGCAGACGTGTATGGAAGTCCAGCAATCTAGGTTGCTTCTTCGAAATATGTGTTTACTCAAGTTTGTGGTTGCGAATACCCTCTCAATGGCTCGAATATTAACATTAACCAGAGCATTTATCTTTGCCGCAGCTCTTGTACTCGGATTCTCTATGTTCTCCAACCGCGAAGTGAACTCCGAGGTCGATGATGCATTCCGCGGTGCCCTTTCCATTTTGCGCATGCTGGCATTGCAGTCTGCCCAGGCAGCCCACTATCTAGAAATCACCACAATGCTTGAGGCTGCCATAAACCAGCAGCGCCAGCGTCTCGCAACTCAGGCTCGACGGCGACGGAGTCAATATGTGAGTCGGATCTTTAGCTTAAACAGCAACTCGGCAACAGCGCCGATACAATTTGAAGAGGACGAGGAAGTAAGCAATGAGACACCGGCTCTAGGGCCGGGTATCCCATCATGCTTGTTGTTACATCCCGACGACGGCTCAGCTGCCGTCACGCCACCCATGATCGATGGTACTTTATTTGACTGGGAAGGCATGGACTTGCCATTATGGGATAGTTTCCCATTTCTCACCGAGCCAAGTACCATGTGATGATCTGCGATTTCCCCTTATTCTTGAATTGCTGAGCATGAGCGCGGGTACAGATAACTACAAGTATACAATAACTACCTACATACATATCAAGACTTTGACATCCCATGGTCAAGGACACATGATACTCAATCGGACCGGGTGTGTGACCATGGAGAGCTGCAATGTCGTATATTTTTAGATAGACGACCTCACTGTTGGAATTAAGAAGCCCGGGGGATAAAGGTTCGAAGTATCCCAGTAGAGCTGGTAGATATCGCCAACGTCTGTCTCCTTCAGACGGAAGGAATCGCTCAAGAGCCCACCCGGCTCTTGCCACATGAGATATTGGCCATAAAAGAGAAACTGATCTACTGCTGCATCACCAGGAGTCTCGACTTCGTTCCCAGTAAATCCCACCGGTAGCACCTTGCCCGACTTGGGGCGGATGTAAAATAACGTGTCCTCGTCGAAGGTGTAATCCTTGTTTGTCGCCGTTGCGAATATTCGGGAGTTGTTGAAGACGACTAAATTATTAAAACATGGACTTCAAAGATGGAAATACATATGGGATGTCTTCTCAAAGAAAAGACCATCTTACATGTCACGTCGGTCGTTACCGATCCCGACACCCACTGAGAAGAGTCGCCGGCATAGGCGAGTCCTGCGCATTGTGTCAGACAAGCGGTATGAAGACTGCCAATTATATGATACCATCGGAATAAAACACGTTGATCGGCTCAGACATGACCCCGTAGGCAAGAAGGGAGAACGATCCGGTCGGATAGCGTTTCTGCAGGGAGGAGGTCGCCCAGGCCTGCGAAACTAAAGCCAAGAGGCAGTTGACTTTCATGATTCCAACAAAACCAGAGGAGATTCACTGGGAACTCAAAAAAGGAGATCGAACAAGAGCGTCAGCTGGACAGTTATATCCTGTCAGACACGTTCCACCGACGTTAGATCGGGGGGTTGACGTGGTCAGATGCACGACCCTCAAGCACCAGCGAGCATTGGATTTAGAGGCGTGTTTCAGAACTCAAGAGAAAATCTAATACTCCATGCAATAAACCTTGAAAGTCCATTGAATCCCCACCATGGCCAATCCAGTCTTCTCAGGACCAAGGGCGACCCTGGGATTCTCCTGGTAGGGTTGTCGAAGCGATTGGGTAGCAGTGGCAGTCCCAAGTGCCGGAGACAGGAATTGGCATCGTTTTCCTTAAATGCACTGTAACCCCTCTGGTTTGGCCCTCTTGGTCCCTTTGGCAATAGGATGTTCAAGGATATTCCCTGGATATACGGAGTAGCCGAGTAGGTACTCCGTACTTTGGGGATTACTGCACGTAAGCTATGTAGTTGCCTCAGAGCTGGTGCCTGGGGCGCCAATCAGTGACCTAAAGAAGTATCGAAGTATAGGAGTCCAGGAGTCCAAAAGTATACAAGTATAGGAGGATAGAAGGATACCTAGCTAGGAGAGTCGGAGTATAGAGATAGAGAGCATTACCGAAATGCAGCGAGAAAGTCGAAGAAACAGCCTTGAAGATATCATTGATTGTTCCTCTACACACTACATATAGGTATGTACATACTAGGCACTCTAATGATAATCCCGTAGAATGAGTTGGTCGCCGTCCTTCGTTGAGTTGGGCCTTGGACTCCCCCCACACACACTCTCAAGATACCCTTCATCCCATCCATCTCATTCGAAAGGAGATAAATGTCCGGAGAACGATGGCAACAGGAAGCAGCTGGACGCGGATCCGATGATAAGCGGTGCACGGCCCGGTGGTGCATTACCCGCCAAGTGACTTGTATAGAAAGACATATATAAAGGAGAATGATATTTATATGAGAACACAGGTTCCTATTCACATCTCTGTACTATCTGAAGCTTTATCGATCTAAACATACATCATGTCGGGCTGGAGGAGTCTTAACGTGGGCGTCATTGGCGGCGGTATTGGAGGCATGTCCGCCGCAATTGCTCTACGTCGCGCAGGGCACACGGTGACCATCTACGAGAAATCGGATTTCGCAGGTGAAGTTGGTGCCTCGGTCTCGTGTGCTGCCAACGGAACCCGCTGGCTACACGAGTGGAACGTGGATATCGCTAAAGGTGACCCTGTCATTCTGAAAAAGCTTATCAATCGTGACTGGAAGACAGGCGAACCTGTCAGTGTGTATGATCTTGACGATTATGAGAAGCGCTGGGGATACGTGTATAACATGTTTCATCGCCAGTATATGCATACCATGCTGAATGATGCGGCGTTGGGCGAGGGCGAAGGGATCCCTGTCACACTGAAAGTGAATCATCGGGTATGTTTGTGTCTTTGTCTAGACAGGAGTATACCCTGTGCTAATATTGCCTGGTAACCAGTGTCGCGACATAGATTTGACAACGAGCACGATTGTTTTTGAGAACGGCCAAGTGGTCTGTCATGATCTGATCATCGGGGCTGATGGAATCGGTTCGGCCGTTCGAAGCACCATCGGAATCAAACCGGCAAAGCGACCTTCCGACCAGAGCTGCTTGCACACAAACGTGAAAACCGAAGATGCTGTCAGGCTCGGCCTGGTCAACTACTCCGACGATAGCGCACTGGAGTATTGGGGTGGCCAGGAAGGTAAATGGGACAAGATTGTTCTGTCGCCCTGTAATGGCGGCAAACTCCTGTCATACTACTGCTTTTTCCCACGGGAACAAGGCGACTATTCCACACAGGCATGGGGGGCCGATGATCGTCCCGTCGAGGAACTCCTCAACCCATACCCGGAACTGGATCGGCAAGTGTTTAACCACCTGAAGATTGGGACTGAGATCAAGCCCTGGCGTCTTTGGGTCCATGACCCGTATCCGTACATCCAACGGGGTAGCACCTGCCTCCTAGGAGATGCTGCACACCCAATGATGCCCCATCAAAGCCAAGGAGCCTGCATGGCCATCGAAGATGCGGCAGCCCTTGGAATTCTATTTGACAAACGTTATTTCGCTGGAGATATCGCGCAGGCGCTCGCGGTTTACGAGGAGGTGCGCTTGCCTCGTGTCACAAGAGTTCAAGCAGCAGCAGCCAAAGCAGCTTATAACATCAATGAGCGGATTGGTGAGTGACCCTGGTCTGGGTCATATTGTGCGAAGTGTTTGCTGATCCGCAGATAGGGTTCTCCGTCAACAAAGATATCCCCACATATAAAGTCGAAGACGCGAAAAAGGTTCTTACTGTAGAGGAGATGAATGCGTGAGTCCAACAGATCTCTATCGTGAAGAAGTACTAATCGCAAGTAGCTATGACCTGTACGAAGACATCAACGAGAAACTTGCAGCAAAGCGCGGGTCAACTTATACCGACCAGTTTCTGTGTGGACTGCCCATCGGACTTGAGTTGCCGAATGGAATCACGGTCGGAGCGAGCGCCTAATGTATATCAAGTGCTTTCCAAAGAGGGATGGATTCATTGGGGACATAGTGCTGTTTAGCTTGGCTTGTATGGATCAAATTGGCTGTGTGTCGAGCTAGTCTGTAGGAATTGTAAATACGTGTATATCAACATTCAGATGTTTTGATGGAATGCCGAGCCCAGTAATGGTTTGTCTGTACATTTCATGAAAAGAATAAGAAAAGAATTCTTCAGCTGTGGGCTCTTGGCTTTGCGGAGGGTTTCGGTAGGTGATGCCCCGAGCGGGATGCCTTGACCCGGTGAGATTATGCACCGAAGCCCGATCTACAGGAACATTTACGGTATCATTGGACGGGAGATAGAGACTGGTGTCCCGAGTTCCTGCGGGCTGTTGAGAAGCTACTTCATATATGTTCGGAGTATGTTGTTAGAATCCAAACAAAAGTGGGCCTCAATGGCCCATCAAACGACTATGAGACTCGCCTACGCTGTACATCGCAGATATGCCGCACATCCGTGTAGATATGAAGATACGAAATCTGCTCCTTACAATGTACCGAGTAATAGAAGCAGTTGACAGGAAGTGGAGCCTTCAATTTATATATACAAAAACGAAACTGTGCAGTCATGTATCATCAGCTCATTGCCTTGAACTTTCCAACTATTTTGTTATGGTTATTTTCTCCGTTATTTTTTCTCTTTAAAACAGAGCATCACCTAGGCGGTAGTGCACCGTCTTAATCTGGGTGTAGTTATCGAGCGCGTAAGAGCCGAGCTCGCGACCAATGCCGGACTCCTTGAAGCCACCGAAGGGGGCCTGGTAAGAGATCATGTTGTAGTTGTTGACCCAGACGGTACTGCAAAACAGTTAGCTTTGGAATGGCAGAGAATCATCGAAATTAAACATACCCAGCCTTGAGAGCGTTGGAAACGCGGATGGCAGTGTTGACGTTCTTGGTGTGAACACCAGCAGCGAGACCTAAGGGACAATTAGCATGATCGTTCATAGTTTCAAGATTGACATGAACAATACATACCGTAGCTGCTGTTGTTGGCAATGCGAATGGCATCGGCCTCATCCTTGAACTTGGTGACGGCAATGACGGGGCCGAAGATCTCCTCCTGGGCGATCTTCATGTCGGTAGTGACGTCAGTGAAGACGGTGGGCTGAATGAAGTAGCCCTCAGTACCGTGACGCTCACCACCCAGGGCGACAGTAGCACCCTCCTTCTTGCCGTGGTTGATGTACTCCATGATGCGATCGAATTGGAGCTGCGAAACTTGGGGACCCTGGAAGGTGTCACCCTCGAAGGGGTTACCGAGCTTGTTCTGAGCGGCACGCTCCTTGAAGCGAGCGACAAACTTATCGTGGATGCTCTCCTGAACCAGCAGGCGAGAGCCAGCGCAGCAGCACTGGCCGTGGTTGAAGAAGATACCGAAGTTAGCCCATGAGATAGCGTTGTCAATATCAGCATCCTCGAAGACGATGTTAGGGGACTTGCCACCCAGCTCGAGGGTGACCTTCTTTAAGTTGGACTTGGCGGCGGCCTGCAGAATCATACGGCCAACAAGGGTAGAACCAGTGAAGGCGACCTTGTCAATATCCATATGGCTAGAGATAGCGGCACCAGCCACACGACCGAAGCCGGAGATAATGTTAATAACACCGGGAGGGAAGCCAGCCTCGACAATCAGCTTAGCGGCATAGAGACCAGACAGAGGAGTCTGTTCGGCGGTCTTAATGATCACAGTGTTTCCAGCAGCGACGGCGGGGCCGATCTTCCAGGCCCACATCAGAAGGGGGAAGTTCCAGGGAATGATCTGACCGCAGACACCGATGGGCTCGTGGCGGGTGTAGGAGAGGGTCTCGGAGTTGGTATCAATGGTCTGACCAGTGATCTTATCAGCCCAACCACCGTAGTAGCGCAGACAGCCAGCGGCATTGGCGACATCAACCTTGGCCATAGTGATAGCCTTGCCGTTGTCGAGGGACTCAATGGAAGCCAGAGTCTCCATATCACGCTCGAAGAGGTCGGCCAGCTTGGTGAGCATACGGCCACGCTCCGAAGGGGTCACCTTCTTCCAGGCACCCTCGAAGGCCTCACGGGCAGCCTTGACAGCGATATCAACATCCTTCTCGGAAGCCTCGTAGACCGAGGTGATGACCTTCTCGTCGGTGGGGTTCAAAGTCTCGAAGGTCTTGCCGTCGACACCCTTGACGAACTCGTTGTTGATGAACCTGGAACTCGATTAGCCATGAGATCATCCGCGGGGTCAAATTACATACAAGCCGAGAGGCTGTTCGTAGGTGACATTGGGAGTCTTGATAGTAGTTGAAAGAGACATGATGAGGTGACACGGGGTATCACAGATAGATGCAAGAAGAAGAAAGAGGGGGAATATCCAAGTTTTTATAGCGTGTACCTACGAGGTCCTTCCGGCACAACTTGCTTTCCACGGTTCTTGATGCGGGGGTCACCGGTGTATGGTCATGTATCGTACGGTATCCTAAACGAGGTACCCCGTACATCGCCAAGTGACGGGCACATCGTACGGGAGGGAGGTACCTAGGTACCTTTACCTGCGGAGTACATGTATGTGATATACCTACCTGTACACATGCCTCGACGCTGCAACTTTCTACGGAGTATAATATCCCTCGGTTCCCTTGCTCGTGGGAGAGAGGCTTACATTCCCCCTCTCTTGGGATCCTTTGCTCGACGGAGTAGGTCCGTACCTAGGTATCGACCTGGAAGGTCTTGGCGCTGACCATCAACGTGTTCTCAAGGCCCTCTCGGGTCAACGCCGAGTTGATCATCCATGATACAACGTATACTCCCAAGTCCAAGTCCGTACCTCTTTGGGGCCGTTTGGAATTTTCCCTAAAGTAGGGACTGCGCATACATTGCCCTGGTTGGATTCGGACCAAGGGGTGAGCAGGCAGTGGGCTAGATGTGATCATCGTGATGTGTACTCCGTACACGGGCTAATATCCCCCCGGTGACAGTGATACCCCAGCGGGTGGGTCAATAAATGATTGGTAATGTATGCGGGATGTGGTATAGTCAAAAGGAAAAGGGAGTCTTGAACTCGAGAGAAAGCAGACTGAGCTTCTCTCTTGTCAGCAACTATTCAGCTTCCTGCAAGCGAAGGGGAACTGCTACAGGAGAGATGCATCTGGAGTAGAAATCAGATGACTTTCCCGAGGCAAATTGCATCTTATGTACGGAATAGATAGATAAGGTCTGGTCTCCTCAAAGTCACTGGAAATAAACGGCAATGGAGAGATAGAACAAAGAGTGGGACTACTTCGGACGCTTTGCAATATCACCTAGGTAATTGATACATAGATATGATTCGGATTATACACTAATGTCATAGGGAGACCCTCTGCTAGAGCTTCCCGCGGGTTAAGAACCGCACGGGAAGATCGACATGTCGCGCCCGCAGGTATTCTGCCACATTCTTTCCTAGGAAATCGACGGTGGTGGTCACCCCAACCCCACGATCCAGGAGATTGCGGAACAGGAAATGCACGGCATGGAGGCTAGGCAATTCGAAGCGCTCAATTGCTAGTTGGGGATTCTCGCGGCCTTCATCCCCCAACAGTTCTTGCACTGTGTCGACAGACAACAAGACCCGCAGCCATTGGTACTCATCGCGGTGACGCACCCAGAACCCGCAATTAGCATCCGCCCCCTTATCACCAGAGCGTGCGTGAACGATCCAGCCAAGTGGGCCACGAGTCGTCGGTCCAAAGTCATGGACAAGATCGACGGGTTCGTCGGTCTGGGTAATAGGCTGGGACGGTTGGCGTGCTGGGTATGTCTTGGTATTGGGTGGAGGCGAAATATCAAGAGTTTGTGTGGACGCTGTCGGCTTCCAAGGCATGTGCACCCGATGCTGGACTGCGGACTGCGGCAGCAAGCTAACATAGTACTCGAAGATGGCACGTGGGAACCCCTGGCGCATATCCAAGTGGAAGGTAGCGCCGGGATAGCCCTGCATGATATTATCAGTGATAGGTTTGAGGAAACGCGTCGGCGCAAGGTCCTCCGCACGGCGTGCCTGCACGACGATACGCAGCGGCACAGTGGCGCGATTCTGATTGGTTGGGTCAGACAGACAAGATCCCAGTAGGTCGAACTTGAGGGATGTGTATTTGTCTGAATAGGGTGACAACAACTGGCGGATCTGTCCCTCCAGCATGCGTGCTTTGGCTTCGATATCCAGACCGGTCAAGAACCACCATGCCTCGGCCTGGAACCCACCTCGCGCAGTGATACCGATTTTGGTTGTGGGCGGAGGAGGAGCAAACCGGACCCCGTGAACAGCGACGCGGTTGATGCCGCGCTGCGAAAAATGGATACCATCGAGTACCGCAGTAACGTCGGAGTTGTAATACAAGGGACCTTGGATTTCATAGAGCAGCTGGGATGTACAAGTATCGACGGTCACTGCACCACCAGTGGCGTGTGCCTGCTTCGTGATCACCACATCGCCTTCTGTAGATATCTCGGCGATGGGATATCCAATATCGGCCCAGCCGCCTCCATCTGCATGCTCTAGGGCCTTGAAGCCTGTGAAGTTTCCACCGCAAACGTAATTGCTACACTCGATGAGATGACCTGCCACAAAAGCATTGGCTAACTTGTTAAGTTCATCACGCTGCCAGCCATGGTACCAGTACGCAGCCCCGATGACCGGTGAAGCATCTGAGACACGCCCACACAGTACAATATCAGCACCGTCTCCAAATGCGGCTGCGATACCGAGACCACCGAGATAGCACTGGGCATAGATGGGCTCGAAGGACCAGTCCGCCAATCGCTCGCCTGTATAGATGTTGCGAAACTCGGACCCAGCATCCAACCCCTTCTGAATAGTAGATAGCACTTCATCTCCGGAAACCCATGCTATCTTTAAATATAAGTCAGCAGTTTTGGATATACTTTAGGCAAAGTGTGGGCCGACCTTCAAGTCTAGCTTCTTTGCCTCCACCATACGGGACACCACTTTGTATAGACCTTTTGTATCTGTCACCCCAGCATTCACCGCAAGCTTGATACCATACTTAGCCAAGTCATCAAGAGCTGGTTCAAGTGCTTCCAGAAAGGAGGGCTCGTAGGCAGGGGCTGTCGCTTGGGAAATTGCTTGGTCCACGCGTCGACCCGCGGCGGTGGCCATGTTGAACTCGCTCATGAAATCAGCAATGATCACATCGATAGGATCAGACGGGTAGTGATGCGCAAAACTGGCGATAGCATGGCGACGGTCTGACGCAGAGCCCGAGGCACCTAAAAGGTCAGTTAAGGAACATTGTGCATGCAATAAAAGAACCAACCTGCAATTCGAATAGGCCGGCCCTTGTATGTCATTACGTTGTAATTAGCGCTGTCTTGTATATAGGATTCAGAAGCACGATCGTACTTTCAAGAAAAGAAGGGAAAAAAAGACAAAGAAAAAGAAAAAGAGAGGTAACCATCGCACCGCATGCGGTTCATGGCCGAGGTGGTTGTATCCCTCGGTTGCCCAGAATGCGGGGTTGACAGAACGACTAGTAGCTTCCGGTCTTTATGATACAGTGCCTAACGAGGTCGCATTGCTGAAAAGGTGATGGCTCAAGGCCTTATTGGGAGTCTGATTTCATCTGGGAGGAGAGCTGAATATTGCCTGCGGAGTACGGAGTACGGAGTAGATGCGGTATAAACCCATTGCCGTCTTGGGACTAGCGTATTCGGGGTCTATCAACTCGAAAGTCACGATTTTGACGACACCGGAGCATTGGCGATGTTACCATGTCGCGTATACCTCGGAGCCTACTTGGATTAATCCCCGTCACACGATGTTTACTTCACTGATAATCTGATCTTTGAGCATCATATCTGAAGGTATCTTTGGAAGACAGCAACGCTAATGTTAATCCCCGGGCTACCAGTAACTCCACGCATAAACAGCTAAGAAAGAATAATGGGCATATCATCTGCGCCTTGGGTTGGTATTCGGCATTGCTTCAAAGGCATCATCGTCATCGTCATCGTCATCAATACCATCGCTGATAACACTCATGTTACGGGTGGAGCGGCTGGGTCGGGATGACTGAGAGATGCTGGCCTGTGAAGCAGGGAAGTGGAGCGTAGACTGAGTTGGCTTACCTCGCGCAGGGGCGCGCCAAGAAGCGGTCCCACCAAAAGTGACCGAGGGTGGAACTGGTGAGGCAGCAGTTCGCCCACCTCGGCGCTGGGTCGCAGGTGCGATAGGAGCAGCTTTTCTCGACTTCGCCGTAACGGTAGACCGGGGCTGCTTGACAAATAATGCCTGTGAATCGTCGTCGTCGGAAATGACATTGGTTCCAGCATCATCTTCGTCATCATCCAACATAATCACATCTGGCTCCTCGTCTGAGATTGCTTGCTTCTTGCGATTTCTTGTAGACTTCTTTTCTGGAATAACTTTGGGGTTGGTGGTTCGCGCACTAGCCGCGGCGCCTCGTCCGCGACCTCTACCACGACCTCGAGTAGAGGCCGTGGCACGACTGCGAGCAGGCACCGTGCCGTCTTCTCCAGCTTCTTCCTCTGCTGGATCTCCGCCTTCATTGTCAGAATGAATTAGTGCACCGGGCTGGTCTTCCCATGCGCCATCAAACTCCGAATCCCAACCGTCCGGCTTAGGCTTGAAGCGTTTCTTTCCGCCCGTTCGCTTTTTCACGCCCTTCGAGAACATATTTTCCATTTGACCACGATATTTCTCCATGGCAGTAACCAGCGAGCTTTGTTCACTCTCCTCGTCATCCATTTCGTCATCGTCACGGTCCAAGGCCAACAAATGTTTGACCTGGCTCTCAAGGGATTCGTTGACAAACATTTCCATTGCGTGCTTATCATCCTTGTCAATGAATTGAGCAACAGCGTCTCCGAAGGAGTTCTGAGGCAGAATGCTTAGTGACTGTGATGAGAGGAACTCGCGCACGAGCTGTTCGACTTTCACAGTGTCAAGGGACGATAGGTGAGAAATGGCTGCTTCATCAACAGATATGTCACCCTTGCGTGAGGTGGATGTAATCTTCTTCTTCCGATAGAATTGCACCACATCGTTCACATTAGCAACCTTTCCCACAAAGCGGTTCGAGAATCGCTGTGGGTTTTCACAATCATAGCTACCTCCTTCAGGCGTGGAAGTCTCCACGCGCAGGCGTACCAGAGGAAGCGGGGGCTTGGGTGTACCGTCCTCGTACTCATCGTCGCCGTCAGCTTGCATCTCTAGCCATTCCGCATTGGCTTCTTCGATCAGTTCTTCGACAATGGACATGAGGAGTCGGGTGAGTTCTGTCCGGTTATTCTCTTTGCGCGCAAGCTTTTGGGCTCCTTTTTCTTCAGATAGTACGATTTCGCGCATCACGAATGGCCGCACTGTCTTCAATCGGATGGGTTCATTCTTGAATTCTCGGCCGGTAACACTCAGGATGGACACCTGCTTTGGAACGGCCTCACCGGGTACTAAGGACGTTGCAACAGACGATCCTGGTTGCATGACGTGGAATTTGGTCTCTGGGTTGAGCTTAGGATCAATCAGGCATTCATGCTCATGGCCCCAGATGACCATATCGAGAAATTCAGGAAGGAAATTCTCCGGCAAATAGCTAGTTTCTGTATGGGCATGATGGTTCTGATGCACAGACATCAAATTGAACCAATCGCCTTTCTGGACAGACGGTTGGAAGAATTTGACCTTGCCATCCCGGAAGGTCCTAAACAGCCGCTCATCTCGAACATTACTCATACCGTAGAGCGCGAGTTTTGTCCGACCTTTCTGCAGCAACACAGGCTTGATTTGAATGTTGTCTGACTCCGGCGTCCGGCCATAGTAGTTGAGCAGGCCAGACACCTGCAACAGATCTAGTGCGGCAAGATGACCCTCTCCCGATGGATCGTCGTGGTTTCCGTGAATTGAGAAGATTGGAATCGCCACATTCATATCCAAGTCCTCGTAGTTGACATGATTGAATGCCCCCTGGAAGTTCTCACTGGCATCGCTGAGCATTTCCAATTCACACGGCTTGTCCCCGAGACAATTCATGCGAATCGATCGCATGACCTGATACATGGACTTTCGTGACGGTTTGTTCTCGTGAAACAAGTCTCCTGCTAGTAGGACCATATCGACATCTCGTTCCTTGGCCAGGCACATTATCTCGTGAAAGCTCTTCCAGCTGTCATCGCCGCGGATAGGATCTCGTTCGTTGTAACCGACATGGTTATCGGTGGAAATGAGAATGCGGATAGTTTCTGCCTCTAGAATACTATCAGTGAGTTGATCAAGAAACGCGATACCGAAGTTCTTACCATTTGCTCGCGGCATCTTGGTTGGCCAAGTTCACGTAGATCTTTCCAGTGCTGGGCGTTTCTGCGGGGTATCGAGGCTGGTGAGATGCCAGAAAAGATATGTGAACAGATACTGTATATCAATACACCATGCCGAAAGCATACACCCAAGTTCGCAGCAGTCATACGAAGACACTTGGTGACACTCGTTCATTAGTTTCCATCGCGTCGTCACGTGCCGAACGCGCTCCGGGCAAAGGCCATTTGGCAATTAAGCTCGTTTTGGGAGAATTGGTGGAAATAATCAGGGTTGGAAAAGAAAGATTCGTTGCACCTGAAGTGAAGACTCGAAATCTTCTTTCAAGAAGAAAACAGGAACAACAGCGTAATATGGCCGCTATAATCGAACTTGCAGAGCCGCATCTGTTTGATAGTTCAATGTGCGGGATGGCCACTACGCCTCGCCTTCGGCATCTTGGCTCTCCGTTTCTTCTTCTCTTCCACATCGCTTCACTCTCGTACAATCACCTCCCATCCAACATTTATTGACTCGACTGACCCAGGCTTATTCGCTGGCTCAGTCGCTATTCCCTCGTCTTACCGTCAGAATCTTTTTATGCAACCAGAGCCAACTGCCGTGCCTCAACATACACCCCCCGTTGACTCATCCCCAATCGATACCAGTTCCACCCAGCATGGACTTGACCTCGATGACGCTCAAGTCTCTGATTTTCTTTTGTTTGAGGAAATCAGAGACTCTGCAGACGTCCCGAGCATGTCAACACAAAATGAAAATAACCTGTCCTTGAACAAGCTCAAGAGTCACCCCGCCCCACCCTCGGCCGATCGAGTGAGCAAGTATGAGAAAACTCGAACTTTTCCTGAACAAGAAACAGATGCCGGTTTCCGTGTACTGGCTTTAAGTGGAAAATCGCATGTGTCTCTTGAGACATGCCCAAATGGTGAGTATTCTTTTTGCGCCGCGACACAGTCCTTCCTGACAACCGAAATCTCCAGAGGTGCTCACCCATATCCTATCGCATTTACCACCACAGACCTTGTCTGCTATGACATTGGTGTCCCGTCGATTCCATTCCCTGGTCACCACCCCCCATGCTTGGAGAATCGCCTTCTCGCGATTCTTCCCTGGACCACATGCTGTCGAGGATGGTCGGCGTTCCACTACCCACGAGGCAGACCTGCAGTCGGACAGGCGATTCTTTGCGAGACTCACCGCGCTGGCATCCTGGCGCAGTGAATACATCTTGCGCACTCGATTGATGCGGTCGTTAGCCCGGGGCAAACCGGCACAATTCGAGCCCTCCAAGAAACATGGAACTGTGCGCGCAGCGAGTGTTCGTCATGGCAGTGCGGTAGCTACGTATACATCACAACTTCTATTCCCGGTCAGCCACATTCATGGCACGTTTAATCCTGGCAAGCATCCTCTCTTCATCCACGGTGCTGCAGAACAGGGTATTGCATCTGCCAGTGACCCGTCGACCGTGAAAGTTGGGACTTGGGGTATTTCTGATCACCAGATGTTCCGTCACTTTGCCGATCTGTTCCCCGGGGAAGCCCAACACGGCCTCGGATCAGGTGATATGGTCGGCGTATCCAATGTAATGGATATCAGTCAACCTTATGGTATGGTCTACGGCGAGGGCTGCCCTCAAGGGCGCAGCTACTTTATCGCAAGGACGGAACAGCGCGGTCGCTTTTTGGGAGCTTCGGATTTAGGTTCTCAGCCATTATTCGGTATTCCCGCCGTGAACATGATCACGCATGCTGTCTGCTCGGTCTGGATCGCCAAGTCCTCTCATGTCCTCAAGATGACTCAAGGACTTGTGGGCATGCTTTCGGGCTCGTCTTCAGGCGTGTTAACTGCGTACTCTATTGGTTCTCATCCGACTTATGATCGGCGATATGAGCCGGGCCAAGTGACTGCCAAGTGGGTTCTCTGTCCTGGTGTTCCTATTATTGGCATTGCTGTCGATGATCTATATTCACCCACGCGTCAGTCAAGAAAGCGTATCTGGGCGGTTGCTCTCAATGCGCTAGGAGAAATCTTCTACCTTACTGATCTTCCTCGATCCCCTGAGATTCCGGTATCAGCCAAACTCAACCCCGAACAGCTTGATGAGCTGGCTTGGAAAACTGGTAGGAGTGTGCATTGGGCTATGGTCGAGATGAGCAGACGTGTGGCACGCACAGACCCGTTCAACCGTGAATCGGTTGATGGCAGCTACAGTCCACGGTCCTCGTCGGATTCCATGGGCCTCAATGAGCATCAGGTTGCCGTCGAAACGAAGGAGATCGAGAAGTTCATGTCGTTTAAACCAAAACACTTCCGCAAGACCTGTGAAAGCTGGGATATGCAGCGCGATCTGAAAGTGGACTTTGCTGGCGATGATGGGCGTGGGGCAGGCGAGTCGGTCATTATCATCGCCCGCGGCTCGGGCGAAGATTCAAGGGCATCGGTCCGCCGGTTCATGCGCACCGCATGTGAATCTGGTTCCAAGCCGTCAACTACACCAGAGCCGTTCATGAGTGCCATGGAAGCCCCACCGTCACTATTCGGCGGCCCAGTCAATATGCCAACGCCCAAAATCACCGGCAATCTTCTCCCTTCACAAGCCTCCGACGCATTAGGTTCAGCTTCAATTAAATGTGGATGGTGTCTATCAGAGTTTGTTTTTGGTGATCGCAAACCTTCGGAGGTGACCACCAATGCATTGGATGAATCCTCCTTCGCAACTGTCACAGCTGACGAGGATCCTCTTTTGGCCATGTCTAGCAGTTCTCGTTCGTCTGCAACAGCTTCCCCAATGCTACCTCATATGGATCAACCGCAGTCGGCTTTGGAAGTTCCTGGGCAGCGAGCTCGATATCTAACCGTGGGAAGCAACACGGGTATGGTGTTCGTTTGGGACATCCGAGCCCCAGCAGCGAGATCTTCGGATGTCATTAATACCATACTCCCACTGCGTACTATCCAAACCGACTCGCCCCAGGTGTCTTGCCTAGCAATCACGTCTCTGTACCTTGTCCATGGCGGTAATGATGGTCTCGTTCAGGCTTGGGATCCGCTAGCGTCATCTACCAAGCCGATTCGCACAATCAATTCCCGGTTTTCGACTCGGGCTCGTCGTCGGCTTGTGCAGGCAGAGGCATCCATCCTGGGGGTCGGTAATAATTACTACGCTACAGGCGCCATCTGCCTTGATACAGACCCAACGGTACTGCGTGGAATGGTTTCCCTCGGCACACATTTACGATATTGGTCTTACAGTTCTTCCGAGGCTGATCAGTACAAGCCTAGCAAGCGCCGCCTTCGCCGCTTGATGCGCGGCGACAACGGAATACCTGAGGGTCAACGCTTCAACAACAGTGGCCGGGGTGAAGTCGAGGATTTTATTGAAGACGAGCGCATAGACATGGAGCGCCAGATCATTGCCGATGAGAAAGAACGAACACACTTGAGCAAGCGTTTCGGTGTTGATCTTCTAGGTCCAGATATCGACGACGAACAACTTCTAGCATATGCGCAACTCCTGAGCGAGGAAGCCTATTCTGGTGATGTGGCAAAACCGAGCAACAGCGCAGCGATCTCCAGCTCAGCTACAAGTGCTTCATTCGATACTGTTGGTCCCAGTTTCTTTGGCCCTGGCGAGGTTTCATCCTCTTCGTCTCCCTATCAAGGTCCAGCAGACAATGACGACGACGAACTTGCCGAGGCAATCCGGCTTAGCCTGCTTGATGAGCAAGGCACTGCTTCGCCATTTGACCTCACGCCGTCTATCCCTATCAAGTATGCCAAGAGATTGCATCGACCTCGCCAGTCATCTCCTGGATCTGAGGAGGCTGAGAGCAGTAGACAACAGGAGATGGATGATCTAGAGTTCGCAATCCAATTGAGCTTGGTCGAGGGCAAGCGTCGTGATGATGGCGAGGAAGATTGGGAGGAGTTCCCAGCTCTCGCATCAGGCTCAATATCTGCCTCGCCGTCAGGTAAGGGCAAAGGCAAGGCGAGGGCGGTCTAAAGCCATTTCTTTGGATTTTAGATTTTGATGTGTTTTCATTTCACTTCTCTTTTGTGTGCTTGGATTGATCTATTCTGTTTCTACCTTCGGGGCTTAACTTAGAGCATTAGTCTGCCTTGAAACATTTCTTCATTCCTGATGATCACTGTCGGTGCAGACTCTACCTTCTGGGGTCTTCCGTTACATTGCCATGAGCCTTTTTGCTCTCGTCCCATACATGATACTATTCCAATATAAGCGCCCACATGTTCTTCTGTAAATGGCCACCTCCCCGCCCGATATTAGGAGACGACGACAATCTTGCGTCATGGATCCGATGCTGAACTTGACTTCAGTCCCGAATAACTTCACTGTTCTACAATCATGCGACACACACAGGTCCCTTCAGTTGATGTCTGGGAGTTTCTCTTCGAAAGACCAGAGAAACCCTTCCCAGACGACCACGGTACGTTTGCTTCGCGGTGTAAAGCTGCCCCCCTAATCCGGGATACAGTCATCTTCAAGTCACCTCCCTCGGAAGTCCGGACCTACGACGACCTACGCTCCCAAGCCTTCAGTTTTGGTACGAATCTCAAAACCAAATGGGGATGGCAAAAAGGCGATGTTATGTTGTTCTTTGCGCCTAATCACATTGATGTCCCCGCGTTGTATTGGGGTTGCCAATGGGCTGGAGGCATAGTCTCACCCGCCAATCCAACATATACGATTGATGAGTTAAAATATCAGCTCGATGATAGTGGAGCGAAAGCACTGGTTGTGCACGCACCGCTCTTACACACTGCAGCTGCAGCTGCAAAGCGTGTCGGCCTTCCTGTCGCTAAGATCTTGGTTGTGGGCGACGACTCCCCAACAGCAGGGCTGCAGCATGTCGAGTCTATGCTAGCGAACGGAGAGAGCGAAGTTACACGCCCAAAGATAAACGCAGTCACGGATTCGGCTTTCCTAGTATACTCTTCGGGGACTACTGGACGGCCTAAGGGGGCGATTCTCACTCACATCAATATTGTGGCTTCGCTCCTCTTGCTACAAACCATCGAAGCCTATCACATGGATTGCAAAAAAGATCGGATCCTTGCACTGTTACCCACATATCATATTTTTGGTAGGTCGGCTTTGACTACTCCGTACTAATCTTCTCACTTGGAGCCTAACCAGCCTATCTGTAGGTATGACATGTCTCGTGCATCTTCCCGTTTTGATGGGAATCCACACGACCATCATGGAGAAATTTTCCGTGAAGTCCTTCTTGAGCAACATACAGAATGAATCAATTACTCATGTGTATGTTGCTCCGCCTGTGGTTGTGTATCTCGCCCAAGACCAAGCAATGACGCGTGAACGATTGACATCATTGAGGATGGTTACTTCAGGCGGTGCACCGTTAGCACCAGATCTGATACGTGCTGTGTACGATCGTCTGAGGATTCCTGTCCGCCAGGGATTCGGATTGACAGAGTCGACAGGCGTCTCCCATATCCAGGTACTTCTCGGGATCCCTTCGGCAATTCCGCAATCTAGCTAATTCCTCTCCAATAGAGATGGGATCAATGGGATCATGTAATGGGATCAAACGGCCCCCCACTCCCCGAAACCGAAGTGAAATTCATCGACCAGCAAGGCAACCGAATCAAGGAAGGTGAAGGCGAACTTTGTCTACGAGGACCAGCTATTTTCCCTGGCTATCACAACAACGACAAAGCCACTGCCCAGTCCTTCACAGCCGATGGATGGTTCAAGAGCGGTGATCTCGGCTTTCAAGATGTGGAGGGTAATCTGTTTATCACAGATCGTCTTAAGGACCTTATCAAATTCAAGGGCTTCCAAATTCCTCCGGCAGAGATAGAGGGAATCTTACATCAACACCCGCTTGTTCGTGATGTTGCCGTGATCGGAATCTTTGTCAAAAGAATTGCGTCCGAGGTACCGGCTGGCTACGTTGTTTTCGAGGACACGAGCAAAACAACGGAAGAAATCGCAGAGGAATTAATGGCCTACATGAATAAAAACTTGGCTCCCCACAAGAGACTTCGAGGTGGGATCATCCCAATCAACGAGATTCCCAGGAGTCCTTCTGGTAAGGTCCTGAAACGGGTCTTGAGAGTTCGGGCTGAAGGAGTTGATAAAGGGAAAGCCCTAGGCGCCTCGGTCTACGATGATCGTCCTTCCAGGCTGTGATACTCACGGAGTGATATATCAAGAATAGTCGAGTGGCAGGTACTTTAGCGGGAGCAAAAGAAATTACTTCCTTGCCGTGATGTTTTATCATGTGTCGAGAATCCCAGTCGGCCAAAAAGCCCACACATGCAGTGACCTTGGATCTTTCGAGCAATCTCAACATTATGTCTATTTGCCCTGTTTCCAATTTACATGCGATGTTCCCTACTAGGGTGATTGAACGTCAGGGACGCATTGAAAGTGTGAAATGAATGAAAACCGCGCATAGTTCCAAAAGTTGAATCATGTGCAAATTAAAGACTGGATCACAAGAAAGTCGGGCACAAGAGAAGAAATGAACAACCCGAGAAGAAAAGGAGATCTTGAGGCTGAATACCAACCTCTTAGTTATCTCATCCCGGACTCTAGAACCCAGAAAAAGGATAGACATAACCCATCAAGGCAATCATAGAAGAGATGCAAGCAACATAAAGAAAACTCCCATACCACCAAGGGCGACTGAAGGGATGCCGTTAGGGGAGGCCGCGTTGGTGGAAGTTGAATCATCAGAGCTGGAATCGGACGCGCTGGATCCAGAGGAAGAAGGGGTGTTGACACCGTTCTTCACCTCGAACTTGATACCCTTGATCTCCTTGCCAGTGTGGTCGTACACCTTCTGGGGGATGGTAGTGGAAGAAACAGAGACAAATTTGCCAGACGGGGCATCAGGCAGGCCGTTCTTAATATAGTCCGAGACTTTCGAGGGCACGTCGGGTAAATCCCAGGCGTTATAGAAGGACTTCCGGCGGATAAGCGAGGTGCTGCACTGCTGAGCCTTCACATTGGTTTGCGTGAGATTGCTCGACATGATGCGCTCGATGTCTAGCTTGCTAAGTTGCTTTTGGAAGTTGTCATAGTCGACAAGAGTAGTCACGGTGTCAGAATTGTTGACTTTGACCAGACCGTAATCATTGTCCTCCTGGGTCCACTCGTAAACAAGACCACCGGAGAAGGCCTGGGTCATCTCGACGCCATAGAGGGCCTGAACTTCGGTGAAGATGCGGGGCCTGACTTCATTGCAGCCGTACTCCGAGAAGAAAACGGGGATGGTAGCGTTGGTGAAATCCTCGGTCAGAACATCAAAGCCGCTGGACTTGTAGGAGGAGTCGCCACACCAAGAGTAAGAGTTGAGACCGAAGAAATCGGCGCGGGAAGAGGTCGAGTTCTTGAGATCACATTCAAAGTAGTGGATAGTGTCCATCAGGATGTTACGGATATCGGCAGCGGAGTATCCAACGGGAATAGCACGATCGCAGTTCTTGGCGATGTAATCCTTCATATCACGAACGATGGCGCGAACGTACTTGGGAGCCAAGTAGTGAGCCTCCTCGTTGATGACCTCGTTTCCAGCGAAGAAACCCAGCAGGTTATCGTAGTTCTTGAAACCCTCGATAACGCCGAACACCTGCTTATAGTAGATGGCGCTGTAGGTGGTCCAGGGAGCAGCACGGTCCAGATAGCCACCCTGCAGGGGGTTGCTAACATCGAGGATCATGTAGATACCGGCGGCATTGAAGATTGATGCGCACTCATCATGGTTGAGGGAGGGCTCTAGATTGTACACACGGATCGTGTTGATCTATAAAATAAGCCACTGCAGAGTAAAGAAGAGAGGATAGACACCTACACCTAGGCGCTGCATGAGGGCAGCATCACGCAGGCAGATATCAGGATCGCTCAGAGGATCCAGCTTCGAGGTGAAACCCGACGAGCCACCAGGCTGATAACTATTATGACAGTCAGCCACAACCGCGGGATCGAGGTGGGAGTGGAGCGAGGAATGCAGGAATGCGCCTTACTCAACACCGATGATCTGGAAACGATCCTTGGTCTTCGAATCGACAAAGTCCTTGCCGCTGACTTCGAGTGGGGTGAGTGCCGCCGCGGTGCTGGCGAGAGCGCACACGGAGGCAAAGAGACGAGCGTAAGACTGAACGGGTCAGTTTTGGTATAAGAGAGTGAAGATAGTCCCTAGGTACATACCGCGAGCATTGTGAAATTCAAATATAGTGAAACAGGCAAAGTAGTGACAGGAGGTGAGAGATGAGGTGCAAGACGACGTTGATAACGAGAGACAGCGCAATGCGCGAAAAGGGAAGGAACGACTGGACCCAAAAACGGCTCCGAAAGAAAGACGAAGGGAAAAAAAGGAATTAAACACAGAGGATGGCGTACGGAGTATTTAAAATATAAAGACAATCTGATCAGCGGTCTCAATTTAGTGGGGAACGAGTGTCGCTGGACAAATAGGGGGTCTTGGACACGGTCTTAGAGCGTTTTGAGGGGGAGGTTGCATACTTCGACCCATTCCCCGTTTCATCATTTAGTATGTGCCTAATAGTCCCTAGAGGGCAATTTCGCTCTCATGAAATCAACTTGGAACAGCCAGCTCCCTTTCGCTTGTTCTTCCTCTCTCCCCAATTCCTCAACCTGCAAACGCACTTGGACCTGCCAAGCCCCGGCCAAGCCAGTCCAACGAATCCCCGTCCCCAAGATTATTACACCACGAAATTACGGCTAACTGCTAAAATCCTAAATTGGGTCAGGGGTCTGGGAGATTTTCTGACCAATTTGTCCGAGTACGGAGTCGATATTATGGTGGCTCGGAAGATGAACTATAATAGACCTATGTATATCTACAGGTCCCTACTCTGTCCAGAGTCCACGGGCTCTTTGCACGTCAAATTAGGGCTTCGGAAATTTTGGCCTTGTATTTCAGGTGTCAAGGTCAGCCACCGACCCGATTGGGAAACTCTTCACTATAGGTACCTACCATCCAGGACGGACAAATATTTGCTCCGTAAATGTTGGCATGCTGCCTTTTCCCCCTCCTCTTCTGCGTTATGTGTTGACGGCCAACCCTACCTGATTAGCTTCGTCTTAATTTAGAAGTCTTGGAACCAAGTGCGACTTACCTTGGCAACAGTTCGGAGCTCAGCGAAGGCAGAGGCCGCTTGAGGTGGCCAATCCTCACCGAGAATGCACCACATGCGCTCTATCTTCCTTGGCTCGGGGAATTTGGAAGTCGACACGAAGTTCACATTCAGTTGCAATCCAGGCATATTGGTCCTAATTCGTTCATTCCGATCTCATCCGTCCCAGTCCTAGATTCGTGGAAATGTATACATACATCTTTGTCCTCCATGGACGCTTTCCATACCGTCATGTTCTTCGCCTTCCCATTTGCCTTTCGATCCAAGCCGCTAGCAGCTGAATCTGAGCACTCACGCTTGGCCTCATTATTCTTTGACTGCTTCGCCACCCCCCCTCCGTTTTTTTTACTCTGATCTTGGCTTGGCCGTAGTCGCCTATTCTATTCACTTGGTTTCTTTTTCTATTTCCTGTTATTACAGCCTACATGCCGTCTTCCAAGGTTCCCCTGTGGCAGCGTCGACATGGCTCTTTGCTACATACTTGCAAATGCAGCAAACACTCTTGGCTTGGCTCTGTCACCGACTCATTGAAGCCTAAAATACTGGAATCCGAACCAGTCACATGGATTCAAAGATGACAAGACAGAGAACAAGACTCGATTTCTTATCTAGAAATTGGCGGTGGGTCTATCTCATCTACCCTCGAGCACAGAGCCGAAGTCACTTAAACCTGGGCAGAACTGGACGTCATTATCTCACGAAGACTGCCCTCAGTGAGGCATACACACAGCAACAAGGGGTCTATCGTGGCCTATATCAAGGCACCTTTCAACTTACACAGCTACTACAAACTGGGATGGGTTCAAATCGAAGCCGAGTTGATGCACGCAACAGGCCAAAAGTCGATACTAAAAAGGGGTCCGATCGATGACTCTATCAAATCATACGCACGTTCTATTTACCCGTGCCAAGCGATAACTACTCAATGACGAGACCATCTGGACTCACAATCATGTTGGATAACCACGAGAAGTATGCACAAAGCCCTTGTTTGCATGTCTGTAGTACTTAATGGCGATCTCGTCCATTCCTCTGCGTTTGCAGTGTTCCTCCTTGGGCGATTATTGTTCGAGAATTTGGTAGCGAAGATCATGGAAGTAAGCGCCTGCAAATCACAGAAGTATGAAAGTGTCAAGGGCGATCACGTTCGAAGGTGGACGAGTCTGAAAACAACATCCAAATAGACAGATGGAGACAAACACATCCCTAGAAGAGTCGGTCAACAGAAATGAGAAATAGCCTGAGTTTTGTGACGTCGTTACCATTCATGGGTGGTCTGGCAACCCATCACCCCAATCCGTCCAAGCTACGGAGCTGTTTCGCCTGGCCTCATCCAAGTCTCTTGGAACATACTAGTTCACCGGATATAGATTATGTGATACAAATTTGAGAATTCCATCTGTCTAAAATACAAGTTGTTGAGAGCCCAAGTCCATTTTTTACTCGATGTTGTCATCAGCGCCGGTCTTAGGGCCGACAGACTGACCGCCATCAAGTGCGATAAGCTCTGCGAGGATTTCGAGGGTTTCCTTGGGGACGGTCTTATCGTAAATGCCAATCAAATCCTAATCAATGATAGCGGTTAGATGAATGATAATCAAATTGATAGGATATGTCGGGAATGGCGCGTATTTACCTGAGGCTGGGGGTAGACCTTCAATGCTTTCCAAAAGGCAATTGCTGCTTCGACTTGGGAGCCTGGAGATGCAGTTAGCGTTGTGTTGATTCCTGCTGCGAGGCTTTACCGGCAGCTCGATCCCGAAGGGTGGACCCGGGATCGAGAGACGGGAGATTCGATTTACCTTCTGAAGCGCAAAGAGATTCGCCCAACGCGACTTGAGTCATAAAGAAGCTTTCTTTCTCTTCGAGATCTGTTGGCAGTTCGCCGTTTCTTTTCACTTGTTCGAGCGCATTCTTGAGATCTGCGACTCGGGCTGCGGCGCCGGCTTCGGCCTCCTGCTTGACGGTTTGTTCGACCTTCTTGTTGTTCTTCTTCAGGGACTTGCGGAAGGCGGGGTCGCTTTGACGCTTGTAATCGAAATAGACGGCATAGGCTAATATCAAGGGTTAACAATCGCAGAACGCGGCGAGACGAATGCTACCCACCGAGAACTCCAGTCAGAATCGTGCCTGCGACGACGGCAGTGTTTCGGAAGGCCATGGTGGAAATGTGAGATGAAAGGGAATTAAAGTGGTCGGATTTGGCCCACTCTGACAACTTATGGGGACTTGGAGAGACGATAGTGGTTGAGTGGTGGTTGAGTGATAAAAATGTTTCGAGGATGTCCAGATGTCCGAAGCCTAGTATGGATTAGGTAATCACACCCGCAGCCCGAGCGTCATCCCCTTGACCTCCCGAGACGTTTCCATTCCCGTGTTATTGCTGCATTGCTTATTCACGATGGAAGGCCGAGGTTTGACTCTGAGGAGCAAGTCTCGTCGGCAGCGCCCTCAGATCAGCGCCCCAAAACCCATCTCCGGTCCTCTACCGCCCAATACCAGGTCTCCCGATTCAGGTCCGGCCGCTATCCCCACCCGTGAGCGGGCGCCCCAGAACGACGCGACCTCGGATTTGGTGAAACGTCGATACTCGAGTCGATTCAATACTGCACCAGAGTTTGACCTCAATGCTCCCCCTGTTCCGGCACTTCCCACTCAGCTGCCTGGAGGACTGGGCAGCTTAGCACCAACAGCGGTTCCGAGGCAACCGTCCCCAGCAGACCCCAACTCACCGGCACCGAAAGTTGACCTCAACGTCCTTCGAGATCCAAGTCTTCCGGTTGATAGATGTAAGATTTTTGTAACCCGGCCCTCTAGTATACATGCTGACTAGGAGGGTTCAATGTCAGATGTGGCCACTCTTCTCGCCAATGCATCCGAGGAAGATATCCGAAAGTACCAAGAAAGCTTGCGCAAAGTGAAAAATCGAACCTCTACTGATCTACAGCAAAATGTCTACCAAAACCGCACCCAGTTTATCAAAATCAGTAAAGAGGCGGAGAAACTCAAAGACGAAATGCGGACCCTACGTACCCTCATGGCAGAACTGACAACGGCGCTTGGACAAACCAGCGTGGGAAATACACCCAATCCTATGTCACCGATGGAGGAATCTTTCCCAAAACGCAATGCAAACCGCAGCTCAGTTGCCAACTTAGAGAGCATGTGGAGCATACAGCTACAGACGTTGTGGAAAACAGTAGAAGGCTCACAAAAATGGCTCCCAGCTGCACCTGGACGACACATTGTGTTGGAGACTGGTAATTGGGTTGAGCTGGACTCAGCCACCTGGAAACCGAGACGGCCCGTTCACATTGTGTTGCTGAACGATTACCTCCTCGTGGCTGCCAAGAAGCGTAAACGGGTCGATCAAAGCCATCCCAATCACCGAGGACCTGTTCCGACGAGGCTAGTGGCAGAATATTGTTGGCTCCTTAATGACATTGATATGATCGATCTTGAAGCCAATTTGGGAACGGGGGCAGCGCGCGAAGAGGCTTTGGATCGGGGCATTGGCAGATCGATCAGCATTCGCGTGGGATCTAAGCCTTTTACATACCGTCATGAGAATGTTTCAACAAAACAGGAACTTCTGGCCACTTTCCGCAAAACCGTTGAGGATTTGCGCCGAACGATGCGCTCGGAGACAGAGGCGGCTAGTAAGCCCTTAGAAGCATATGGATACTTGGCCGGTCGGCACATTTCCCTTTCGAAGAAGCCCGATTCATTTGACCTGTCTGATACTCCAAGGGACAAATCCGATGTACGCATCGATGTGGACGGTAAACAACAGAACCTTCGTTGGGTTGAGGGACAGATTGACGAGCTTGATATTGATATCGCCTTGCAGCGATTTGAGGGTTCTGTGGCCAGCATTGAGCGACTACGCAAATTAGCAAAGGGTCTCAAGGGCAATACTATCGCACAAGACGTCATCAATTTCAAGGTTGATGGCCGAGCGACTCGGCTGGCTGGCATTCTCTCGCGAGCATTAGTCGATAAACACTCATTCCCGACGGCTACCAAGACTCACGTCACTTGGTTGACGCGTTTAGGATTCGAGGACCAGGCGCGTGAGACTTACCTGAAGGCCCGTTCCGACGTTATTGGCCAACGCATCCGGTATGTTCCCCGATCTTCTACCCACGTTCACATGCTGATTTTCTCATAGCGCCTGTATATTTGAAGGCGACCTACCACTCTACATCTTCCAGATCTCCTACGTCTATTTCACCCTGATCAAAAACACCATCGGTATCTATCAACAATGCTTCCCCAGTGTCATGAGCAGTGCCTGCATTCGCTGGGCCAAGCATCACCTTGACGGATTCAATGCCCTGCTCATCCGACAACTCAGCAGCGTACAGCGTGGTACATCGGTTTGGCAGAAGTGCCTTGACATCGTGCACGAACATGCCGCTCTATTGATGGAAGTTGGCGTAGATTTCACAGACCTGGTAGCTCGTGGGCTGGAAGGGAATGGCGAGGGTTCTTTTGAGGGGCCACGCACCGTCCAACCGGGCGAGCTAGCACCAGCGCCATCCCCAATAGGCATGTTGTAGGGGATCACATAGCAAGCGTTGGAAACATCGACGAATTAGCGAGTTTGGTAATGAAGTGAATCCATTGGTTATGATCGCCTGTGATTGTATACGTAGCATGAGGAGCAAAATCGTAGCATAACTGTATGTGAGCCCCTAAAGCTGCCCACAAGCGAAAAGGACAAAGCGGTCTTGGTTCAGGATTTTCTTTCCCTGACGCCATCCAACATGAGATTCGAGATGCCGCGTGTATTTGATATGATCCACCGAGCCTACGCCACGTTGATCGATCTCGCTCTACCCTGACGGCAGCGCAAGTCTCTCTGTGTGTATATGGTTGAGTAAACGATTTCCTCCGTACTCCGCATCCATACTTATCCATACCGAGAATGTCTTACGGGGTTTTGTTATATATAATCGGCTGTTAATTGATTGTCGTCTATCCCAAACTACCCCTGCGTCACCGACTCCACCGGGCGTTTTTCTCCGCAATCGGCTGAATAGGGATCTCAATTTCTTCTCTGTTACCCCTCCAAGTCGTTATACTTCTGTGATTGACGGTCTACACGATAGAAAACCATGCCGATTCCTTCCCTGCCTCTCTTCGCTGCGGCAGAGCAGCACGCACGCGAGAATTCCGAGAAGATCGCAGTCATCGATGCCACCAAACAACAGTGCTTCACATTTGTTCAATTGCTAGCCGATGCAGCAGCATTGAGGAAGCGCATACTGGAGCAATTGAGTTTGAAGGAAGATTTGGAAGAACGGCGCATTGCCTTCTTGGTCCCCAATGGATATGACTACGTCGCTACGCAATGGGCCGTGTGGGCGGCAGGAGGTGTCTGTGTTCCACTTTGTAGGTACAATGAAAACGGTGAATTAAGAAATGCGAAGACTGACCGACTGACATTCACTAGGCACAAGCCATCCTGTTAAGGAACTGCTATACACCGTCGGTGATTCGGACCCCTCGTTGATTCTTGTGCATCCGCAATTCGAGAAGATCGCACCCGCACTGCGCGAAGGATGTGCCACCGATATCCCCTTCATGGGACTCGACCCCTTTTCGCGCAATGACGCACCGACTTTGCCCTCGTTTTCCCCGCCCTTTGCGCTCACCCGACGCGCCCTGATGATCTACACTTCGGGCACCACATCAAACCCCAAGGGCTGCGTGACCACACATGAGATCATTACATTCCAAGCAAACTGCCTAGTGAAGGCCTGGAAATACACTTCCTCAGACCGTCTCATTCATGTGCTGCCACTCCACCACATCCACGGTATCATCAATGGACTGGCTGCCAGTTTCCTGAGCGGGGCCACCGTGGAGATGCATCAGAAGTTCGATCCGAAGGTGATCTGGGAGCGGTGGCAGGACCAGGGCTCTTCGACCTTGTTTATGGCTGTGCCGACCATCTATTCCCGTCTGAATGACTACTTTGATGCTCACATCCGCGGCACGGAACAAGAAGATACCGCGCGAGCCGGTGCTCGTGGGCTGCGGCTGCTCGTCAGTGGATCTGCGGCACTTCCTACCCCCATCAAAGACAAATTCGCCGAAATTACTGGCCAGGTTTTGTTGGAGCGGTATGGAATGACGGAGATCGGTATGGCGATCAGCTGCGGGCTGGAGATTGAGAAGCGAATCGATGGCAGTGTGGGATGGCCGTTGCCCGGCGTCGAGGTCCGCTTGACTGACAAGGAAACCGGCCGAATTGTAGATGAGGTGGATGAGGACGGGATGATCGAAATCAAGGGCGGAAACGTCTTCCGCGAGTACTGGCGGAAACCAGAGGCGACAGCCTCGGAGTTCACAGCGGATGGATGGTTTAAGACTGGCGACGTGGCCAAGCGCGATTCCAACGGCGCATACTTCATCCAAGGCCGCGCTTCTGTCGACTTGATCAAGTCTGGTGGATATAAGATTTCAGCCTTGGAAGTTGAGCGGAAGATGCTGTCCCTTGATGTGATTCAGGAAGTCGCCGTAGTCGGACTGGCCGATCAAGAATGGGGCCAGCGAGTCGCTGCCGTTGTCAAGTTCCGAGAAGGGGTAAGTCTATATGTTCTTATGAGGTGGCCGTGTGTTGTCAGACTAACATGATCTAGGCTACACCGCTGGAACTTCCTATCCTCCGTGCTGAGCTCAAGAAGGAGATGGCTCCTTACAAGATCCCCACCGTTCTGAAAGTTGTGGATGGGATCGAGCGCAATGCCATGGGCAAAGTCAATAAGAAGGTCATTGTGCAAAAGTACTGGCCAGACAAGGCATGAGACGGACGATCAATGACATGCCCGGGACTGTTCCCTAGCGAACATACATCATTGGAGCAAGATGCTCTAGCTGAACATAGACGTGATACCTGGCAACCATGAACATAGAAGAGAGTTATATTCCATAGCCCTTGTGGGCATTCAACATCCTTGATTCTTTTAGGCCAGAGGTCATCTATGACATCTCTTGTAATATGTCTTGGGTATCTCAGGTATAGCCGATCGGCAACCTCGCCATCGCCCGCCAAAATTGCTCATCGCTTTACCCCAACTTCCTGCTCGGCGATTTGATTCGCGGTCTGGGACTTTCACTCGGCCAAAAACCAGAATGCCTCGTATAGCGATGAAGGATGATCGCGTGCAGCAGGTACTAGATGGTGTGCTTCATGGCCGTCCATGTATATCAGTCTCTCCAGGGGTGTTGATTCCCCCGCCGTTTTATTCCAATTCCCCTGCGATTAACCATGGACTTCTCGGAGAAGCATACTGACGTGCCCACTAGCATCGAGAAGAATGCCCAACAGAGCTCCTTGGCTTCGAGTATCACAGGGGGCATCAATGAGAAGGCCTTATTACGAAAACTGGACTATCGTCTGCTTCCGCCTCTGACAATTCTCTACCTCCTCAGTTTTTTGGATCGTTCGAACGTAGGCAATGCTCGTCTAGAAGGAATGACCGACGATATCAAGATGTGTGCGTGGTGTTTGATCCGAATCCAGATGCAAGGCTAATTGAGGAACACGATAGCAGGAAACCAGTACCTCACGGGTCTGACTCTGTATTTTGTTGGCTATGTGCTTTTTGAGATTCCATGCAATGTAAGTGATGACAATGATTTGATTTGACTAAAGAATGATATACTGAAAGCTAGTGTCAAGGTTGTGTTGAAGAAGACCACTCCTAGAATATGGCTTCCCACTCTCACCCTGATCTGGGGGACAGTCGCCACACTCCTGGGAATTGTACAGAACTACGAGGGGTACTTATCTTCTCGGTTCTTCCTTGGTGTCGCAGAGAGTGGACTCTTCCCCGGTGTGGTATTCTACCTGTCCATGTGGTATAAGCGGAATGAGCAACATTATCGCGTGGCTTTGTTTTTCAGTGCTGCTTCGCTGGCAGGTGCCTTCGGTGGCATCCTGGCCTGGGTTAGTCCTCATTGGATCCTCATAAGGAATTCAAAGCTGATGGTTTCCAGGCAATTTCCCATATGGAAGGTGTGGGGGACTTGAATGGCTGGCGATGGATCTTCATTCTGGTGCGTGTCAATGAGATTCTCCAGTAGCAACATGTGCTGACTGGGGTTCCATCGATTCAGGAGGGACTGTTGACGGTCGTCGTTTCCATAATCGCCTATTTCTGGGTGTACAACTACCCGTCAACAGCTGAGTTCCTATCAAAGGAAGAACGGGAGTTCATTTACTTGCGCCTGAAGAACGACAGCGATGCCATGCAGGATGAGGAATTCACTTGGTCAGCAGTTTTGGACGCATTCAAAGACCCGAAAGTCTGGCTGTACGGACTCGGTTTTCACACCATGTCCTTGCCATTGTATACCTTATCACTCTTTCTTCCGACAATCATCAAGGAACTCGGATACTCAGCTGCGAAGGCCCAACTGCTTTCTGTGCCGCCATATGCGGTCGCGTTCTTTTTGACGATCGGCGTTGCGATAGCCTCCGAGAGAACTCACAGTCGTGCACCGTTCATCATGGGTTCATCCGCTCTTGGATGCATCGGATATATCCTTCTACTGTCAGACCACCGTCCTGGCGTATCTTATGTAGGAACGATCTTCGCTGCAGCTGGCATATATCCAGCTGTGGCCATTGTGCTGTCTTGGCCAGCCAATAATGTGTCTGGGCAGACGAAACGCTGCATTGCCAATGCGATGCAGATTTCAATTGGCAATTTGGGTGCGGTCCTTGGAACACAGCTATATCGCACGGAAAGTAGCCCACGATACTTCCTAGGGCATGGATTTGCCCTCGGATACCTGGTGGCCAATATCATGGTAGTGGGAATCCTCTGGTTGGTTCTCCGACGGGAGAATGCCAACAAGGCGAGTCTGAGGGAAGCGCAGGGACTTCGACCATTGATGGGAGACGTAGGCGATGCAGGCGAATTCCAAGGAGACAAAGATCCTCGATGGGTGTTCCAAACCTAGGCTAGAATGTGGTTAGAATCAATTGGTGTTGAGACATGTGCAAAATGGCCCCCAAAAGCACCCGGATGCAATCCAAACGCAAGCAAAGAGAGCAGAAGAACTCCCAAAGCAAATCCCAAAGCAAATCCAGAAGCAAACCCAGAAGAAAACCCAGAAACACCCCAAAAAACGCTCAAACGCTGAAAAACACACACACAACACACACATAACACACAACACACACAACACACATAACACATAACACATAACACACATAATATACAACATACACTGAACGGAAATCGTTCGAATTCAGAAACGAAAATTCGTCTAATCTATACAGTTTGCGATTTTATCACCCAACTGCTTACGAAATATCCAAACAGAACGGACATAACTTTTCAAAACACAAAAAACATGTCTCCGTGAATCCATGGCGCTGCTGGATCCTTTCCCACATAATTATAATGGCAAGAGAGTTTTATACTTATGGCGCCAGGACGAGAGCCAGGAGGGCCATACGGCAGTAGAGGCCGTAGCGCATCTGCAATGTAGTCAGTATACCAGCCGATGATCGGCAAGGGGATGTCAAGCGTACCTGGCGGAAGTAAGCAGCCCGCTGGTCGAAGTCGACCTCCTCAGAGATCTCGGCGTTGCGAGGAAGAGGGTGCATGACCACCATGTGGCTCTTGGCGTGCTTAAGAAGGGCGTTGTCAATGACAAAGCTGTTCTTGAGACGCTCGTACTGATCGAGGTCTGCGAAGCGCTCCTTTTGCACACGAGTAGAGTACAAGATATCAGAGCGGGCGACAATCTCAGGAGTCAGCTCCTCAGACTCAAGAACCAGCTGCCCGGAAGCCGCAATCTGCGAGCGGACCTCCTCGGGAAGAGCAAGTGCCTTGGGCGCAACGAGCTGGATGCGAACATCGTAGAACTGGAGCAGCTTGATGAGTGAGTGCACGGGCCGGCCGTACTTCAGATCACCGGTGAAGGTGATGGTCAAACCAGTGACAGTGCCGAGCTCCTCACGGATGGTGAACAGGTCCAGGAAGGCCTGGGTGGGGTGCTCGAGAGATCCGTTGCCACCGTTAATGACGGGGACCTGGGAGTACTTGGCTGCGATCTCGGTGCTGCTTGCCTCGGGGTGGCGCAAGACAACGGCATCACCGTAGCAGCCAAGAGTGCGGATCGTGTCCTGGAGAGACTCTCCCTTCTTGGTAGAGGAGTGCTCGGTGGCAATGGGAATGGTACGACCACCGAGGCGCTGCATGGCAGCGTCGAACGAGGCTGAGGTGCGGGTGGAGGGCTCGTAGAAGAGAGTGGCGAGGACACGGCCCTTGAGGATATCAAGAACACCGTGGCGTTGGACACCGAGGCGCATCTCCTGGGCGACAGTGAACAGCAGGTGTAGGTCTGCGCGAGAGAACTGGTTCACAGACAAGATGTGCTTTCCACGGAAGGGGGAGCGGGAGAGCATGTCTGCCAGAGAAGGGGAGACCTGCGAGGTAGCATAGAGTGGAGGGCCCAATTCGCCAATGGCTGGGATAGCACTGTCCAAGGCCTTGAAGCGACGGGCAGGGGTGCCAGAGAAAGACATGTGTCTATCGAGGGAACTCTCAGGGCGGACCATGGGAGTCATGGGCTTCTGCACAGGCGAGGTGGGAACGATGCGGTGGGTGGACATATCAGCACCCTTGACAGCATCCTTGGTGATCTCGCCATCCAGGCAAGATGTTTTGCCCTGGAAGACGACACGCTGAACGGAACCATGCATCGTCTTACCGTTGAATGGAGACCAGGTGTGGGGGTTCTGGAAAACATAAGGGCGGTCAACCTCGATCTCGAGTGAGCTGTCGACTTGGTCATGCAACTCGAAGATCTTCTTGGGGTTATCGTAAAGACGAGCGGTGATGTCCTCGACGGTAAGACGACCATCTGCCACAGCAGTGAACAGCAGAGGAATTGACTCGGCGATACCAGTTTCGGGAGTCGCCTCCTTGCCAGCAAGTTGGAAGGGTATGCTGCCAATGGAGAAGACATCAATAGTGCACATGTGCTCCCACAGAGCCTTCTGGTCCTCGACGGAAGGCAGGAAGCTGCAGGCGGGGTAGTCTTCCCGAGAAAGGAAGAGGCAGTAAATCGAGACATCGCAGGTCACCTTGAGGCCCTTCTCCTTGCTCAAAGCAATGAGGCTGATATCCTCCTTGGAGGTGACACTCATGACATGAATGTTACGACTGTGCAGGCTGGCCAACAACAGAATAGAGGCAAGATCAGTGCTCTTGGCATCAGTGATCAGAGGCTTGGTTGAGGGCCAGGAACTGAAGTGGTTGGTGACAGTGGCCACCTTGTTGATGTTGCCGGACAGGTGGTTGAAGGGGATAAAAAGGGAACCGACCTCGCCAGTCATCTGAATGATCTGATCTGAGTTGGTGGCAGTGGCAGCGACAGAGATGTTGAAGTCACATAATGACTTGCCTTGGGCGTTCTGTTGGACAATCTTGAGGTCGCGGGACTCGGTGACTGAGCTGTCAACACCGACGGGCATCACGCGGATCATGGTGAAACCACTTGCGATGGAAGCCTTGGAGACAGCTTCGAAGTCCTTGGATCCAGCGGAGGCAAGGCTCGGGACAAATGCAGCGATGTTGATCAGACCGGGAAGGACCACGGTGCGGTGGCTGGTCTGGAAGTCAGAAGTGATGATGTTCAGGGGGAAGTGGCGCGCAATAGCCTCGATCAAGATCTTCGCGTTCTTGACGTTGGTGACCAGAGGGGTCTGGTAGTCAACAGCCATGCGGCGGGTACGGTAGCCCTTGGACATATAGTTGGCCGGGCGACGGAAGCGGTTGTTTGACGGCAAGTTGATGTAGAGATCAATGAGGTTGTTGGACAAGTGCTGAGTGAGAGAGTACTCGGACTTCATATCCTCCTCCTCGTGATCTGGAAGATGCTCAAGATACTTGACAGGGACACCATTCTCCTTCAGGAAATCTGCGGTACCAGCAGTGGCGAACAGGTTGTAACCAAGATCGTGGAGCTTCTTAATCGAGGGTAGCATCTCGAGCTTCTCCTTATAAGCACCAATGGAGAACAAGATGTTACGGCGGGGAAGACGGAATCCAGTGGACAGGAGAGCCTTGAGATAGGCCTCGTACTTGTCACGACCGAACGAAGCAACCTCACCAGTAGAAGCCATTTCAACACCCAGAACAGGGTCAGCACCAGACAGACGTGAGAAGGAGAACTGGGGAACCTTGACACCGACGTAGTCCTTGGGAATGGAGACAGGAGGGTACTCCTGGAACGGAATACCAATCATGGCCTTGGTGGCCATCTCGATCAAGTCGACTCCCATGACCTTGGACACGAAGGGGAAGGAACGCGAAGCACGGACATTGCACTCAATGACCTTGATGTCGTTGTCCTTCGCAATGAATTGGATGTTGTAAGGACCGGTAACGTTGAGCGCGTTACCAATCTTGCGGGTAGCCTCCTCAATGCGACGGACGGTCTCTGGGCTCAGATCCTGGGGAGGTAGGATCAGAGTTGCATCACCAGAGTGGACACCAGCATTCTCAACGTGCTCCGAGATGAAGTGGCCAACCATGACACCGTTACGGGCAACAGCGTCCATCTCGATCTCCTTGGCGTTCTCGATGTACTTGGTAATAACAACAGGGTGCTCGCGTGAGACATCAGCAGCCTGGTTCAGGTAGCTGGCGAGGTCATGCTCGGAGTAGACAGTGTTCATAGCAGCACCAGAGAGCACGTACGAGGGACGGACAAGCACGGGATATCCGACCTTGTCACAGAAACCCCGAGCCTCATCAATGCTGGTCAGCTCCTTCCAGGCAGGCTGATCAACCTCGATACGATCCAACATGCGTGAGAACTTGTAACGGTTCTCAGCACCATCAATCATCTCGGGAGATGTACCCAGAATATTGACGTTAAGGCGATGAAGGGGCAAAGCGATGTTGTTAGGGGTTTGACCGCCCATAGACATGATCACACCGCTAGAAGTTTCGAGCTGGTAGATATCGAGGACAGTCTCCAAGTTGATGTTTTCGAAGTAAAGGCGATCGGCCTCATCATAATCGGTACTAACAGTCTCGGGATTGTAGTTGACCATGATGGTCTTGTGACCCTGCTCGCGCAGCGTACGGATGGTACGTACGGAACACCAATCGAACTCGACAGAAGAGCCGATACGGTAGACACCAGATCCCAAAACCATAATGCCATGATCGTTGAAGGACAGATCGTGCTCAGAAGCATTATAGGTGAGGTAGAGGTAGTTGGTCACAGCCGGGAACTCGGCAGCAACGGTATCAATCTGCTTAACGATGGGCGTGATACCAGCCTCGACACGCATGCGGCGAATAGCAAGCTCGTTAGAATCCAAAAAGTTGGCAAGCTGGCGATCACAGAAACCAAGTTGTTTGGCCTGGCGGATCATGGGCATAGGCACCGAGGTGGCATTGAAGGCGGAAATGGACTTGCCAAAGTCGCTGAGACCCTTGAGGCGGCTGAGGAACCACTTATCAATGCTCGTGAGCTTCCAAATGTCATCAACGGTGTAGCCAGCCGCCATAGCATTAGCAATGGCAAATAGACGTTGATCAGATGGAGTCTGGAGTTCGCCCTTGATAGACATGAGAGCATCAGACTCGTTGAAGCCGAGGTTGTGGAAATCGACCGACCGAATCGCTTTTTGGATAGCTTCCTCAAAGGTCCGGCCAATGCTCATGACCTCACCGACACTCTTCATGGAGGAACCGAGCTGAGTAGACACGCGAGTGAACTTCTTCAGATCCCAACGAGGAATCTTGACCACGCAGTAGTCAAGCGAGGGTTCGAAACAGGCGCAGGTGGACTTGGTGACCGAGTTCTTGATCTCGTTCAGGGGAATACCAAGACCCAGCTTAGCAGCAATGAAAGCGAGAGGATATCCAGTAGCCTTGGAAGCCAGGGCAGAAGATCGAGAGAGGCGAGCGTTGACCTCAATAATGCAATACTCCTGGGAGAATGGGTTAAGGGCATACTGAATGTTACATTCACCGACAACACCGAGGTGACGAATGACGTTAACAGCAGTGGTTCGCAGCATATTGTAGTCCGCATCGGAGAGAGTCTGGGAAGGAGCGACAACGATGGAGTCACCGGTGTGGATACCAAGGGGATCAAAGTTCTCCATATTGCAGACAGTAATACAGTTGTCCTGGGCATCACGAACAACCTCATACTCGATCTCCTTCCAGCCCTTCATACTGCGCTCGATCAGCACCTGGGGACTGACGGCCAATGCCTTGGTGCACAGATCCTTCAATTGATCCATATTCTCGGCGAAGCCACTGCCGAGACCACCAAGAGCGTAGGCGGCACGAACAATGACGGGGAAACCGATGTTCTCAACAACCTGCAGGGACTCTTCGATGGTGGAAGCGGAAGCAGACTTGGCACACTTCTCATTGATAGAATCCATGCTGCGAGCGAACAACTCACGATCCTCAGTGGTGATGATGGTGTCAATAGGGGTACCGAGAACCTTGACGCCGAGCTCTTCAAACTCGTCCTTGAGTTGAATACCGACAGAAAGGGCAGTCTGACCTCCGAAAGTGACATAGATAGCATCGGGGCGCTCGTGCTTGATGACCTTACGGACGAAATCGGCGTTGACAGGCAGGAAATAAACCTTATCAGCCAAGCCCTTGGAGGTCTGAATGGTGGCAATGTTGGGGTTGATCAAAATGGTGTAGATACCCTCTTCCTTCAAAGCCTTGATGGCTTGACTGCCAGAGTAGTCGAACTCTCCAGCCTGGCCAATGCTGAGACCGCCGGAGCCGAGAACGAGAACCTTCTTAACTGAGACTCTTGGGGCAGCTAAGATGTTCTCGGCTTTGGTGCCGCCGGGGAAAGAGACGGGCAAGTTGAGGGCCTCGGGGGAAGCAATGGTAGACTTGATAGTGTTGATAAACACGTCAAACAGGTACTCGGTATCCCGGGGTCCGGGTGTGCTCTCGGGGTGGAACTGAACACTGAAGAAGGGACGGCTGGTGTGACGAATACCCTCGTTACTACCATCATTGGCATTAACGAAGAGCTCCTCCCATCCGCTCTGGAGGCTGCTGGCATCAACGGCGTAACCGTGGTTCTGAGAAGTAATGTGGCACTTTCCGGAGATCATGCTTGTGCAGGGGATGTTGTGACCGCGGTTACCGAACTTCATCTTGGTAGTCTGGGCACCGACAGCGCGGGCAATCAACTGGTGACCAAGACAAATACCAAAGACAGGAGTTCGTGCATCCTCAAACATCTTGGCCAGGTTCTTGGTGGTAACAGTCAGGGTCGCGGGGTCACCAGGACCGTTCGACACGAAGAGACCGTCGAAATCCTTCCCAGCGAGGGTGGGGAAGTCATAGTCCCATGGAACCACCAGAACCTCCACACCGCGTGCAAGCAAGCAACGCAGCTGGTTGTACTTCATACCAACATCCAAGCAGAGAACACGGACTCCGCGACCCGACGGGTGCTTGAGGGCGACATCGGCAGGAGGTGTGAAAAGGCGGGGTTCGCGAATTGAAACTAGAGGGGAAACACTATCAGTAACCAGGCCTTGATTTGCTTTTCAATTCCATCGGCTTGGAGCATCGCTTACCCTCAGCAACAAGGTTCTTGGTGTTGGGATCCACCCATTCGACTTCCTCGAAGTACGACTTCCAGTTGATACCAGCAGCACCAGCAGCATCGACAGTCACGCTAGCCTTTTGCAGCAGCATGCGACCCAACATACTGCCGGTCTGACGAAGACGCTTGGTCAAGGCACGAGTGTCGACACCGTGCATGGCCGGAATGCCTTCCGACTTGAGCCAGTCGCCCAGAGAGGACTTGGCCAAGAAGTGCGAGAAATCCTCACCGGCGTCGGCTGCCACCACCAAGGCCGCGATGTGGATCTGACTGGACTCGAAGTGCTTAGGCAAGTCCTTGAGGAGCTCGCACATCTCATCGTGCGAGGGAACACCGTAGTTACCCACGAGTGGGAACGTGACGACCAGAATCTGGCCACGGTATGAGGGGTCGGTGATGGACTCGGGGTAACCGACCATACCGGTCTGGAAGACCAATTCACCTGAGATGCTCTTCTCGGCACCAAAGTTGTAACCCTGGTAAACGGTGCCATCAGCGAGTTCAAGGGCCGCCAACCGGTCTGAACCACCCCGCACCGGGATAGAGGCGGGCTTGATCACGCCAGTGACAGAATCCATGTTCACGGTCTCGGGATATCCCACTGCACCACCTAGCTGGGGGCTTGTAGGCAGCACGGGATCCTCGAGGGAATTGGCAGGCTGGGACATTGGAACTGAAGATGTGTGAGGGAACGAGTCCTCCCGAGGACGATTTAGTGCGAGCAGGTAACTCTAATTCAGCATCTGCCAACTGTAGTGTGTATTTTGGCTTTTGTAACGAAGAAAAGGACGCCAAAGGAATTGAAAGATATATGAAAAGGAAAAAAATCACTTTTTGCTGCAACCAGCTGTGGGGGAGGAGGGAGAAAAGGAAAGCGAGTTCGGCAGAAAATATTTTCCTGCGAAAAGCCTAATTGGACCCACTTGCCTGTTTTCGGAGTCTCGGTCTCACCGCCGCAGAGATTTCCGGTCAGCGCTACGAGCTATTTTAGGATTCTAGGGATGCTACTCCGTATACGGAGTAGGACGAGTAAGTACTCGCATCAGGGCAATTGGCCTGGGCTTTCCCTGTGATGTGGGAGAAAACCCTGGTCTTGCCAGATACAGGTGCCTCGCAGGGCTCGCATATGACGCAGCAATTGTCAATGCTGAGGCGGGGAGAGCCGATAACGGTATCGGCAATCGCACATAGGCAAAATACTCCATGGGCACGGAATACTCCGTCTGGAGTACTCCGTACACAAATTATTGTACGTAAGTACCTCCACCGAGGTACCTATCTCGGTACCGAGTTTATTAGCATCTCAACATTGGAAGTGAACCGTATGGGATTAGGTATAGTGGAAGTTTTCGTCGTTCATCTTTCTTCTCGGTATTTTCCTCTTTCTTCTTTTCCAGTTTTCCGGTTTTCCGGTTTTCATGTCGGAAACCAGATCATTACCCATATCAAATATATGCTGGCCAACCCTTGATTATGTTGCACATGCATGTGGCGAATCTTAGCTGGGCGACCTCTCCGCGACCTATTAACAGCGCTATTTTGTATGCACGGTTTGAAAGGGGGAGAGGAAAAACAAAAAAAGCAAAAGCGAAAAAGAAAAAGCAAACAACTTTCATAGAAGAAAACAGCCCTCACAAGACTACCACTCTTCTCAAATTTGCTTGACATGTCCCTATATTAGCCTAGGTAAGATCTAGGCGTCCACCGCTATAACGTTCTGAGGGACCGGGGTAACCATTGGTGACGATGTACAATGACGTGGGGAAACTGTACCTCCAGGGCTAGTGGGAGCTTAGATTTTCCCCCTTCACGCCAATTGTAAATCTTTGGATTAAATTAATGCCGCTTCATGATTGCCTCTCATCTGATATTTGACCCCAGTTTTCTTGTGTCCTCCTTGGTCGCGTCTTCGATCACATCTCCACTTTGCAATGCTCTAACATCTCAACACAACCCTTTCGACATATCACCTTGGTGATGCAGATTTAACTAACCTGTCTGGTACCATGTTCGCCTCACTACTGCGTCCTCGACGACAGCGTGGTCAGATTGAACAATCCCCCTACGCAATTCCCTCGCCTGGGTATCGCGCCACGCCCCACAACGCGCGACGCGTCCACCGAGCCGACGATAGCAGTGATGATGCGCCAGAACTCCAAGGAATCGACGAAGAGGATATCGATGAGGACTGGGAAGAAGAGGAGGAAGATGGTCCACTCGACTCGACTCCCCTGCTGCCTATGTTCTCTGTGTCACATTTAGGTAGGAGCATGATCCCTGGGTGCCGGTGTCCTGTGGTACTGCAGACAATTAATAGCAATGAGCAGATGCGCTGCCCGTTTACAACATCACCCATGCCATCCGGCCTTTGATCACCTCCCGCTGTGAAACGACCTTGACGTGGGATCAGCTACGCTCCCCGCAAGTGTCCCAATTCCTGATCAAGCCGATCCTGCAGAAAATCATGTCGGCCCACTTCTCACGCGCGACTCTATATGCATTGATGGCCAATTGTCTACAATTTGAGAAAGAGATGCACTCGAATCCGGGGAACAGCGGCACAAATCAAACACGGGCGATGGTCAGCGAACTATTGGCCATCAAATTGTTGAGGGAATACTCGACCCGAGAATTGATCGATGCATTGTCCTACGAGTTCTATCCACTCCAGGGCCAAGATCAATCCACCACATTGACCACTGGTCTCCAACGGAAACGGGTGGTTGCTGCCCGCGTGTCGTGCTTGGAGGTGGCTATTCGTGCGCAGGCCAAGCGGTTCTTGGCTCACCCCGTAGTGGTGCAGCAATTGGAGGCTATTTGGGCCGGGACAGTTGTCTTCCACTCTGCCGCTGATAACCTTCATCGGCCTGTAAACATAAGCCAAGGTGGAAACGTGGATTACGGGGCAACAATAGGTCCAAATGGGCACATCACAATAGACCCCAGCAATGGGACCCTTCGACGATCAGTCACACTCTACAATCCTCGGGACGCATCCTTGTTCAAATTGTCTCGGTTAAGAGTGCCACGTTATCGACAATTCCTATCCACACTATCCTTTGCAGTGCTCTTGGGGTTGTTCTTGGCTGTTCTAGACCGGCGCAGTCGCAGGATCACATCCCTTGAGGTTATCTTCTGGTTTTGGAGTGCCGGTTTCATGCTCGATGAAGTTGTTGGGTTCAACGAGCAAGGTTTCAGTCTTTATTTGATGAGCTTTTGGAATCTTTTTGACTTGGGAATACTGTTATTGCTTTTCGCATACTATTGCTTGAGGATATACGGTACATTCCTGACTTATCCCAGGAGCCAGATCATGGCCGACCAAGCTGTAAGTTTTCTCTCTTCTTCCCTCCCTACCTAGGTATCTTTGTTGTGGCAGACACTCATCTGTTTCTTACTTTTAGTTTGATGTTCTTGCAGCTACAGCTCCCCTGCTGTTTCCAAGGCTGTTCTCAATCTTGGATCATTACCGCTACTTCTCTCAGCTACTCATTGCTTTCCGAATAATGGCATCGGATTTGATTGCTGTCTTCGTGCTAATTGTTATCTCCTGCTCGGGCTTTTTTGTCGCTTTCTTGAACTTTGGAGATAACAAGTCTCCCAAAGTGGTAGTTTATGGCTTGTTCCAGATGCTGATGGGATTCACGCCGACCGCATGGTCAATGTGGGATGAATACAACTTTGTGGGGAAGACGATCCTGACTGTGTTCCTCTTCATCTGTCACTTTGTTGTCGTCACTATATTGATCACGGTCCTAACCAATTCCTTCATGAGAATTGTCCAAAACGCAAATGAGGAACATCAGTTCTTGTTTGCTGTAAATACCATCTCGATGGTCAAATCAGACGCATTGTTCTCCTATGTGGCACCGACAAATGTCCTCGCCTGGCTAGTGACCCCATTTCGATACATGATGCCGTTCCGCGAATTCATTCGCCTCAACCGAACAATTATCAAGATCACCCATCTACCTATACTATTCACAATTTGTTTCTATGAGAAGGCCGTTCTCAGTTCCCGAGTGGTGCAACCGATGGATATGATCGAACCCTCCTCGCTGAACGAGATTCCGGCTCATGCTCAGCAATGGCACCCCAGTCGGTTCCGCGGGTTCAGTACCAGAGCATCGGTTTTCAAGCGAGAACCCTCCGTAGCCACCTATCAGAAGGATCGAGCGTTGGAGGAAGTGTTCCGACGCCCATATAGTGATGATCGAATTCAAAGACCCCCGAGCATTGTGCAAGAGCGTCAAACCAATAACGTCATCAAAGATTGGATGCAGGAGATTGGCTCTGGGCCAGCCCATGGCCCCGATGATCAGGATTCTGTATTTGTCGGTCGTCTTGATATGCACACGCAACGACCCAGGCTTCCATTCCGGGCTAGATTGGGCCACCGATCTCGAAACTTCACGGAAACAACCCGCTCGGTCGCTTCGAATCCTGAGGACCGAACAAGCTGTGTTGCAAGCCCAGACATATGGCCCCGGCGCACAAGACAATCTGCCTCACCCATACAGAGACGGGAACTCTCCCATCATACAGACATGGAAGGCGACGACGAACTGACCAGCAATGATGGTTATTCAAATGACGACAAACATTCAGCCCAAGAGTCCACGTGTAATACGGCCGATTCAGCCGGAGGCAGGGAAAAGCCCTCGCCCAAGTTCTACAGCTCTCGCCCATCTACAGCAAGAATCATCTCGCGTCGCAACAGCCCTACACGTCGTCCCCGGCATGCACGCAATGCTTCTGGGGTCACCATGCTGTATAACCCCGTCGAGTCTCCGAATGAAGAAAATGAAAGCCGGGCCACGCCCTCGCAGCCAGATAGCGATTTGTCGGAGGGAGATCAGCTCCCCGTCGTCTCTGCGTCCATGGACCAGGGCACCATGAAACGTCACATCTTAGAGGCTTCTCGTCCCCGAAATCCTCTGATTGGGCTCAGTCAAATGTCTGTTCCTGAGGTAGATAGTATTTACCTTTCCGATCGGCCCGCAGGAACACGGTCTCGCCCATCCCTCCTTTTTGATCTCGGATCCGACCTAGGCGACAACAAGGCCGTGGCAGGAGGCTTCGCCGGTGCCATTCCGTCCAGTTTCCAGACCCAACTGGGCTTTGGCGCGGCTAGCCTACGTCGCGAACCCCCGCACCAAACCCAAGACATGCTCAGTAAATTGGTTCTCGCCCGCATGAACAACATTGAAGAAGGGTTCCGTGAGGTGATCAAGGAGTTCAAAGACCTCCGGCGCAGCGAGTCTAGCCGCAGTCCCAGCCGCCCTGATGAATCCCGAGAAGCAAATCGGGAGAAAAAGAAGCGTGAGAAGAAAGATTCCAAGAGAACACATACCAGCTCACCCGGAAGTCACGCTAGCAGTGGTGCAACCCCATTCAAAGCAGACGATGTCACGCCCTCTACGTAACTTTACATGATCATTCTGCTCTTTTGTGACGCTACTATGTACAAATTCTTGTAAACCAGTTTGGGAGGAGGGGAGGGCTTTTCTTTTTTCTTTTCTTTTTTCTTTTATTTTTTTCTTTTTTCTCCGGTAGGATGTCTGCTCAGGACCTGGCGCCTTGGTTGTGTTTTGCGGATACCAGATACCATCTCATTCAGGTCACATAACGGCTTCGATGTTCCAAGTTCATCGGTCCATACCCGAGTACATGAGATCTTTATCTTCCATGTCCACTTACTGTCCATGAGTACCCAACGCGAGTTACGCTTAACATACAAAGAATACCTAGCTATTCTTGTTGAAAGCCAGTATATCAGAGCATAGTCAGAAGAAAGACGATTATGTGCAGTCAACGCCCCTAGTAATTGTGTTAAGACTTGGGGTGGTGATAATATCTACCACTCTAGAGGTGGCAAAGAATCAAGATCAGTACAGATGCCAACTAAATCACCAATGCCCCCAATCATCATAGTATTTCCCTGGTATGCCTTTGCCCACAGTGCTCCCGAAGTTAAGTGGTTCCTCTAGGCGCTGAGTATCCTTTTCGAGGCGGCCGGGCAGTGTGTCCATTGATACTGCCTTGGTCTGTTTGGTCCGAATCACCACCCCGATATGCTGCTACCTCTTCGTTCGAGAGAAATTTGCCTGGTTGCGGAGCTAAGGCGCGGAACATCAACCATGTACCGCTGATGACTCCAAAAACGCTCAGGAGAGCAATGTTGCGGGATCTAATGTGAGTTGGTTAACATCGAAAGGCCTGCTAATTGAGCCGATACTGACTTCATTGGTTTCCGGCTTTGATGGATGGCTTGTGTCATGGTCGCCATGATTGCTAGGTTGGTTGTTGTAAGAAGACCGGTCTTGAAAATTTCCCAAAGATGAAGTTCTTGTCAGAAGCTAAAGGAGAAAGGCCCCGGTATGTTCCCTTAAGAAACAAAATGACATCAACATGAGCACATAGTGATAACCATAGGAGTTTATGGGATCTGTTATGTCTCAAGGGTCCTTCTCATCCCTAACCCTTATCCACATATATAGTAATAAAACATCTATTTTGGATGTTGTGGGATTTTGTTCTTCTAGACTGAGAGAAACAACTGTATACTTGTCGCATTCTTGGCCACACAGATACGTAGCTCTCATTGGCTCTCACTAGCTCTCTAAACACTGCTATTGGTGGGGAAATCATCCAAGGCGTCCATCTACATAACTATATACAACATAGACCTACGATCTTTGAACCTTCTAAGCTTTTAATCAGCCATATGTACAGAGACATGTACATTAGAAGGTATAAAGGTATACACACATATTGGATGTGAATTCCGTTCTGTCACAAAGTAAGTTCTTTTCGGAAAATATCATACCGACGTACATGGATGTCCATAACTAGACTTAGGTAGGTGATCTATTCTAATTCATGAAAGCATGGGAAAGAAACTACCATAATGCATATGAATATGGACATACATGTATGTATGTATGTTATGTACATAATGTAGGTATACAGCATGTAGATGTACATGCGTCTATTGTGTCGCCGTCCCAGCATGTACCCAATACCTCGTTTACTATTATCAGCTGGACTAAATCAGAAGTATCCAGTACCCGATGGTTCCCCGCTTCTACGTGTATCTAACGTACCGCCAACATTGCACATATAAGTGAACCGACGCAGTACATGCCTAAGTAAGCCGAACCAAGGCGTTCTCCTCTTCTTCTGTAAGCCTATCAGCAACTTTTTCATGAGTTCTTTGTCATAATCGGCTTGTCAGAACAAGATCGGGTAAAGCGGCGGGTTTGTCAGGCCTACATCTAGGCAACAGAGCCTCATCCACAGCCTTGTCCGTTTTGGTGTGGATTTTCAATTTCAAGTTTTCAACTCTTCCAACCTATTTGTAGGTGTGTCATAATACTATCACTTTCAAATCTACTTTTCTCGACCTCTCTCTCCCATTCTGCTCCGTTAGTTCATTGTCTTATTCTCTGTGTTAGCATCTTGGAGCGCTGCAATCCAACATGGAGCCTTCTCGCCCTCCAGGCTGGGTATCCCAGGGAGAAGTTGAGAACCTTGTACTACTACAACGAGAACAACAGCTCGATCCACCGCGTCAACGGGAAGAACCTAGGAATAACAATAGCGAACCTGAAACCGTAGACCTCGCAGACAACCCGAATATCGCTACCGGGCTATCAACCAGTCCTCTGGGTCTGGCATCAAAATGTAACCTTTCGACGGTGCCAGTCTTACTGCTTTTGCATGGTGCAGATACTCTGGTATTCATCGACCCTTCTCCGGAGACGGTCCGAGCCAAGTTGCCTCTCTGTGTATCCACGGTTCCTCATCGCATCCACAGTGAGACCTTGCTGGCTACAGGCTCGGCCTACTTCAAACGACTTTTTACTCCGCGAGTGCAGACCCGGGTCAGAAAGCGACGCGGTTTGGCTGGAAATCTTCCAGGTGGGATTCAATACGTCTTGGACCTCACGCCTCCAATGTTGGACGAGGATGCAATCATCTTTCTGACCGAGCTTTCATGTCCTATGGGCATTCGAACATGGGCCTCAAAGAGAAGTGTGTGGCATCTGCCGCTCTCATGTGTTGGGGGACAAGATGAGTTGGAACCCACGGAGCAGCTCATACAAAACCCTACATCACACGAGTCCGAAACCGACACCTATATCGATCCTGCCGATAATTCATCCGAGGAAGAGGACGAAGCCTTGCCTCCCATGCAAGATGCAGTTCCACCAGACGCACCGCCTCCAATGGGGAGACAGGAACGCTTGCCTGTGGAATACTCAGCCTCGCGTCACCGTGAAGGTATTGAGCATATCCTCCACGTTCTAGAGGGACTTCACATCAGCATAGACACCCCTTGCAAGCTGTGGACATTTTTTGCGCTCGCTAAAATCTTCGATGTGGCCACCGTGCCAGCCATCTGCGACCACATCATCTCGTGGCTCTACGAGCAGAACAACATTCGTTTCATTGAATTTCATCCCGACATAACATATCGAGTGGCCTGCGGCATCAAATCCGCTTCTCTCTGCCGAGATTCCTTTGTTCCAATGGTCGGAGATGAGGCTCTGCTCTATCTGATCCGTACTACAGGTTACCAACCAACTCAGTCCATAGAAGTCTCGATGCGGAGCAAGATTTCTGATACGCTAGATGATATCGAAGTGCAGCGTATCGAGTATGCCAGCAAGAGTTTTGGTGACTACGTTGTTCGCTGCTTCTTGCACTTGACGGGGACCGAAATGCCCTGGTTGGTGCACATTGTTGAGTTCCAAAAGCTCACTCGCCATCTCGAACGCTACCCCAAAGATCAAGAAATTGTACTCACCTTCATCACTACACTGAAAGAATTTGTTCGGGATCGCATCTATGGACTTTTAGTCGAGGCAAGAGACACGAATCGTTCGTTCCATGTAAATACAAGCCTAGCGAAGTCGGAAAATCCATACCATCAAATGTGGATGGATAAAAGGTTTTTACTTCAGCGACTAGTTGGAAGACGCTTCTGGGGCTCGTTGATCTGGCTGGACCTCTGGGAGACTCAAAAACTTCGTCCGGTTGCTCATTCTTCAATAGCGGAACTCTGCAATGGCTCATTGGCCTTCGGTGATGAAAATGCAGCATTGCTTCGCTATGTCTCAATCAGCGAAATCCGCCAGATGAGCCATACTTTTAACCAAGCTGTCAGGATGAGAGCCCAGGCCCGTCAGGAGGAAGAGGCTTTTGCTGTGCAACTTGCAGGTGGCCGTGTGGTGATGAACATGACCATAAATCCCCGACAGTCACAGTCTTCCAATGAGGCTAGCAACGGTTTCTACAGCGGCCCTTTCTTCAATCCCATCCCAGCAGCTACACCAAATCCATCTGTTCCATCTATATCCGTAGCTCTGCCCAAGTCAGACATCTCGGATGATATATTCGACCCAGTCGGTTTCACTACCAAGGTTCAGGATTTCCTAAAGAACTACGCACAAGAGATGTTGCAGCTGCCTGACTCAACCACGATTCGTCACGAACTTACAGATATCCTGACATGTCTGACATACAATGAATTCCAGTTCCTCCCTCTGTGGGCTGGTGGTAATGACGACGAAACCGGCGGTGTGTTCGCAGACCTGCTCATTCCCACCATGGACGCCGGTGGATTCTCAGGACCCGGACCCACCGTGCACACTGGCAGTGTCGCATCAACTAATGACTCTTTCAGCGAAATTGATCCGAGTGACTCGCGGAGCACCGTTCATGCGGCATCCCACAACGCTACTTACAGTCATGTCTCGGATCTCATGTCCATGAACTCTACCGACTACGCTCAAACCGATTTCAACAATGAGAGCTCGGAAATTGACTTGGAGGAAGCCCATTTTGACAATGAGATATCCCAAGATTTTGGTCTGATGACTGACGATGAAGAATGTGAGATTCGAAGTGATGGAACCATTATCATGCGAATTGATTCAGCTTCATCTTCTGTTGGTATTCCAGAGGATATGGATATGGACAAAATGAATGATGATAATGATGCTGACTTCGAGTTCGTTGATGTGCGCAACTGACCTTCAATAATCCCCATGTGGTTTTTATCTGAATATCTTAGCTGAATGTAGGGGAACAAATTGTTTGCATGAGGAATCAAGGCATTGATCAGATTGAAATAGAATGAATGGCATATTCTATGACCGAAACAAAGTACATCCAGGTAAATCCATGTATGCACATGTACATATCTGATGTAGGTATGAAATTAAGTACTGTATCATATCATGTATCAGAACAATGTCAATTCTTTCTTTTGAAACGAAGATCTAGGGCTTAAACAAATTCCCCTGCTTCTGATATTCACTCATGAACATGGCTAGTGTCCCGAGATCGGCAGTATGGCTTTGGAAAGATCGTCCTGGCTGAGCATACGCTGTATGACATCTAGCCACTACGCTGGGATAATAAACCCAAGCTCTACCAAGATACTGCGTGTCATGCCCAAGCGACTCCATGCAAAGATTCTCTTCAATATCACTTAATGGCGAAGGTATATACACCGGTATTACCGAACTATGGGCCAAGATCATAGGAATGAACCGTCATAAGGTTGAAGTTTGAAAGACAAGAAGATGGCAGCAGCAACGTATCATATATTTCAGTTTTGTCGGTTATCCTAGGTAAACGCTCCATGTATAAAACAAACGAGTCTCCAAACAACCTACATGTCTACCTGTAGGTATCGACAGCTCCACCTGGACCCCGGGCCCGGGCCATAGACGTGCTGACTCAGCTTCTTTGCAAGTGGAACTGCCCAGGTGCGAGGTACTGCAGCTTTTATAGACCTGTCAAGCTACATACAATATAAGTACTGCAAATAAGTACTGCACGCGCTTGAAGATTGCCTGATTCTTCGTCGCTTTGTTTGACTTCTCTTTTCTACAACACTCGCTCTATCCTTTCCGCCTACGGTGCTGACATCATATCACTATGGCTTCATCCTCAAAGACGAGCTCGTTGCTCTAGTAAGTCTTGCTGCCTGGAATTTAGGGGGAAAAGAGAGAGGAAGAAGCGTGGAAAGAAGCCCCGGACTAACAAGATTGTTAACTTTAGCTCTTGCATCGCTCATCGCACTACCATTCTGGCTGAACACTCCTCGCCAGGCGCCTCATCGACCTCCGCCTCGTCGCTAGCCTCCGTCATCCTCCCAAAGATCACTCACGATAAACCCCAAAAGCTCACCTTCACTCATGAGCGGCTATTTATCCACTACATCGCCGACTCTCCAACGGGCAATCAATCCGACGATGCCAACCGCTCAGAACCCAATTCATATGCACCCCTGAGCTTTGTCGTCGTTGCATCGGCTGAGCAAGGCCGCCGCATCCCATTCGCCTACCTGCTAGAGATGAAGCGCAAGTTCCTTGCTACCTACCAACCATCCACTACGGATTTTTCCTCCTTCCCCGCATACGGCTGCGCTGCCTTCAACAATGAGCTGCGCTCTCTTCTGCAAACATACAATACTGCCCCGCCAGCTGACTCGCTCGCATCGGCTCGTCGCGAGATTGATAGCGTCCGCGATATAATGACTGAGAATATCGAGCGGGTCCTGGAGCGCGGTGAGCGCATCGACCTGCTGGTGGACAAGACGGATCGGCTTGGTGGGAGCGCGCATGATTTCCGGATGCGCAGCCGGGGCTTGCGGCGCCGCATGTGGTGGAAGAATACCAAATTGATGATCATGATGGTGATCGTGGTCATCTTCTTGCTTTATCTCTTTATTGGTATGGGGTGTGGACTACCTGCGTGGGGAAAGTGCGTTGGACACTAGTACGCCGAGGGCTAGTCGAACATTTCAGCGAGCGTGTTTTTCGAATATCCAATCTCTGGGGTTGCTACGGTTTCCGGCTCATGACATATGATGCGGTGGGGTTCTGTTTTCTCTGTAATTGTGCTACTTGCTTCTTTGGGCATTTTCATATTTAAATCTGTATCTTAGTAGGATATTGAACCTTGCATGCATTTTCTGTGGACTTGGATGATGAAGATGAAAAGATCTGGCGTGTAGTTGATATATATCCCACCCACATTATGTCGTAGATTCTCAACGTATTTCAATCGATATGGAAGTGATAATTTATCCAATCCAACTTGAATATCTATTTGCAGCTGTATTGCTTGAACTGGGCTTGCTCCTGATCGTTCTATACCCGAAGAATGGCCAGAAATATAGGTACTCCAGATCTAGTTGGACTGTATCTATCTGTATATATAGCATCCCAACCACCAGGTGTAATATTTCTAGCAAACAAGACTACACAACCATAAATTATTCAAATATATTTATAAACAGACAACATAACAAGAGTCATTAATGAAAGGACTATAATGCCAGTCTATTGATGCCGTATAACTCTGGAGCCCACCCCAGAAGCCTTACTATGTATGTAGACATGCCTACATCTACGCAGGTATACTTCGTACACAGGCAACGGTTTCTCAAACTTAGGATTAATATAGAGGTCAAGTGGATTGCAGAACAGTAGATTGATTGAATGATAGAAATGTGGCATCAGTGCTTACAGCCTACAACAGCCTATAAGGAATATAGTACTGCGACTCGAGAGATATGTACCTCACCATCAAACTCACTGCGTCCTTGCCCGAGGGCATCAGAGTGAGTCTGCAGGTAAGACAGAAACTACCAGCTTCCCAGTAGCCCTGCGAGTTCTCTACGCCAAGTGTTTACCTCTTCAACCATGGAGTCCGTCCTAAAAGGCGCGGGGTTGACGAGGAGATATATAAGGCGACATTTCTGGTATCCAACGGGGAGGGATTGGAGATCGAAATGAGAGGGCAAAGCCGCTACAAAGTCGAGAGAGCGAAGACAAATGCTAGATCGAAAGAGCGCAAACTGAGCAAGAAACGAGATGGCCTGGAGATTGACCTGTAGCATTCGACGGATGTTCCTATGTGCGCAGGAGATGTGAGGAAGAAGAAGAACGCCGGCTGCGCAGAGTGAATTGTCCTGCGAGCACCGACTCCGGGTAGAAGAAAAAGGAAATTTTGTTCATTTTTCATTCATCGCAATGCACCTGGTTCCAGAAACTTTATCCTGATCATAGCAGGCTGGAAACTCCGTTTCTCAGAGTCCTTTGAGTGAACCCGCGCCGTCAACCGCCATTGCAACATGAACCTAAACCCCACACGTAAGAAATCCCTTAAGCCGACTTGCTCTTGACAGCCTCACGACCCTTGGCGATGCGCTCGATGATCTGCTCACGGTCCTTGTCGAGGTGCAGCTTGGTGATGACGACCTTGGAGGGGTGGAGGGGAATGGGAACGCTCTGGCCGTTGCTCTTGTCGCGAACGATCTAAAACCGCAAGGGTAAGTATCCACCTACACAAGTATGGGAGTATATTCAAGTCGTACCTTCTCAACGAAGATGGAGAACTTGAGACGGTAGACGTTGGTGATCTTGCCCTCCCGTCCCTTCTGCGAACCTCTGGTGACAACTGGAGATAAAAGTCAGCCTCATGCGTTCAAGATCAATCCCAGCTTGCATTGCCATTGAAACTCACCAACTTCGTCGTCCTTGCGGATGGGGATGGAGCGGATCTGTCACAGAACGCTGGTTAGAATCGTCGAATATTGTTTCATGTCGGTGTCTGTATGATCCGTGGTTTCCAATCGCGAAAACTCTACCCGCAGACCCAAATTCGAGATGGATATTCATGTGGTACATACTCCGTACTTCTCCTTGAGCTCCTTGGAGACGGGAGCGCTGAGGATGACACGGCGCTCGCTGGAGGGGGCCTGGAAGTGTGCCTTGCGAGACTTGCTCCGCGAAGAGGCGATACCTGTGGAAGAGACCATCAGTATTGGAAATTGAAGATTGGCGAAAATTCGTGTCGGTAAGGGTTTCGAGCAGTTGTAAATCAAATCGGCGCAAGGCGTAATGCGAGATAGTACGCACCGTGGGTTCGGACAGCCATCTTAAAGGTCGTGAGTGGGAAATGAACGGGTGTCGTTGGCGTTGGTCGAAGAGAGGATCTTTTCTGATGTTGCCGAATATTCCAAGTTGCGGGAGCCGGATTGTGTGCTTACTAATATCCCGCTAAGCCATGTCAGGGCTTTGTAGCTAGACACCTAGGCCCTAAGGCATCAATAATTGGGGAATATGATTGGCTGATCCTGAGACCCACCTTTACGACGCGCTTTCAATGCGCCTGGACAACAACCGTACCAAGCTACCTAGGTCTTAGGCCATAGCTGTCCCACGACTATGACCATTTTACGCCGATTAGTCTGAAATTTTGGGCACAATTAATGTTTCATGGATCAACTGGGTTTGTCAGTTAATTCAGCCTTCCCTTATCCAGTCGCGATCCGATTCCTTCAATGCGCGACGGATTACGATCGAGCCTTTTTCTTCGGTGCTACAACATCTCCAACGATGAGATCCTAGCTGTTGAGAAGCTCCTGCTCACGTCGAAATGACAAGCGGAGGAGGCATGGATGGATTTGACTGGCTGCAAACCTTTCTCCCAGCCGATGGCCAACCCGACTTCGATCCCAATTCCAACAATGCAGCCTATCAAACACACCCAGCATTTCAAGACGCGGAGGAGGTAGCCCAGGCGGCCTTTCTGTATCAGCAGGCTCAGAACTCATACTCATTCATGAGGTCAACAAATCCCGGAGCAAGTCGTGTCTCCAATCCCTCCCAGGTGTACCCACAAGTTTCGGGTGAACAGAATAGAGAAAATCAACACCAACAAGCTAGCAGTATTCACAGCCACCACCTCAATAGTGGCTCTCCAGAACATCCTTCTTACAAACCAGATAGCTCTCAGCAAGTGAATCAGCGGCCACATTCCTCCGTTTCGTCCCAGTACAATCCAGCTGCCCAGGCGCATCAAGATGGCTACCGCAAATTGATTGTTCAGAAGACCCAAGCTCAGATGGCCCCTATCGGAACCTCTCAAAGGCCTCCTTTGTCCACACCAAGTTCTCATGGGGCCAATGAAACCCAAAGGCCAACAGCGCCCGTGGAAACAACAAACCCACCAACGGCACGACCTCCGTCAACATCCCGGAGCCCAAAACAAGCCCGTTCTACATCTTCAGATCTGCGCTTTCACTGGCAATCTCCACCGCACAATTCAAAAGGGTTGGCAAGACCGACCGTACAAGGTCCAAGGACACACATGTCGGCTACACAGCCTCCTGCATCGCAAAATCCTTCCCATCGTCGCTCTACAGCTCTCCCCCCAAATTCCCGGCGGCTGTCTCAAGGTATTGAAGTTCAAGGACCACAGCCAACGCCATCGGTCCAAACGACACACAAACCGGTGGGGGGCATCCGGACATCTCAGAGCGTATATCAAAGCCATTCTGCAATCCCAGTCCAGCCCACACAGGAACCGTCTCGTCCCATCGCAGAGCAAAGGAATTCGTCAGCTCCTCCGGCTCAAGGGAAGCACACAACAGTAGTAAGGACTCAATCATCGTGGAGCCCATATCAAGCCCACTCCGTGCCTGCAGCCCAGAATGCCCAGCAACCATTCCGTTCCACCACCGCGCAAGGATCCCGACCAATGTCCCCAGTTGAAATGTCACATAATCCACGCCCAGGTAATCAGACCTGGCAGAGCGCACATCAAAAGCAGTCTGAGATTCTGGACCAGACTGTTCAAAGACCACATCGTTCACATGATACACCAAGCTTCCATTCCTCGGTAGAGACTAGGGCTCACACTTCCTTCGTTCCACCACCAGGGATCGAAATATCTGCAGGACGGAGCACACATTCGGATCGCCAGTCGGTAACACTAGCGACAAGGATCTCGGAGACCTCAAGCTCCCCATCGCAAAATCCGACTGTCAATCATATCAGGTCGAGCCCAACCTCATCAGGGTCCAACCAAGTTCGTGTGCAGTCAGTAGTAACATCCGCGCCATGTAGGGTCAACAGCCCTGCAACTGCCCGACCCGCATCGACCTACAGTCCCTCTGCTTCCTTGGTTCCTTCTGGCCATGGTTCTATCCCTTCTCATTCGACGCCTTCTGCACAGAAGATTGTTTTGCCAGATCACTCGGGCAAAGGGGAACCCCAGGAGGAAGAACGAGCTCAACGTAATGCAGCTTTTGAATTATCCACATACCAGGCACCCAAGCAGACAAGCCAGCGGCCTCCAATCCCCCAACCCAATGAGCATAGCTCACTAGTGGCATCGTCAACTTCCGTGCCGACCGCCCGGCCTTGTTCTAGCTCTTCATATGCCACAGGATCTAAACAGGGAAGCCTTTCTGCTTCGGGGCAAAATACCACTGGAAATACACAGTTGCGGGCCTTCCCACTTCCGGTAACATCGCACTACCAGACAGAGCGGTGGGTTCCAGCTCGAGACCAGTCAAGTGATCCTATGCCACCATCAAAGTTGCGTCGTTTGGACAACGCTCGAAAGCAACCAGTGACACTTCAAAATGCTCCATCAACAGGATCGTCAGGTAGCTCAAGGCCAGGCGCCCAAGCTTCGATGGAACTTTCTCTCCCTCGAGGGCCTGGGAAATCCCTCAAGAACCGCGAAGACCTGGTCCAGCCCATAAGGCAGAGTGATGCGCTACTCAAGGAATCTTATGATCCTGCTACAATCGCGCGGGATGTACTGATTGCCGCTGGAAAGCACCCGACGGAAAAGCCTCTAAATCATCATCTTGAAGCACTACGCCGTAACTTCAGCAGAATCGACTCCTTCGCAGACCTGGCAACCTTTCGTTGGGATTTGGTAGATGTCAAACAGGAAAAGCAGGAACCCCAGGTTAATTTTGTGCCTCTTGTTCCTGCTCATCATCTACCTCCCCCACCAGTTCCTAACTCACTTCATCGACCCCCATCAACCCCACGTGACCCCACCATACAGCCTAATCACATGACTTCGCATCGCGTGACTTCACGTGATACACCGCCAAGTCGACATGCACCTCCAACGCCAGTTAGGATTGACGCGCGCGCCCCTCCCGGCGGTTTGAGCGTCTGGGGTATTTTGCCTTTCAATCCTCCAAGTTACCATTCTCCACAACGTATTCCTTCAAATTTGCCTTCTGGACTCCCCAGGTTCGACGTTGTGCCTCCATCCCCGAAATTATCCCCCCACCCATCCGTCCCTATCCCGGTCCCTTTGCAACCCCAGCACCGACATCAATCAACTCCGAAGAGCGCAACTCCAGCCAACCCCCCGCCTTCCCCCAAAAAGGTCGCCCCAAAATCCACATCAAAGCCCAAGGCTCAAGCACAGACCACTAAGAGTCAATCGGATTCTGGTCGGAGTGTGAAATCCCCAGAGGCAAGGCGTCTTCAGCTACAAGTTGTCATCCCACCTTCGCCCGAAAATATGTCCACAAAAAGAAAGCCGGGGCGACCTCCACATAGCTCAGCGAGTAAGATCGAGGTTGCCATTCATCGTGAACAGCCTGTACACTATCAAGTCTTTTCATGCAAATGGGAGGGATGTGTTGCAGAACTTCATAACATTGACTCAACCCGGGCTCATGTTCTCAAAGTTCACATCCCGCACTCCCTTATTTGTAAATGGAAAGATTGTGATAACCATACGCCGATGGCTGCAGCGAACATGTTTGAGCATATGGCGCACGACCACATTTCCAAAATGGCCTGGGAGCTTGGGGATGGACCGACGGTACCAGTAACTGGTGAGACATAGTGCATTATGCTGCTCCAAGGAGTTGATTTATTACACAAACTTTGTTTGATGTGAAGAAAATATCTAATTGGATCAATGATCTAGCGGAAACCAAATCGATTCATCCTTCTGGTCTAGGTGACCCAAGTGCTCGCAAAGGAACCATGGTCTTGCCAGTGGACGAGCACCAGGTGAAGGCATTCAGCAAGACGCATGGAAAATCGACTGAGAGGACGAAGGCCCAAGCTCTGCTTGAAGCGGGCCGACATTGGAAGCAGCAGATTGGGCCCGATATGGACTGGAGTGACCGTCGTCTGTCAACACCAGCTCGACAGTCCAGGGTCCATTGCAGTGAAATGGCATTTGTTGGGGATGATTGATACGCCAGATCGACTTTTGTGATACCCTTCTTTCCGTCTTTCAACCGGGGACTGGCGTTCAAACCATACGATAAACCTGATAATCTGCCATTGCAAAATGCCAGATGGATCTTACAATTTTTTGCACTTGAGAGACATCTCACCGGACTTTTTCCTTTTCTCTATATCTACCGGTTTCATACCATTGACTGTATAGACACCGCACGCTATCATACTTTCTACTTGAGAACATTGATAGATGGCGCCTTTGTCTCCAATCGATTGGACTGTAGGATACAATTGGGTTGTGGTTGACTCGCTGGTAAAGATAAAATCAAATGATGCAGGCGCTGGTATCTTGTTGTATTCCTTCTCCACAAGCAGTTTCTTGAATTTATTTCCCTTTCCCAGAAGCTGACACATCGGTGGTCTCTGTGGAAGCCAGCGATGGAGGACCCTCGGCCTTGGTTTGGCTTGCCTGACCGGCCGATTTCGCAGACTCTGGCTCCTCCTCGCTGGAATTGACATCGAGGAAGTGGTATAGGACGATCATCATCATGGCGCATGAGCCAAGGAAGATGGCGAGACGGTACAGATCATTATCGGAGATCATTGTGAAAGAATGCCGTGTACAGGCGTTGCAAATGGTAGATGAAATGGAGTTAGAGACCAAATGACGAGACTAGGTCGAGACACAACGAGCCGTGAGTAGATGGCGGTTGTAATGGGAGGAGACGCGTCGACCAGTAATTCAGAGTGATGACAGCACAGCTGTGTATAAGATGGGATCTCCAAAGCAAGATTGGGGAGAATAAAAGAAAGGCCAGGGAGTAGGAGAGGTGTTGAGAAAGTCCCGGGGGCACCAGCTGAGTTGATAAGGTGGCCCTATCGGGTCGAGGTACCTGTACCGTACGGGTCAGTGCGACACGCATACTGGAAGATGTACAGGTACAAGTGCCATCGAGTTAGGCGTTGCAATCGCCCTGAAGAATAGTTAATTGGGTCTTTGTGATCTACCTAGGCTTTCAAATCAGGGAATATCCTTGCTGGATCTCTCTGGCCGTTCTAAGAAGACAACCTTGGAATTGCTCTTTTTGTTACGCGAATTACTAACTGCCCCCTAACGGCCGGACAGGAACATCCAGAACATCGCGACCGGAGTATTTCACCCCCTCTTCCCTCTTCCCCTCGGTCAATTTGTCACTACAGCCTCACTTTAGCCATTCCTTATATGGGTCTTGCTTCACTATGACCGAATTGCAGACCACTTCTGGGTCTAAGCCAGGTCCCGCGTTACTGGCCTGTCTTCAGTGCCGTCACAAACACCTCAAATGCGATGGCAGGACTCCCGTCTGCGGTCGTTGCGAACAGGCTCGATCTCCCTGCGAATATACTAAGTCTCGAAGAGGCTACAAGGGACCATCAAAGAAGCGCCGCGCCAATTCACCCGATTACTTGCCTATGGATCCTCACCCGGTAGGAATGCTCGATGTGCCCGTGGACTGGAGCTTGCAGGCCGGCTTCACCTATGCGCCAACCGTCCCCTTGCCCTCCTCTGCGTCGACTAGCCCTGGATTACACGGTCTATCGACACCAATAATTCCATCCGTTCGCCCGGTCAGCGGACCATTGACTCCGGACTCTTCTTCTGCTGCCGGCGGAGATGGTTATCTGCTCGATATCTACTATAATTATTTCCACGCCGCCCATCCGATCCTGCCACCCCACCGACTTCTACATCGCTTCTTATTCCCAGCATATCTGGAGCAGGTGATGAAGTTCATCGGTGCCCACTTCACCCCAGCTGCCTCGAGTGACATGTACCGGCCCACAGTCGTTGCAATGGTTCAAGAACAAGAATTGTCCGTGGAGAAAGTGCAGGCACTGCTTCTGCTGGCGATCGTCCTCCACTCTGATAATGAGCGCGCCGAGGCCGGTGTCTGCCTAGCTGGTGCAGTGGATTCAGCCTTCGAGCTTGGCATGCATCAAGGGACGTTTGCGACAATTGCTAGCAACGGGGATCCGATCCGCGCAGAGTCTCTGCGCCGTACCTGGTGGGAGCTCTTCGTTATCGAAGGTTTCATGACTGCCCTTGGTGTCCAACAGGAGTATCGCACCAATCGAATGCCCCTCGAGGTCGCACTTCCTTGCGAAGAGCGTATCTATCATGAAGCCTTGCCACCCCCACCACCCCCGACAATTGCTCAATTTGACGGGCGGGTGTTCGCAGAAGAGGAGCGTGACTTCTCCTCATATTGCTACCGAATTGAAGCCATTCGCATTCTTGGCCGTGTGGTGGCGATGCAGAATATGACGGAAGGCCAGCAGGACCAGGTGGAAGCTATTGATGCGCGTATCGGTAGCTGGGGTCATCATTTGCCCGAGTCCAAGGAAGAGCTTTTGCGCCCGGACGGGAGTGTGGATGAGATTATGTTCCAGGCAACTATGATTCTCAACGGCGCAGCCATCTACCTAAATTTCCCACGTTCCGATCTTCTCTCATCTCCCGCCGTTGCCGCGGAAGTCCTCTGTGGTCACCATGGTCCGATCAGTGTGCCCGCATTCTCCCACAATGAACATGCTATGAAGGCCGCCAAGGCTGCCCGAGAGCTGTCTCGGCTCGCAGCCTTCCGCCTGCCTGTTGTCAAACACACCCCATTCTTCATATGTGCGCTTACTCTGAGCTCCATTGTCCAACTAGCTTCCTGCTCTGTCAAAGCCGGTCAAATGCCAGACCCCAGTCGCGACCGGCTGGCATTGACGATCGGTGTTTTTAAGTCATTGTCTCGCACCTGGGCCATATCCCAGTCGATCATGCGTCAAATCAAAGCCGTTGCACGGGATGTGATGGATGTAGGACTACGTCCTACGATGGACTCGCTTGATCTGACCACGGTGTTGGATAACAGTCAGTTCTGGGTGGACCAGGGCCCGAGCTGAGGCAAAGAGGACGTTATCACCTATTCCGATCTTTCTGGTCCATGGCTTCTCCCGGTATCCGAGATCCTCGGCTGTCCGGTACTCGTTGAACCAATTCTAGGGCATACTTCTTGACTTATGATCAAGCGGATGTGTTCACCGGCCTCCCCACACCTCTAGGGCTCTGCCCCCTCCTCCCTTCTCCACCGGGGCTACCTGACACGTTTGGTATGAATCTGTATCCGATTCTCCTGGCCGGAGTATGCACGAAGGGAAATGGGACGCCAAGCTTTCCCCCGGACCCGGCTATGCATAGAAGAAACAGACCTTTCGATTTGCTCCAACGCTACCTTCATCCATAGACTGTAAGCTTAGCTTGCACAGGGACTACCTATAGAGCTAGGCTCTGTAATATTTTTTTTTATCTGAGACATCAATAGTCTTTCACGTGTGAGAATTGAATTCAGGGGCAACTGTTCAAGAGAGCCCACTTCGCAGGATTGACCGCAGTTGATCTGCAAATATCATCCGGCGTGACTGCATCGAGCTTTCACGACCATCGTTTTCGAAAAGACTATGATCAGAAGTCCGTCCTTTCGTGCATGTTTCCTTCTATTCGTTTCCCACCTTCCAACTTCATCCCTGAGCAACAGTAGTTCTTCCTTCATATCGGTTGGCATCCAGATCCGAATTCCCTGTTGCATACAACGACATCTGGGATAGTGCGGAACGGCTCGCTACCAATGCCTTCTCGCTAGGCGTGGATCTTTCGAAAGGGTTTGTCATTAGTGGCAGCTCAGCCGGGGGAAACCTGGCGATTGTCACAGCTCATCGCGCCATAAGACAGAGCCTCTCTCGCCCACTGACGGGTGTATTGGCCGTTGTTCCACCCTGCATGGATAAGCAAATTGTACCTAAGAAATACAAAGGGCTGTGGTTGTCTCGCGAGCAGAATGCCCATGCGCCAGTGTACAGCGATAAGAGCCTCGGAGTATTTGGGCTGTTGTTAGATACTGCCTAGAGGAAAGCTTTTCAATTTCAAGAAGCCAAAATAAGATAAAACCTCCAATTGAGCATATAGAAAGGCAGCTGTTCTTCTATACAAGTACGCACCTGACTAGGTACGCGGGTTATTTGTAGCGTGGAGCAATATAGCAGGTTTGGATCAACAACTCTGTTCATCTGTTCAGAAGCATGTAGAGAACACCAAAGCGTAACATTCTCCGTATTTATCACAGATCCCAAACCCATACGACAGATCATTTGAACTCGCGGAGATATTTCAAGCGCTTAATAGCAAGCGAAAAATCCTCATCGCTGGTGACCGTAGTCGCACGTCTGCCACCAGGAATACCAGCCATCAGCTCCTTGGCTTGCTTTAACTCCAGATCCATGACCTCCTTGAGATTCAAGTACTCATGGTCGATATTATGCGCTTTGAGTGTCCCTGGATCGACGAGGCTTAGCGACGGTGGTATAAGATAAGGTATATGGTCTTACGGTCAACTTTAACCAGATGCTTATTAGCCTGCACGATCGCACCCCAGAGAGCAGAAACCTCGGCTACTCTTCCAAAGGTATCGTTACGGACCCAGCCCAAAAGACCATTAAGGAGATCAGCCTCTGACGAGTCATTAGTCTAGTGAGGAGGCGAGAGCTAGAGAGAGTAGTGGCTACCTTTGGTCTCCCTCGAGATCTGGTAGGCATTGGGAATCTCGGCTGACATGCGTTCATAGTTCATTTTGCCTGGTAGTCAAAGACACGGTAGGACGATGGTGTCAAAGGGGATAGAAAACAAGGGAAGAGAAGCGGGTTATATAGAGAGAACGATACGAAATATTGGTGTAGTAATGGTAACCCGTGGCTTTGAACCTCAATCTGAGTCAATCAAGTATCTGAATATGTGCTACAACTATTTCATTCAAGGAGAGAGCGGCTTTAGACAAAGGAACCTTGACGGATACATGTATCTACGAAGTACGGAGCCTTCGAGAACCTATTCTGGGAACAAAGAACCCACGTCTCACAACGTATGGCTTTCGCCTCCTGTGCTGTTTGGGTTCGAACGCCCCGGGAGTCTGTGACGGGGACAAAGAAAACACTTTTCTATCCGACTGGACGAGGAAGATTGGAGAACAAAGAGCAAGTCTGCCAGGCTTTTCGAAGCCAATGTCCAGTCTTGCTAGTGACGAAAGAGAAAAGAATAAGAGATGCAATGGATCTTCCCTTCTTCAACAGTTTCAATCTCCATTCACTATCTTCTCGATCCTCGCTGCCTACTCGTTTGAATCGAAATGGTCTCTGAGAGCAACGCCCCTCCGGAGTTCGTGACTCGCATGGAAAAGGTCCCCCCAACCTACCAGAGTGAATCATACGCCTATAGCAAAGACGGTATGCGAGAAAATACCCTGCCTCATGACAAAAGACTGAACAGATATTCACAGGGTTGTCCTGCGCAATGATTTCTTGGATGCTGGACTTGAACGTTCGAGCAGCAATCAAGAAGCGTGAGTTCCAGCGCACGTATCAGAGAATCTGTCTTTATATCAAGCATATGGAGCGTACGTTGGGTTGATCCCAGAATGCTTAGAACCGTAACTAATCATGACTAGGCCTCATGGACCAGGCCAAGATCCCATATAGCCCCTATACCGGAGCGGAAGACAGTCGAAAAGTGCAACTCGCCAGAGAGAGTCTCAAGCCTCACATGCAGGCCAGATTCATGTCCAAGGGACCCTATCCAATCACAGCTCCTATTAGCACCGATGGGGAGCTCTGCCGAACCGTGTCAGACGCGCAGACATTCGAGTATCGTCTTCATCAGTTGGAGATCATTCGGTTTATGGAGAGGGTTGATCCGTTGGCATTGACGGAGTTTGAGAGAAGTAAGAGGCAGCACAGACCGCAGACAGGCTAGCTGAGGCATGTGTTCAAGCGGGAATTTGAACTTTTCACGATCCGGAGGTGTCATGGTTGATAGTTCGTTTCAATAGTGTTCCTAAAGAATGTGTTGATTGAATTTCCCCTTGCCATGGCCTCTTTTGATTGGATTGGCCAAATTTAACATGGTAATGTGCAAGTAGAACCGAAATAACGTAGAAATAATATGCATATCATTCAAAAAAAAGAAAAAGAAAAAAAAAAAGGTCTAACAGTGTTGCCACCCAAGTGTAAAATCCAGGGGTATCTCGAATGCTGGTTTGGTCATGTATGAGGCGAGTGACAAGGATATCGCGCGGCTATGTCAACAAGTGCTCTCGCAAAACAAAAGAAACAAGAAATAGCGCCAAACAATGAGAGATAGAAACCAAAAAAAAAGCCAAAACTCCTTGCCTTATGCTCAGGTCGTATCGGCATTGCGTAAAAAAATCTATCAAATGAATGAATAGGTCATGGAGACTATCAGAATAAGAACTCGGCATCGGACAGGAGTCTAAATGCCTGCACCGCTGCTTAATTCCCGCATTTCTTGCAGGGCAACAGCACGGCGTGCAACGACATCCTCCCGACGCACCACATTGCGCAGTGCTTCACTGGCTTGGATCAGACCATCAATACTAATGGCGTGATTGGTCATTTGGTGGTTGATGTATGTGTAAAGCGCCGCCGGCGTCGAGCAGGTCGTTAGCAACTGCTGCTCGTTGAGCTTGAGCAGTGCAAGAGCAACTTGGAAGAGGAATGTACTTCCGCCGCCACTACCTGACGCAAGATTACCGGCAGACTTGGTACTCTTGTCGTTGCCATCCTTAGTGCCAGAAGTACTTGGTCCAGATGCATTGAATGCACTGGTCACGTTAAGACAAAGGACGACATCCCATACCCGATAGAGCGCCTCTGCAGAAAGACAGTCCGTAAAGACAGAAAGGAACCACTGGAAGGTGAGTGCCTCCAGTTCGATACCAAGTTCCTCTAAGTGGGCGGAGAGTTTGGGAAGAAGCTCCGAGATATACTGGCGCAAAACTACTTGGTCGGCCCGGGAGGCCAGCAAACCATGGTCGTAATAGTGCTGAGGCAAAATGATTTCGATCATCGAGGCCAGAATCCAAAATGCATCCTCGGCAGTCGGCATAATGAGCAGCAGAGATCCCGCGATGAGGTTCATGCCCTGACAATAGCCTACTTCAGGGTTACGGCGCGAGTACGCAAGCAGAACCTCTTTCAACTTGCCGACACCAGGCCCCTTGCGGAAGAAGACATTATCGGTAAGAGTGCGGCGTATATCCATGTCGATCTGTGCTATGACCGAAGGGTCGGGGTTGCATCCACCCACACCATGGACGAGGTCATCATAATACCCAGGAATTCGCATTGCCGACGCCCCGCTGCATTCCGACCAAGTTTTGGCGCGAAGAACCACGGGGATACCGCCGAGGACGAGCAGCCGGAATTCTCGCCACTTCGCTCGGCCAACCTTGCCTTTGTTTCCCAGACCAGCGATGCCTACAACCTCGCCATCGGCGAGCGAGACCTCTGGTGTGTGGAAGGCAGCTAAAGATCGGTCGGAGGTAGCTGCTGCGGCTGCTGCGGCTGCCGCTTCGCCCTCCTTTCGCCGCTCAGCTCGTACTTTACGAAGAAACTCGTTCCATCTCACGGTTCGATCACGCTGCAATGTGTCATGGAGCTCAGTCAACTGTTCCAATAACAGTTTGACCGGCTCCATCTCGGCGTGGCTGAATTTAGAAAATGTATCTTTCAGTTGGTCTGAAGACACGCCAGCAAATTCGGGGCTGTCGGCTGTAATGGCCGACGTGGTCGCTGATGGTTGTGCGCTGGAGCCGACGGCCAACGCCCCATCTTTGTCAACAGAAACGGAAGATCTATGAGGACGATTCTCCTCTGCAGTAGTCAAAGAGACGATTGGTCCCGCAGACGGCGTGTGGGACAATAACTCAGTGGGACGGGATGGTATTCTCAGGTAGTCTTGCCAGCGATGAATGGCAACTGCTCCGCTATCAGGATCATTTGGTGAGTCGGGAAGAGAGCGCGAGCGCTCAGAAGTCCCTTCGCGAAGTCTAGCTATTTCGGGATCATCCTCAGGATCCGAAGCATCAGTTCGAAGACTACCAAGAGTTTCGGTAACACTCAGACGGTGGATGCTGCTCTTAGTACTAGTGGCTTCTCTCTGGCGCTTCTTTCGGCGTTGGTCATAGATAAAACCGAACCTGTCCGTGAGAAATTCACCAGGCTGGGAATTATTATAAATGGTTGTGAGCGTTGGAGGCTTCGACTCCATGGGCAAAATGGCATCCATCTCAACAGGTCCAAGATTTGTCGACCCTCGCTCTGCAGCTTCTGAGGCTGAACCTTGAGATACGCTGCCAGCTGCACTCCGCCGTGAGGGGGGAGGGTTCATTTTGCCCTGAACACTTGGTCCACTAGTAGATCGTCCAGTGATAGGCAGGCTGGCATTGCTATTGATCCTTTTCAATGCAGCCACCGCCGATAATCCACCCTTAGAATGCCCAGATAGCGTGGAAGAAGTACTTTTGTCTCCATCTGGCCTTTTGGGTCGGGGTCTATTGTCGATGGACTCGGTATCACTTGCGTCTCTGCTTGTCTGAGGATTGCCAGCAAACAGCTTGACAGTCCAGGAGCCGAAAGATCGTGCAGATTTGCGAGAATGGATGCTTGCATCGTCACCATTCGTTGACGTACTGGCAATGCGCTTTGCCAGTCCATCGCGTACCGAGCTACCCGGGGGCTGGAATAGCTGCTCGTCAAGCGCTTTGCGTCGCATTGCAGGATTGCTGGGCACTCGGAGGCGCTCAGCCTCTTCTTCTCCCATTCCACCTACTTCACTCATAATACTACTAGCGCGACTTGTTTTCCGGCTTGTATTGACTGAGCCAAAGAGGTATTCTTGCCAGCCCCGGATCGAGCTTTCGCTTTTCCGGTTGTCATTTCCCCCGCTCCCGCGGGCATCACTGTCTGATCGCTGAGCGCGAATTGTGGCTTGAGCTTCTGCTGAGGCATCATGAGACCGAGAGCCCACGCTGTCTTCCATAGCTTGAGACATCAACCCATTCAGGCCGCAAGAAGCATGGCCAGCATGATCACTACTGTGGTTGCTTTCCGCATCCGAGGCACGATCACTCGGAGGATTCTCTAACTGATACAGGCGAAGTTCAATATCTTGGTTGGAAACAGACACTTCTCGAAGCATTCTCTTCAGCTCTCGCTCTCTTGCATCAGCGCGTTGGCGAAGAACTGAGATCTCAGCATCCCGTTGGGCCAGATCGCGTGCAAACTGTCTGACCATCTTCACGGCCCCTGTTCCAGCAACCAATCGCTCAATATGCGCATCGTCGGCTAAATGCAAGGCACCCGGAATATCATATGTCGGAACAGAATCTGCGAAGAGGGCAGCTCGGCCGGATGTGTGCGACGGCCCAGACGTCAACTTTGCTAAAGTAGCTTTCCGCCCGCGACCAGTCTTGTCTCCAGTTGTTTCCCCTCCATCTTCACCAGAGAATAATGTATTCGTCAAACCGCGAGTGAGGGTGGGAGATTTGTCCGGTGGTGAGAGCGAGGGGAACGAGGTCAGATCTGTCGTAGTGTTGGAGGAGCCTGAATGACGTTTTTGCATTTTGGCGCGAACAGCTTTAGCATTTCGACTTCTGCTCGAGGAGCTTGACGCCTGGGACGAGGAACGCCGCTGGGAGTGAAGGTCGGACTCTGCCATAGCTCAACAACCGGGCAATGGCTTTGGTGGGGGAATTTTCGGTTGAGGACTTCATGAAGGCTTTTCGCAAAGCTTTCGGGGCTAGTTAACTTGAGAACAGTGCCTGAACTAGCGAAGGAAACAATCAACTAGCTTGTGTAGCTTCCGATACTTGGCTGGTCTGGCTGCGCGTGCTTGGCGATCCCTTTGTAGTGGACCCGTGGATGGAATGAAGGGAGATCGACCGAGATTTTCAGGGGCGAGCACGGATGTTCACCCTTGATATGCTATTTTAGGACCAACAAAAGCATCTGAAAACAAAGAGTGTAGGTTTGCGCTCTCTGAAACACACAAAGGCAGCTTTGATACTCGACGCACATGACGTGACCGGGATATGCATCACGTGAATCAATGCTTGTTTTCCTGTCCACGTGATCTGCCATGGTGGTCCCCCTGCTCCGCCGTAGCCTTGAGCCTCGGCTCTCCGCATAACCGACTGTGCGGAGTGGAGAAAGCTGCCATAACTATAAAGCTGCCCCGAAGCTGTGCCTCGGGCATACTCGATTCATTTTTGGGGGATCCTTTTTTTATATACAAATCTGAACTTGTCTAGTGTTCATCAACATGTCCGCAGCAGCAAAGCAGCGTCTTCAGGCTTTGAGTAAGCAGCTCGTTGAGGGCATTCCCTCCGAGGGCACGTTCGAGAACATCCCTAAGATTCGCCATGTGGCCTCAGATTCGGCAGGCCCGTAAGTGATCCTGATGACCATCTCTATCTGGCTTTTATAGAGCCCAATCGGATTTTAATATTGCCTATATCACATGCTCTGGGTGCACAACTAACGCCTAGGTCTGCAGCCGAGTAAAGGACAAGGTTGTCATCGTGACTGGTGTGTATCCGCCAGCTTCAATTTCAAAGCACTCGGCTAACTTGGATGCAGGTGCAAACTCACCCAATGGCATTGGGCGTGCAAGTGCGCATCAGTTTGCCAACAATGGCGCCAAAGCAGTCTACATCTGTGACTTCAGCGCCACTCATCTGGAGACGCATAAGCGAGAGATGGAATCCCTCTACCCAAATGTTGATATCCACATTCGCTCATTTGATGCTGCCGATGAAAAGGCCCTGGTGGGCGTCATTGATGAAGTAATCAGCAAGTATGGTCGACTGGATGTCTTTTTCGCCAACGCCGGCGTTCTAGGCCAACCGACGATGTTCACTAACATCGACGCTGACGGATTCCTGAACACAATGCGAGTAAATGCTCTTGGGTACGTCCTTTCATCTCCGAAACAACAGAACAAAAGAAAGAAAATGGAACAGACATAACTGCCCGAATCCTAACGCTAAATAATGTCGGAAATAGCGTCTTTCTTGCAGCAAAACACGCTGCCCCAGCGATGAAGATTACGTCCGCCTCAAAGCCGTACCCAGGTGGTTCAATCATCGGCACAGCATCCGTGGCAGGTCTCCGCTCCAACGCCGGTTCAACGGACTACTCCGCCTCGAAAGCCGCCGTGATCTCGATCGCGCAAACTGTATCCTACCAGCTCGCAGGCACGGGTATTCGCATGAACGCAATCTGTCCCGGGCTGATCGAGACGGGGATGACGCAGACGGTATTTGACCGGGCGCGGGAGCGTGGTACGGAGCGCAAGATTGGACAATTGAATCCACTGCAGCGAGGTGCTGTAGCTGATGAGGTTGCGCGTGTTGCGCTCTTCCTTGGTAGTGATGAGAGTAGCTATGTCAATGGACAGGCTTGGGCTGTTTGTGGTGGTTTGAGTGCTGGACACCCTGCTGTACCAGGAAAATTGGCTTGAAATAACCTGGTGGACCAGGGCATCAACTTGCGTCTGAATAATGTACGTAGTACGGAGTCCGTACTACGTACATATTCATGATTAGCATATGGACCTGATTTTTACCAACGGGCAGTTGAGCTCTATAATATCTACTCGGCTACAATATGATGAACTGGCGGTGATCGAAAGTTCAAATTCACAGATTCCATTTCGGAACAATAGGGGGCTATGTAGACCCTGGTAGATCAGGTCAATCCATATCAAGGATTGTAGATAAATAGGAAATCTCATCCGCGGACAGGGCGGATGGCGGTGCAAAGTGGAGGGCTCTCTCAAGCGCAAAATCAAACAAATCAGGCCGTTCCATCCCAGACGGCACGACAGCTAGTAAATAGACAACAAATTCCTCGGGGAATAAACAGGCAAAATGGAAAGGCCCCGGGAAAGGCAAAGCAATATCAAAATTATTGGACAAGAAGACAGGTAGATGGTTGGGTGATATGAAAAAGGAAAATTGAAAAGTAGGTATTCGCCACGACGAAAGATGAAGTAAAATTACGCCAGAAAACCAAAGCGTATGTGCGCAAGATACTGCACAACCGAAAAGAAGGGGACAAAGGGGTGGAAGGACAGCGCCAGACAGAATGGGAACAAGGAATGGACAGAGAAGAGGGGGAAAAACACAAACAATATCGTCTCAGTCAAGCGTTGCATCATCTAACTTGGATAGCCGATGGCAAAACTACAAGATCATTCGTGCGGCATTGGGCCGCATGAGGTCCTCGCTGCCCTGCTTGGACAAAGTACCTCGCTCAGTCTGCTGGTCGTCAACATTCTCAGTCTCATGAGCGCGCTCATCGTCATCCTCGACAATCCGGGTCTCGCCGGGGCCGTACTGCTGACTTGACCGCTCAGGGAAAGTTGAGCTGCTGACCATGGACATAGACGTACTAGAACGGTTGTGAACCAGATCTGGAGTCGGGGGGATACTGGAGTGGCGGTTGTCCGGGTGAAGAGAGCTGTTGTCGGTGTCGCTGACCTCGCTAGGGGCGCGTGTAGAGCGGCCCTCAAGGGGGTCGTATTCGGAAGCGAGGCGGCCGTTCTGGCTTAGCTTGGAAATCCCGGTCTCGTCCTCGTCCGCGGCATCCTGGGCCAAGTGCAGGCCTTCGACGGCAGCAGCACACTGGTCGCTGATGCTGCGGATGATATCCGCAATAGCATCAGTCTTGTCGCGTAGATAGCGGTCTGCGACATCGGTGATGCTAAGACGAGCAAGGGTCTTGTGATCCTTGCCGATGTTCAGCAAGTGCTGCTCTAGATCAGGGCTCATGTCATTTACCAGAGTCTTGTGACCATTGACCTCCCTAGCTGACTTGATGAATTCCTTCATCTCGGCAATGGTAACATCTTCCTTGGTCTCTTCGAGTGCATCTTCGTAGCCCTGTTCGACTATCTCGGTGATCTCTGACCTGCTGCCGATGGAGCGGACGATGTGTTCCATGTGGTGACTTTGGCCATTGATGAGGCTACGCAAGTGCATGACGACACGCTGGGCATCTTCGCGCTCGCGAGAAAGGGTCGCGTTGGTGTGCGAAAGGGCGGAAATCTCCTTCTGGTTGCGCTTACGTTCACGCTCAAGCTCCTCGGCGATTTCCTGCTGGAGGACCAGGGCCTCGAGGGCATCATCGCGCTGTTTCTCAGTGCCAGATAAGCGCAGAGTCAGACGAGCCACATCATCCTTCTGCTGGTCAATAAGACCAGTGAGGCGGCGGTTTTCGCGTTTGTGATTTTCGATCTTGACCTTGAGCTCCGAGGTCTCCTTGGTGAGCTGCTCAGCAAAGGCCTGGAATTTAAGGAACTGCTGTTTCCAAGTCTCGAGCTCTTCCACCAAAAAGTTGTTGCGCTTGGTGACTTTGCTGAGCTCAGTGTCCATTCTACCCTTCAGGTTGATGAAGTCTTGCCAAGCCTCCATGGCATCCCGAGAGTACTGGTTGCGCTCACGGACAATCTCGTTGAGGTGACGCATGGAAACCTTAGTCATGAGAGGCTTCTTGACTGAGCCACCGAAGATGGCCTTCATACCGGTGTTGCGGCCCTATTAGATATGAAGTTAGTTTTGATCGTCATTAGTAAACGGCTAAAGCTAGGAACGTACCAGTTTCTCGCACACATGGTCCATGACACCCATAACAGCATCTTGGTTCCACCATTGGGGCTCCTCGACACTTTCAACCTCTCCTCTCATGACAATAATCTGGCCAGCGGGAATGAGCTTTCCGCCAGCATAAGCAGTGCGTAGGTGAGCAGGAACACCTGAAGGTGACACATCGCCGTTCAAGGATTGGGTCATGCGATTGATGAACTTGGTGCGCTGACCCTGGCTCAACACATTAGGCGGACTGGAGGTGAGGACAAAGTTACGGTCCAGGTCGATCACCAGAGCATCGGATGGAGCATTGAACAGGGTGCGGCACTCAGCAGTGACACCCAAAATGTAGGGACCTGGCTCCTGGACCAGCTCCTTGACATGACGCGCGTGCACCACGGGCACGTACAGGCCACTCCACTCATAGACGCGAACGCAGTAGCGAATGGTTTCGGCAGCGACAGTCAACATTGCGGGATAGTGACTAACGAATATGATACGGCGAGTGGGCGAAACGGCAGCCTCAATCGCGCCAACAATATTGGGGATTGATAGACAAGTGAACAATGGCCACATGGCAAAGTTCTGGAAGCCGGTGGGCGAGGAGGGGAACTGATAGCACAAGGCATAATCCTTCATGTCAATGCGAACCAGGTCGTTGAGGCGTGGGGCCGGGAAGCTGAGGATGCGGGAAACCTCTTCGGCATGGAACAGGTTGGTGGCCTTGTTCCAGTGGATCCACATGCCACGGAGGTAGTCACCCAATAGATCGTAAAGGGGATACCGCGAGAGAAAGCTCAGGCAGTATGGGATCCAATAAGTTTCGTCGGGGTTGTCGTAGAAGTCCGGCTCCGTCTTCTTGCGCAGCTCGCGGATGGTCTCCGCGCGCTTCTCATCGGCACGGGACCAGACGCGCAGCGCGATTCCGTACAGGGTGTGAGAAGAGTCTTGCTGCAACACGAACGCGTGGTGTGCACAGTGAGGTTGGGTCTTGCCCGTGCAAATCTCCACGTCGTGGGGGAAACATGCTCGCATGGCTGAGTGCAGGGCTCGTGCGATCTCATTGTCCTGCTCTAGTCGTGGACTACTGCCCAGAATCTCGGGGAGCCAGAACTGACCGACGGCTCCCTTCATGTGACCGATCTTACCCTGTTCGGGGGCAGGCGCCTTGACCCATTGTGAGGGTTCGCGTCCAACACCACATACCATGTAGGCATGTGTGAGTGTTTTCGGTGTTCGCTGGGCGGGCTTGACGCTGAGAGTAGACGGAATAGGTTGAGTAATGCGGGAGTGCAGCGACGACGTGCGGCTAGGAACGACCAGCGAATTTTCCCCTTCGCCGCGTGTCGTAGGCCGATCCCGGGTGGATGGGCGCGCAAAGGACCCGTGATCTCGCAGAGAAGGGCCCATTATTGCGGTTGTGTATAGATTTTATAGGTCGGGTGTTGAAGTATGTAAGAGTTGGGATAGTCCGGGGAAATTCCTCAATTGGCGAGGAATGTAGGACTATATCCGCGAGCACTGCTTCAATGCAGTTCAAAATGAGAGTTTACCCAAGATCAAGGAAAGACGAATGAGAGAGTGTGTGTAGGTAGGAGGTGCCTGGGTGAAACTTCAATATTACTCAAACTCGAGAGCACCCGCCATGCAGAGAGCAGTTGAGACGAACCACGAATACAAAGTAAAACCCAGAAAGCCCGAGGAAGAAGACTGAGGGTTAGGGGGAGACAAATAGGAGAGAAACGGGCCAAGGCCAGAGGAGTTCTCCAGGGCTCTCCACTTTAATTAGCTGTATGGTATGGTATAGGAGACGGTCGAATGGGGGGATCCTGTCGTATTTCCGGGTATATTCGAGTATGCTCGAGTATGTGGCCAGTATTGGGGGGGGAGTATTGGATCCGTATTGGATGAGTATCGGGTTAGTATTTGGCTAGTATGAATACTATCTATATCGGTTTCGTTTTCTTCTCTGCAGGGTTGGAGAATGCTTGTGCTCTCGAGGTCACCGAGTCCTCGATTGTACCCGGTACTGCATGGCACTATGGACTATCCATGTATGCGGGATGTACACAATACTAGATATCCCTACGAGTCCACATGCATCCCTCTTGTGATGTCCTCAAATGATACGTCCGCCGTTTTCCGTTTCTGATGTATCCGCCTCCCGCGTTTCACGTTTTAGCCTTTTGATAGCATCGCATTATTCCTAATATCCTGCCCTCTGGTGCTCTGGTCCTCGGTCCCCCATCTGCAGTGTGACCATATGCGGCCTTCGTGTTTCGCATGCGCGCAGTGAGGAGAGCCCATTGCAATCACCTTCACAATCTGATCTCAAATCCTCCGTACGCCGTCTAGCCCAATACGGAGTACTCCCTTTCTTCTTGTACGTTGCACTCCGACGTCAATCCCTGTAATGCCGATCACCACATTCCAATTTGACAACCGATCGAGAACGCAAAGATCGTGGGAGCCATGGCCCGTCTGGATATCCATGAGCTGGAATAACTGGTGGATTCTCCATGCCAGTCTCCACCGGAAATTTGTGATCTTGGTCCGTGAGCTTTACCCCTGAATGATTCAAGGCCGGCTGTGAAGTGGATTATTTTCAAACGTGATCATTTCGACATGAAACGATATTCATGGTTTGTTCTTTGCCTAGGTTGCCTCACGAACTTCACAGAAGATATGGAGTACGGAGTCCTGTTGTGTGCCAGTACCTGCTCGTGCGGGCCCGTCAGACGTCAGAGCGGACAAGCTATGAAGCTACTAAGGCGAGCGAGCTACTCAGTCTGGTATCTCCGATGGTGATCACACTTCCGGACCCCCTCACGCTTTGCCAGGCTTGGTTCCGCCCCATGTCACTCGTAAGGAACCACTGTACGGAGTCCTCCGTACGAGTACGCCACTTTGATACATGGAAATGCCGAATTCCAGTCCTTTTGCTCCCTGTTTCTAGCACATTTATAGAACTAGCCCGGTTGTTTATGGCCGAGATTATACGGAGCACGGAGTACGGGTTGTGCCACAGCCTATATCCCAAACCGATGGTAATATTCGATTTGTTTGATTCAAAATCAATAATTCTGACAATTATTGGTTATTTCGCCTATTTTTATCAATTCTCCCCTGTACGCTCTATGCAAGTTGCATGCAGGAAATACATACTCCGTACTCCGTACCTATAGCTACATACATAAGGTACGTACTCCGTGCTCCATATGTACATAGGTACATAATGTACGGAGTACGGAGTAGACAATGAACCCATAAATCCCGACCAAGCTGGCTTAGCTCAAGAGCGTACAATGCCTTACAATAATACGAATAAACCTGCAATTCCAGCCCGAGGTGTTTCCAGAATCCCTTCCCCTCTAGGCCCCTTAGGGGTTCTGGGATGTCGATCCACCACCCGATCCACCAAGTGTTTCGCCTCATGGCCCACACCACAGCTCTCCCCGGCAAATCCCAGTACTGACAAGGCTTGTACCCGGTACTCTTGTTTATGCCGTAAAACCGCGTGGGCAAAAGTACCCGGTACACTAATTTCAAGTACCCCGTGGTGAGAGACTTTCATGAGCAAGGATAATGGTCCGGTAGAACATTCTAGGATGCTATTTATCTTTTGCTATGGTGGAGATCCATATATTGAACTTCACACTCCATACATCGGTGTACAACGTACAACTTACAATATACCCATCTGCTTTGGACTGAAATCATGATGTGCGCTGCCCTCATCCGTGATTCAAACAAGAGCAAATAGATTCCAGATATCTACATTATATTTCCCTGATGACTGTTCTATGTATGGGGTACAACGTATCTGGAGTAGCGTAGCAAATCTTTGAATACTCTATAAGGCCAAATATAGCAATGCGAGAACATATCATTGACAAGGTTCAGTTACCGTTTTGTCAAGTTACGCCGAGGATATCATACGTTACTGAATATCTAAGAAAAGATATAGACCATACCCGCACGGTCAACGCTCACAACCATACCATACGGCACACGCAAGACCGCCACATCCTGGATAACATCCAAATGGCTCTTCAGGAGCATCTGCTGCTGGAGACTGATGACTGTGCTACGTGGTGGCCGACTGGCTCCCTTCCGAGCATCTCGAGGACCACCAGTGCTGGACAAACTGGGGAGGTGCTCGGTGGTAACCAGGAGACTGGGACCTGGCTGAGTCTGCTCGTAGTGCGGCTTGCTACTAGCGCTACCATCCGAGACGACATCGTGCCCACTGACTATCGAGGATAAATCCGGCCGAGCGAGATCCCAGAAGCGGATCTTCCGGTCGCATCCCGCGGAGATGATGTACCCACATCTTGTGCTGGAGTCTTTGTCTTCGTCAGGGGCATTGAGACCAACAGTAAATGCCCAGGTGCCAAGCCGATCACCAGCTGGGTTGTTGGAAGATGGAGTACCGGGTTCAGTGCCGTTTGATGCAAATCGACTTAGCATACCTTCTGGCCGGTCGCCATCAACCTGGAACTTTTCGTAATCACTCGGCACAATGGGAGCTGGGTAAGGGTGAGGGGTCCGGGAAGAGTGATGTGCACCGTTAGGGACATTGTTGCCGACGCCCAGTGGGGTCGCTCGGTAGACCTCGCGACAGCGGAACTTCTCAATATCCCACACCGTGATTTCATTGCCATGGCTGCCGCTGCTGGATACGCAGACCCAGCGGCCACGGGCTTTGACGGGATGTAGTTGAATCCGATTAATAGCACCCCATCCCGGGAGTCCCGATGCCTTCAACCGCACGCGGAAGCGCAGATCCCATAGGTCGAGGATTCCATGAGTTGTGCCGACCAATAGCCAGTGGTGCCTGCGATCGCAACAGAATGTAGTTATGGTTCCATGGTGAACTGGATTTTCCAGTGTATAGATCGGCAACATCGTCTTCATGTCCAACGCGAGGATACGACAGGTGTTGGTCGCAATGATCAAGGTGGACTGGCCTTCATCGCGGAAGTGCTCCATCCAAACGGCATACTCTGGCGATCCATCTTTCGAGATGGGGAGTTGATATTCACGAACTATTTGAAGCTTTCCGTATCGAACGGCCGTCTGACTGACTTTCTGATAATCAACTCGGACGGCATGAACACTGCCGTCAGTAGCCGCGCTGACAAAAGTGTAGGTATTCTCGACAAAGGTCAACGCCTTTACACGTGTGCCTGATGCATGACGGTGGGTTTGCCGAGATCGAGGAGTCAAGTTTCTTTCAAGACGAGTTGTATCCCAAATTTTCACCGTGCTATCGTCGGAAGCGGTCGCGAAGAAGGAGTGATCTGGTGCTACCACAACACGATTGATTGGAGCGCTGTGCTCACCAAAAGTCGCGACCAGATTCCCTTCGGGCTTCCAGATCCTATTTGGCTCTTTTTCAGTGATGCTCCGAATTGGTTGCCGAACATCCACTTCTTTTACGTATGGTCCTAGGTCGAACAAGTCTGTGGGGTAATTCTCCTCGAAAACGTGATTCAACAGGCGCAGAACCGCAGGATCATTGCCCCCATACGAATGGCGGGGGCGGTATTTTTGCCAGACCACATTGGGCGCTTTGCGCTCATCTGGAATCAAGGGTGTTAATGGTCGGGGTGTTCCGCCCCTTTGGACTGGTGCATCGACCTTTCCAAATGCATTTTCGGAGCTTGTGCCCGTTTCAGCGTAAGCTTTAGCAGTTTCTTTGCGATTCAACAAATTGATCGCACTGGATTTTTTCTGGACACGATCAGATAGGCTTCTAGTGTCTACGTTAGTCGGTGTCAATGATCCATCTTGTCTAGGGCTCGGTCGGCGACTGGAAAGCTTGCGATCATCTCCAAGGCCCGGAGGTGACAATGGACGAGAGCCAGGACCTGCAGCAGATGATGATTGTGGAGAGGGTTCATTGCCGTCCAGCAAAGGAACACCTGAGGACTGTCTTGTTTCTTTCGAAAGTTGGCTTTTTGATCGCAAGTGTTTGCGTTGAGTAATGGACACTCGCTCAATGGTCGTAGAAGCGTCTAATAAAGCATCTGCGATAGTTTTCGGCCTCAAATCATCGACATCCCCATCGGTTTCGTTCAAAGCACTTATCCGCGATTGATCTTTGATTTCCTTGTCAAAGAACACAGTCTGAGGCTTAACCCCATGTTGCGTCAAGCTGAGAATATCGTTCAATGGCGACATCATACTAGCATCGGATTCTCTTGATTGTCGCAATGAGACTCGCAAGATATAGTCTTTGAGTGCTAGCAGCTTGAATTCATCCTCAGATCCCATCCCAAGGTTTCTTAGTCGACCAAGCCATTGTTCATCCTCGTCATTTCTTGGTTGTGCGGCCATAACAAAAGAAGAATTTCGCTGACCCAGACGGGAACTAAATGTCCCAGGCTCAGACAGGCTGAACATGCCATCCCGACCAGACGATTTCCAGAAAACACCTTTGTCTGAGTTCGAAGCCCAGGAGAAGGCCATGTCGTACACATTTCTCGATATCGGCCGCTTCAGTGCATCGAGCAATCTGACCTCTGAAAACACGACAATTTTGATTTTGAGGAACGGCCAGATAATGGGTGTTAGTATTGAATGAATATCCGCCACCGATAGAAATCTGGCGGAATTGACCACGAACTTGACTGCAGCCTCCCGAATCCAGACATTTGGATGTCCCAAAAAACCCACGGTCATGTTCAGAAGATCCCAGGTAGTCGATCGTTGAAACAAGCCCAACTCAGCCATAGCGGCTAGAGACCGAATGACCCGTTCAACAACAAATTCCTCGGATTCAGTCATAGACTGAACCATCAGTGGCAATATGTAAAGCTCTAGATTTAGACTCCCAACATATGCGGCGACGCCTATGACGGCCTCAAAGAATGCGCACTTCAGAATCCAGTCCGGGTCGTTCAAATAAGTATTCAAGTGGCTAAGAATAACTTCGTTTGCCCGGATATTGCCAAAAAAGACACAAAGACTTGACACGGAACCTAGGAAGGCCCGCCGAACTGATGCGTCTGTGTCTGTCAATAGTGCCTTCGTGTGAACCTCAAAGTATTCTAGAAGATCGACGCGAGCCACGTCGTAAAGATTGTGATAAGTCGCATCCTCGGTCCACCGGGGCTCAAAGCCGACCGGAATTAGTGCGGCTAAGCGGGTATCAGAGCGCAATGCTTGGATCATATCCAGAAACCTCAAGGATGACTGGGCCAGAGACGCAATACATGAGGCGTATGCGGCACGCACCATCGCACTTGACTTGCTGCTAGGGGTAGCGACGAATGGCTGCAGCCTTGGAAAGATGTACTCTGAAAACAAATAGGCATTTACCGGCGAAACCACCTGTACCATTTTCAATAACTGAGTCAAGGTGCGGATTGCAGCGACCTTGACAGTGTCGGTTTTGTCAGTCAAGAGGATCATAACATATGGAAGAACACGATCCAATTTAGCTTCGTCTGACAGCTTTTCGGCAAATGCAAGCAGAATATCGCAGGCTTTGATTCGAGCCGATGCTTTGGCTGTGTTTCGCAAGTTGGAGACAACAAGTGTGAGGAAAATTAGAGCGCCTTCATCTGGCAGCGGCTGAGGCGCCGATGCCTGGGTCTCACCATTTAGTAGATCAAGTCGCACAGGAAGAGTGTTGCCGGTCAATTTGGAGACTGGGATATTGGATGGAGCTCCAACGCCACGGGTATTGGAACCGAGGAAATAGGACACTTTGTCAAAATCGAGGTAAACTCGTTCAATCCGTTCATCTGCCTCCCCTCTGTTGGCTGATTCGGTATCCACGTCTGTTCGCCCGGAAGATGGATCCGTCATGAGGGACATGTATTGATGGAGAAAACTGTAGAAATATTCTGGGAAGACCTTGCCCTTCCAAAAGTTGAGATATTCATCCGCAGAGTATCGAGACTCTGGCTCAAGTTGAATCATATGCAAAATCAACTCTCGGATGTCGGGATCGTCGATTTTTGCTAGTTGGCTGTGTTCTGGACTGTACTCCCCCTTGCGATACTTGTACATTTGACTCAAATTGAAGATTGGCGATTCAAGAAAGAGTTCTGCGATCACACATCCAGCACTGAAGATGTCCATTGCCCAGTTGACACCATTTCCACTGGGCTCTTCCCCAGCAACACAGAACCGCTCGGGGGCTAAGTAACACGTTCTTCTCCCGGAAGTGTCGAAGAAGAAAGAGAAATCTGCTGGATTATCCTCAGGGAGAAAGGTTGGTTTGAAAGATGATGAGAAATCAGAAAGATAGAGCCAGTTCCAAGCCGTGACTAGGACATTTTCGGTCTTGATATCACCATGGTAGATGTCCACTGAATGGCAATCCCGAAGAGCGCACAACAGCTGGAAGGCAATCCATTTCTTCTCGATATGCTCTAGGAAAGGACGGGTGCTATGTAGTCGTCAGGATTCCCTCTCTAGTACTAGCTGTGGCAGACATACCTAATTCGATCATAGAGAGAGCTGTGGATGTACTGGCGCACGAGGTATCCACTTGTGCCGGTCTCAAGAATTCTCTGGTAGCTTAATGCATTCGGCACATCTGACAATAACTTGCGTTCCCCTAGATTGCAAGTTAGACACTCAGAATGACATCGATGCATAGGCTGGGATCACAGCATACTTGTGATAGCTTTTATATAAGGTTCCAGCTCCATGGTTGGGAACGGTTTCATAATGACCTTGACAAACACCAACCCATTTTGCTGCCTTGCGCGGATGCTCTTCATGAACCTGCCGCCCCCCATTGACTTCTCATACAGCAGATCAGATAGCTCGGGCACATCGATCCCCGCGGACCCCGCAGACAGGGTTGTGAGGGAGTAGCCTTGTCCCATGGTGTCGACTGCCCCTCATCTCCTGGAAAGGCAACATTCGCTATTCATGCGATCGGTTATATTAGATGGAAACCCACGATGAGAGTGATGCGATAAAGAAAGCCGGCGTGTTCAAGCCGATGAAGTCACTGGACGCGTCGACACGTGCGAAAGGCGGTCAGTAGGATAGCGTGCATTGGACAACTTCCAGCCTCATCCTTCTCTCGTAGGTAATTCCTCTTATTTAGTAGTAAGAGTTGTGGATTCCCTCCTTTGAAACGATGACTGAGACAATTATTACAATTCAATCTGTGGACTACTGAGCCTTCACCGATCAAACGACATGGAACTTCCCTCGGCGATATCTCGGGCTTGATACCGACTTGCAGTTCTGCCCCAGTGGAATGCGATACCTACGTGCATAAATCAGACAAAATACAAAAGCTCATGTGAGAAGTCTTCTAGGAGGAAAAGAAAACAACAAGACGAGAAAAGGATACAAAGAATTCCAACATCAGTGCGTCTTGACTTCACCGATACCTTTTGGTTCTGGCGGGGCCAATGGACCCGCTAACCGTTGAAGTAAACAGTAGACCTTCTTCTCTTCGCACATTATTTGTTTAGATGGGTTCACATACAGATATGGATCATATTCAGATTCCAATCATCGAGACCGAGGAGCCATTATTCGATGTCCTTCCCAAGCTGTTCAAGTGAGCCTTGTCTACTTTCTCGTCTGGTCTGACTGTCGAACTAACAGAGCCATTAATTGTAGCTTCATTCGCATGGCCGTGGGCGATATGGCCTACACATTCGAACAAATGCTACACGGCTCTCAGGGGCATCGCCTCAGACAATTAGTTCACGCCTTGGCAGAAGATAGCCACAACCCCTTCATCATTGTGGCTTTAATGTAGGTCCAACGTCGAAAAGCTTTGCATGTTGGCTGGTGGGCTGATGGGCTGGAAAACTTAGGATCTTGAAGTGGGACTTTACCACTGCTACTGAGGATAACTGGGGACTTAATGAGAGCCGGGGTGCAGCCTGTGAATTCGTTGCCTGGCAATTTTTGTGCCATCTGAACCAGCGTGAGACAATCGAGTTCCTGTTGGAAGAACTGCCATTACCGCAGCGCAATTCGACAAATACTATTGAAACGGAGGGAGTTAGCCCAGGCTTGGCTTTTTCACATGGTGACACACTTCAAGCGGAAACCGAGACCACTCCACTCCTGCCATACCCTTCATCTTCTTTCTACAGGCTTTTCGGTGGCAAGAGGACCACAGAGACCCAGCTTTCTGGAAGCTCCCAGGGAACATATCTACCCGAAGAAGTCTACGCCACCCAGAGATATTCCCAGTTCTTCGGATTGAATGCACTGGAGATTGCAACGATTGCCCATGCAAAGAGGTTTCTGAGTCAACACGTTGTTCAACGGGTAGTCGACGGTATTTGGAAAGGTGAAATCGTCTTCTGGGATTCTCTGACTGTTAAGTCAACCAAGAAGCCCCATATCTTTAACGCAAGGTGAGATTGGAGGACGATTCAATCTAGTGGGGATACTGACGAGTTTCTCCGATCAGAACAGCAGATCCATATTCACGCTTGCGAGTGCCTCTTTACCGTAAGATCTTCGAGGCAGCATTTTTCATGTCTTTCCTTTTTCTCTACTACGCAGTCCTTGTAGAGAGGAGGCAAGAAGCCATTGGCATCTTTGAAGCCATCATGTATGTGTGGATCGTCGCCTTTGCGTACGACGAATTGAGTGGAGTTATTGACGCTGGGGTTGTTTTCTATCAAATGGATTTTTGGAGTCTCTGGAACGTGAGCATCATCGGGGTTGGACTGGCATTCGTCATAACAAGTGAGTCATTAATTAGTCGAATCTGCCTTGGGGCTCGTTGCTTCCATACCATCTGTGTTGATCGTGCGACTAATGAAGACGCTACAGGGGTCATTGGGCTAGTGAAGGAAAGCGAATCTATTATCGACCTTTCATTCGACATTTTATCCTTAGAGGCTCTATTTCTTGTGCCAAGGCATGATTGCTCGTGCAATTTGCATGTGGGCAACAGGGCTAACACGGGATGCACAGGATCTGCTCCCTTGTGAGCTTGAACTCATACTTCGGCAGTCTAGTGAGTGGATCGTGCATGAAACATTATCATTGTAGAGAATAGATGACTGACTGTGGCTGTTAATAGATACCGGTATTGAAAGAGATGGTGTGCTCTCCACTAGCCCAAGTGGTTCTGGGACCCAAGGCTGATTGATCATGTGCAGACGAAAGCATTCTTCAGGTTTTTGCCGGTAGTGGTAGTACTATATATCGGTAAGTGTGGCTAAGTGATGCAGCCATCGGTAAAGCCCTGGAGATATATATGCCTGACCGAGTTATAGGATTCTTGACCACATTCACCATGCTCGCTCGTGACCGCTTGTCGCTCGACACAATGTCACATTTATTAGTGAAGGTGTTCTTTGGGTATGGCGGTGAAATGATCCCTGTTGTGACCGCTCTTTGTCGCTTTTGACTGACCATCTGAGGCAGATCGAGTGTTCTCGGATTGGTGGGTTCACGATGCTCCCGTTTTAGGAAATTGTGCACTGACTGTGGCGGAATTGATTGGATAACAGGACACCGCGTCTGAAGTAAGTCTGCGCACCAGGCGGCTGTTCTGCAGCTCAAATTGCATTTTCCCCGAAGGATTGGCAAAATGGTTGGCTGTCGCGTTTAGTTGACTGACACGCTAATTTTTAGATCTCCCCCATCTTCGGCTATGGCTTGATGTGAGTTTTCCGGATTTGTTTTTGAATTGTCTTGCGCCACATCCCAAAATTGCAAGGTCGCATGTGCTCTCTATCACGTTTCAACATGCAGGTGATGTTCGAGGGGACGCGCGTGGTATTCGATTTGGTCTCGCCATTAGCACACGGCGTACCGCTCTAACTTCCACGCCGTCGTTTCTTTCGGTACAGATCTTTCGGTATAGATGCTGATGGATATCATGGTTTACAGGCTGACCTTCGCACTGATGACCAATACTCTCATTCTCTCGTCTTTGATTAGTTTGATGAGCATGAGTCTAGAAGGGGTAAGCTATACAGGACATATCATAGAGTGCGTGGCAGCCGATTAATTGCTGTGTATGATAGGTGATGCGCCATGCCCGAGAAGAATACCTATTCCAGTAAGCTTCGAAATCCGCCTGGTTTCTTTGGAATGTGTCATGGAAGGTTCGATTTCACTAACAGACCAATCAGGTTGGCCATTTACGTCCTAGAAAGCAGCAATTCTCGTCGACTAACATACTTCATGCCACCCCTGGTCAGTTGGGGTCTGATCCCTGGATGGAATGTTGCTTTGGGTGTTCTGGAACATTTCCCAACTAACACCCAGCAGAATCTTATTCCCCTCCTCTGTATCCGGCCGATGCGACTTTTTCTCTCTGCCGGAACCGTTCGGCGCGTACGGATTGTCTTGCTTCGAGCCACCCACCTCCCATTTGTTGCATTGATATGGGCTTATGAGTCTAAATGGCGCCATTCAAAACGACAGAACAGTCAACTTCCTCCAATGTGGGCACGCGGTCAACGTACCTCTGCAAATGAGCCGACTGAGCCCAGGTTCCAGGACCCACACCACCCCTCCGTAGTTGAAACAAATCGTCTGGGCCTTGGAAAAGAACGCATCAGTGTGGATCACCAAGCCGCGCGTGGGCCAGACATGGGGCAACTCGGGCAAGTGCCGCAGTTGGCGGACCTGATCGACACGGTAGAACGACTACGAGCTCAAGTGGAGGCAATTGCCGGGCAAAGGTGAACCTTCCAAAGTTTGGGCCAAATACCGTGTTCTCCGCATTGGACATGGTGTTTGCGCTCTGATCCGTTGCGGAGTTCACAAAAAAGCGCGGCAGGGGGGTCACTGCCCTGGCGCTTAGGGGCACGCACGCCCCTGCATGGCCGGACTGGCGCTAGTCGGCCTCGGGGCGGGCTTAGTGACAGAGCCACTATGACTACGGAGTGTACTCGAAAACCGTTTGAGATGCTTGTGAACAACCATATCGACAACTGCCTAATCTAAACAGGCTTGGTGGTTTTTTTCGGGGTTCGCTTTTGATTTTTGATTTTATGATTTTTGGTTTTGGTTTTGTTTTTTTACCCCCTGTCCCTGGCGTTTCGAGATTGGCTATCCTTTTGAATCCATTCCCTCCCTCGATGGGAAAGCGAGTACGAAGTACATAGTCTATGAACATGAAGTGACTGAGATATAGAGAGCTATCGTTCATCCGGCGGCGTCCACATTTGTGGAGTTTATGTGGAGTTTCCGCATTATGGTATACATGAAGCCAAAGGGATCGAGCCGTTCGGAAGGGCTGGCCCGCATACCGCTGAAGTCACGATGGGGTGAGAAAGGAACTAGTTCTACCTTTTCGGGAATGAAATGTTGATCAGTTTCATCACTGGCTCTGGACACCTTCGTCAGAAATGATCCCCACCGTCTCAGCATCTGCGGGCTGTGCTCACCAGTGGTCAACAGGCCTCGACACCAATGCACCTCGCCAAGCCAAAATCCAGAACTTCGGGCTCTGCTGATGTTTCTGTATGGCTATTCCCTGCATGGGACACGTCGCGGTTGGGCAGACCAGCCCAACGGTGATGAAAGGGATGGTTAGCCTTTTCCAGGACCACAAACCCAACATCCGCCGTTATGCATCATATCTCATTGTACCTTTTCTTACAGGGTATTATGATCTCTAAAAGTGCCCGAGACTAGTAATGGCAACGTCTATGACATAGTGGTAGCTTCGGTCTTCGAGGCATCTTGATTGCTCTCTCCGGGGCTAACCCTTTGCGAGGGCACATGTGCAGACCTGGGCTGTCATCGATCTCGTCCGGATTACTCCCGGCCCTTATTGCCCCCCCCCCGATTTTCTCTTCCACCGCAACTACAGACCCTTTCTTTTCCAAATCTGCCTTGTCTATTACGGCGTCAAGTCGTCGGATCTTCAACATTTGTCGGTGTCGATGCGGCGCAAGTTCTTCTCCAATGAATTCATACCCTTTCTGCAACCCTCCTCTCAGCCACCGTCCATGTATGCCGCCGCCGTGAATCACAGCGCAGCTGTTGACTCAAACGTCTTTGCTATATATACTTCACCTTATCACCCCTCTTTGTTCACTTTGATATAGACTAGTCCTTTGGTGGATTTCGATTTCAAACCCACTTTCATCTTTTTGTCATTGGATTCCGCTCTCTAGACGACATGGATTGGACCCACGATCTAGTCCGTCACGCCTCGCTCAATCCCCCGCGCTCAGAGGATCATCGATCTCGCGAAACATCAGCATACTCGTCTCCTATCTCGGCCTCGGGGTCCCAGGGAGGAATTTCCCCTATTGGGTTGGGGATCTCCAGCTGCGAACTTGAGAATGATTTCAACCAACTGAGGGTCTTCCCTCCCACGCCTACACTGTCATCCCAATCAATTCCTGAGGCGCCCACTCCCACTTTTGCATTACCCTACAACGATTACTCCAGCGCACCATGCTATCCAGCAGTTTACGGTGGACTCCCCAACAGTCTCTCAGAGCCTTCACTTGGGCTCTATTGCCCCACAATGATTAGCGCATCCCCCAGTTACAACCCTGCTATGGAGGTTGGCCCGGGCCAAAATGCTTTTCCAAGACAAATGGCCGACATTTGGATGCACACACCGTGTTCGGGACTGACAACACCATCGGATCTTGGTTCGGTCCCGACTGTGACCGGGGCAGCAGGACATTGGGACCAAAGTATATTTCCAGATGCTTCCATCCCCGCCATGCCTCTATTATCAGCCAATGATATCCCCTACATAGGAGCCATGGGAGCTATGGGAGCCATGGGAGCCATGGGAAGAGAGATCGGATACGACAGTCCTCCTGGACAGCACATCAACACCGGGCAAGTCATGGCTCAGCCTCACAGCTCTGCCGGTGAAGAGACGACCGAGAAGCTCAGAAAGTCCAGCAGGAAAAAACGCTGTGCTTCGGCGGACAAGTTGATATCTGCCAGTGGCTTAGAATGCCCTGTTTGTGGCGCGGAGTTTACCAGACGGTCCAACTGCAAAGAGCACCAAAAGTTGCACAATCCCGAATGGAAGAACAACTATCGATGCAGTGACTGCCCCAAGACATTTGGGAGAAGTTCTGATCTCAAGAGGCACAGGAACACAGTGAGCAAACTGACCGACAAAAAGCCTCAGAGCAGATACTAATCAGGACTCTAGGTTCATCTGGGACTTCGAAAATACAGCTGCGATTGCTGCGATCAGCAATTCAGTCGCCAGGATAGTCTAGCTAGGTAAGAGAGCATGTCCCATCAAGAAGTTATGCTCGTCAGATATGTGGGCTGCGTGCTGATAATGTTGAGCAACAAAGACATGACTGTGCCTCGCAACGCTAGCAAGTCCACGGGTCACGCTATTACTTGTGCTCAAGCCACACTAACGACCTTGAAGCCGCTGTCATCCATCTTAGAGGCAGCTGGTTATGTTTTTATGTGAATATCGAAGGGAGGTGTCGTCCGCATTAGCCATGATCTTTACGGAGTACCTCTTGGCATCTTGACTTGCATGACTTTGCCACTATGGGTCTATTTGTCAGAGCTCCATGGAACTTGCTTTTGTCTTTATTTTTATGTACGGATTACTCCGTAGTGGACTTCATCATGAGATGCGATTCTTCATCGGGATCCATTTCATGTCACTTGGAGGCCATTTATTTTCCTTGGCGTTGTTGGATTGTTGTATGCATTTCGGTTGGAATTTTGAGCTCCCGCAGGTGGCTTTTTTGCTTTTTCGTCCATGTTTGCTTGATTGTGTCTCGATATCTTTCATGTTTCGATCTGAATGTGATATCATTTGCATGCATCTCCATAAGCTGGCGCGCGGGTAACAGGAATATCGGTTCTCGGCATGGCCTAGTATCACCACCTCACTTCTGGAATGAGGATCGACAATGTTGCCTTTGAGACAGTCAAGGGCTAGAAGATCAGGGCCTCTTTCGTTCTCTTTTTCTTTTTCTTTTTCTTTTGTTTCATATATATTTTTCCTATTAATTTTCTCCCACGACAGAGTACAGAGTCCAACTTGCTTTGTACATCCGGAGTATAGGGGTATGTATAGATGCTCCCTTCCCATATTCTCTCAACAGAACATTTTAATTACCCTGCGTGGCAATTGCCCGTATTTCCACATTCCAAGCTGACCTTGACAGGAAAAAGAATGAAAAAAAAAGCGAAGGGAAAAGCAATGTCCCAGAGGGTGTACTCCCCCGAGGCCCGTTGGACCTCGACTCTTGCCGCGCTCCACCCAGGAACGCCGAATCACACGCTAAAATCAAGCGAAGGGATCTTCGAGACTCGCTTGCCGATCTTTCAACGAGAACTCGTTCGACCTAACTCTAACCCCTTAGTGTTTTCACGGAATCCGAGCCGGTATACGGAGTACAGAGTCCTCGTTTAAAATACTGGCTAACAAAATATATATATAATATATCCCCCAAAAGGATTTCAGTCTTCCCGGTATGTCTCACCTCTCCAGCCCCAACCTCTTCCTGCAATTTATTAATCCTTGTTCTATCACACGCTATAACTATAATAGAGTGGACATCCATCTCCCGATTACCCATTCCATAATATTCAATACATAATCCCGAATCATTATTGTCCAAAGCTCAGACACCCCGCTATCTCCACTGCTCGAGCTTGAAGCTAGTCGTGTGAAGTGGAGACTCGATATTTGGAATTCTGCCTCCAGCCGCGCAGGAGACGTCGCGTCTGTTCGCCTATCGCTGGGTCCATAATCGCATACATCCGAATAGCTGCCCAACATATGGAGTACAGGACCGGAGGACCTTTCAGGTTGCAACCGGAAGAGCCGAGTTTTTTTCTTGTTCTTTTTCCCCCTCCCCTGATTGGGACATTCTAACAAGTGGGCCCTAAGAATCAGGAGGTGTTTTCCTCCAGCACGATAGGCTGTCCGTCCGAGTTGCGGGGAGTCGAGGCGTCTTCCTTTAGGACACTATCTGCCACTATTTCCCTCTTGTCCCGAAAAGAGGTGATAGTCACATCATTGCACCACCCGAAATAACACAACAGCCCTGTGGCTAATTGGAGGCTGGCGTCTGGCCACATAATTCTAGGGCTTCTAATTTGCAGATCACCGGGATGATTTTCATAAAGCCATGGCCCCGAACTAAGAAGAAAGAAGAAGAAAAAAGACGAAGAAAGGACTTTCTTGTAGGAAAGATCAATGTCGATCCCCATAAAACAACAAGGAATTCTTCTAATCCCTGGTTCCTCAATTTCCAAAGGACTATCACAATCCCGCAAATATCCGCGCCTCATCTGGTGGAAACGCCCACGGGTGTCCCGATGTGCTACGTATCACTCATCCCAGCGCCACTAAGTCCCCTAGTGCCAACGTCTTTGCAATCGGTAGCTCCGTACGGAGCTCGGAGCACGGAGTACACACAGGTGTCTAGCTCACGTATCGACTGTTCGTATACGGAATAGTCCTGTTCGAGTTGTTTAGGCTGCCGGAATACCCCTGAGTTTGGATTCCAATCGCAGGGACTTTTGTAAGGTATATCGTTAGCATTACTCCGTACTCCGTACTTTGTACGATGCGTTCAAGCTTGGCATTTGGATTGCGGATCTAGGCCACATCGTATTGGGGCAACATCCAAGCTGAGATAATCTTGACCGGTCAACCCGGTAAGCGTCATCTTACACCAAAGTCAAAAGAATGTGGGGGATATTTAGTGACTGGGCGTTGGTACTCCGTACGGAGTACCATGTTGTATCAAGATTCCGAAGGAACTAAATGTTTGATTGGGGGATCTGGGGAGGACATTGACATGGGTATTGATCACCCGCATGACACGAGCTACTCCGTACACATTCTTGCGACTCATCACACCTGGGCTTTCTTTTTCTACTCCGTACGAGACATGGAGTAGAGGATACAAGTTGATTCGTACACTGGGAAACGGGGTTTCCAACATGTTAATATCTATTTGTATGTGGAGTAGGTCAAAGGGGGGAGAGACTACCCCTTAAGGGCCCGATATATGAATTCGGCCTCCCTTAGGTGATTGAAGCTGAGATGCCAAGCCTTTAATACATACGAGCTTAGCTTCAATCTGGAGACTACAGTGGCAACTTGATCTAGAGACCTTGATTCATTTCGGGTTGGCTCCGCTACTCCGTAGTTCGTGTCCTCTAGAAAAGGCTATATATCTTCCGGATGCTTAGATATGGGTTATCATTCGTTGAGAACCAGTCCTGCGGGATTGAAGAAGCTATCTTGTGTACTCCATACTAAGATGAGCCTCCCAGATATTGAACAAGATGGCAAATAAGGTCTTCAGAATGAAGCGAGCCGAAGCCTACTCCGTATACTCCTCAGAGAGCCTTTCTCCCTTTCTTCCCTCCGTTGCGCAAAATCAATAGCTGATCCCTTTCAGAACATATCTACTTCACTCGGACATCTAGCAGTAATAAATATCATCAGTAACTCAGGTCCCATTTAAGTTTGGAGCATAGATTTAACGTACCTCATCAAACTGGAGACTGGTCAAATCAAGCCTATGGCATCTGTTCACACCATACCAGGCATACGCTTGTCTCGATGGGGTACATAGCATACCCTCGATTTGAGCTTTGCCTCCGATGCCGCTCATCAATGACCGTTCTCTTTGGCATCAGCCTTCAGCTCATCAAATACTTGCATCATAGTCGAGTCGTTGACAGGGTCTTCAATGGAGATCCAAGCCTCTGCAAGGTTTGATGGCAATCTTGCATTATGATCCAATCGCAGGGAGTCATATCACTGCCACTATCAATATGGATGTTATAACCTCTTTACTAGGCCACAACGCTGGTAACAAGAGTTGGGGCGACAGAAGAGGGATGCAATCAAAAAATAGCCATTGCAGGGTGCCCAAAACAAGATTTTATCATGTAATATTCATCATTCACGACTCATCGCCCCGGGCTCTTTCTTGACTTGTGAACCTCCCTAAATATTCCAAGAGCACAATGCACCGAATACGCAGAGCTTCAATTTTCCTTAGTCAACAAGCGACAAAACAATCAGGCCCAACCATATCCTCCAGGCGATATCAATAATTCCATCAAGCGCAGACTAGTCGAATCAGTTGTGAACGGCCTGAACGAACTGAGACAAATAGCGATCTGTTTCGTTAGACATCTGGCCAGTGGCTATTGGATGAGCAGAAATAATTAGACCGACGATATATTCGGTCCGATACTACAGCACTTCAGCAGATTGCAGGCGTAGAATGCCTCCAAGGTCCCGTGTTCAGCTTCGCCCTCCCCGAAGGATATAGATGACAATCGAGCCAAGCGAATGCTTGGGCTCACACTTATGGCGAATTTGACAATCTCCGAACTCAGGTTTTTGGGCACGATGCCTGGGTCTCACATGAGAACTACGAGGAAGCCATGTGCAATAGGAAGAATTATAAGCCCAAGCTGGAGGCATCGCGACGACGGCTAGAGAAGCTCTTTACATAACTGGTGGTTAGCTTGTGACCAAAACCTCAATACTTTTACATTAGCCCTCGAAATTATAGCTCCTGAAAGCCCATGCTTCGCATTGTACGTACAATTTCTTCGACCTTGCCATTTCCGAACTTGACACTCAAATTCAATTTGCGTGCAATCATGGACCAAAGATGTATTGAGATTGAATTAAGCAAGAGATCTAATATTCACTCCCAGAGAATTCATGCAGTGACTTCAGTCTCCAATGAGCTTTTGAGAGCATCAGCCGGAGGAAGCTGCCCTGCGAAAAGCAATTTGAGTCTTTCGGCTAAAGCCGCTTTTTCTCTATGCCAGGTCTCAGTATGACCCTCAATCAAAGACAGACCCCTTTCAACTCTTCCGGTATTCAGCCATTTCATCAATTCTGTGACATAAGCTTGCTCTTGATCTTGGAGGGAATGGAAACTCCGTCCATAGCCCTTCTCTTTGATGCGATTATCATATTCCGTCCGTAGAGCTGCGGTAGATGGAAGCTTTGCCTCTCCAGACAGAAAAGCTGTTACGGCGATAGCTTGGAACTCGAATAAAGAGAACGTTGCAACATAGAATGGGACTCCGACGAATGCGAGCGTGGGGTCAGGAATATAAAAAATGTCACGATGCAAGTTGTGAACTTGAGTGCCATCGGTGACAAGCACGCTGTCATTTGCCTCGGTGGCAGACACGTTATAGTCGTTATAATCGTCGAGGAATGGAAGTGCCAAGTGATACCCTGTGCAGAGAATGATTGTATCGATATTATCCAAGGTCTCCCCGGATTTGAGATGAATAGTCAAGGGCAAGTGCGCGCCATCTGGACAGACATCTGAATTAGAGCCTTCAAATAGCTCGACCTCGCCAATTCTGGTGGCGTTCGATGGAAGCGCAGTCTCAGGGAGATCAAAGGCGCCATTTCTAGTGCTTTGGTAGACATGATTTGCACTTGTACTGGTTTCTTTGGCTATATCAAGAGCCGAAATGCCCCCACCGATCAAGAGTACGTTCTACGGTTCCGATTAGTGACGTACTGCATAATGTAGAAAGGTTCGCCCACCTTTCCTTCCAATCCTTTTGATCTTCGGAAGGACTTTGAATGGAAAACCAATTCGGGCCATCGAGCTTTTGCTTCGGCTAGGCCCCGAATATTGGGGATGAGAGGCGTATGATAATGGCCCGAGGCAACAATAACCGAGTCAAATTCCTAAGCCCATGTTAAGAAAAAGATTATTTGAGAAGGGACTCGGTTGATTTGAATGCGATCTTACCGCAGACTCCGGCTTCTCAACTGGATCCCCATCACGGTCATTCAAAGTGCTCCAGTGAACTGTCCATGTTGCCCCTTCTTTGTAGACTCGAGTGACCCGGGCGCCAAATTTAGTTATGTGGTCAACGCCGGCCTTTTTTGACGTATCTTGAATATAATCCTTGATCACAGGATGTTTCACATAAAGAGCAGTGCCTTCAGGCCACGCATTGAGCGTCGTCTGTAGTAAGGGCGTTGAGACATTGTTGCAGAGGCTCTCGTAGCAGGGCCTACAAAATACTAAGCTTTACCCGCCATAAAGAGATATAAGGTAAGCCTTACCCTGGAGGTGCGTGTATCAATAACTTTCGCTCATTGTCCCCCCGTCCATCTCTCACGTATTCCTGCGAAGCAGACGGTTTTGAGTATGGGTACTGGGTTTCAAGCGGAGTTCGCTTATCATAAAGCCTGCGGTGTCCAGAAGTGTCATTAGTTCATCGCTTCAGGGTGATGATTATTGAGATATTGGTCAGTCCGAGCTCTTACCAGACTCCGCCAGATGCATTATTTCTCTCAAAGACCGTTACTTGAAATCCGGCAGCCAGAAGATGCCCAGCGGTAACTACGCCGCTGATGCCAGCCCCAATAACAGCAACTCGAAGGGATTCAGTCATTATGGCCGACTCTTACAGAAGAGGAGAAAAGGAGAGAGGAGCGAACCTGCCTATATATCAAGTTCATTTGAGGCTTCCCCTCACTTGTGATCCACTCTAAATGACCACCCGAGGGCCCGTTGGCTCCGCACTGAGGGATCCGCACTCATCTCATAGAACGTCGTATGCCGGAAAGAACGGCATTGAAAGCTCAGACAGTGGTGAGAATTGCTATGTGGTCGTGATTTGGGTGGATTGTGGGATCGGTGGACAACCCCTTGCACTGGCAACAATACCCAGAATGTATAGATTGGACCCTCCGCATCTAACCAACACGGGCCGAGGGACGGGGAGAGGGGTAGACATAAGGGTAAGACTATATCCCAGAGATCAGATATAAGGCAAGACATTCATGGCTTGCAAAAGGTGTGATGCGCCAGGGCGATGAGATGCTCCAACCCCATATATTCGACATTGCAAAGCCTCGATCAACCAGAGGATCTAGATTTCTAAAGCGTACATAACAGGCTGGATATCGAATTTGAGACTGCTAACAGCCAACAACTTTGGAAGGCCTCGGGGATTGGCACTATGGCCCCCGCTCCAATGGATTCACGCATCATCCACGTCGCACTTCCCAAGAAAGAGGCTCTCGGTCTCCCTAAGCCTACCCAAGAGCGCTCAGAGAAAGCCGGTATTGACCTCAGTCATGGTCACCCATATAGGCTATTCCGTCTGCTCTAGACGACACCGACGATATCGACAACGTCCAACGTGCGGGGCTATCATCGCCCCCACGTAGACCCCGACAGCCAAGCCGATCCTGAGAGAAAATAACGACCGCTGTTATCCGCGGCCAAAGAGGTTACTTCGTTTCATTAACCAGGCGTATCAGAACCAAGACCATTGGTCTATAACCGGAAGGTCTGATAGATTAGCAAAAGGATGAGCTAGGCTTGGTGGTTGCCGAAGGAAGCGTTGCCTTCTTCCGAGGCCAGCATATTAACCCTCGGCAACAGAAGATGCTTGGAGAACGGTATACAGTATAGGAAAATTTCACCTTCATGTTCTGTCCAGACCAGTGAATCAATCCGTATACCAATTCTTCACTGTGTTTTCCTGTTCTATCTTTGAATGCCCCTTGCCTCGACATGATCGTGATATGGCCGTGGTGACAAGCTGCGGAAGGTAAGATATTGTAACTTGTCAATTGAATTAGTACATGTATGTAGGGGGTAAATAGACGGTCCAAAAGATAGATTGGAAGTTTGAACCTCATTATTGGATGGTATCACTATCTACAATGCCACTTGGGATTCTGAGTGATCCCGGCCTGGATCGAGGACGGGCTTGACTTCGCTCGCCGGAGACGTCCATCGTAGCAGATGCACCGACCTAGGGGAAGATGTCGAGTCTCTTGGAGAACAAATTAGATTGTATAACCAAAGTAGTTGGCGAGACTTTGAAGTTAGAGACCAGTATCCAACGGTCCCAACGGCCCAAATACTTGCCAGGAAGAACTGCAGGCCAATGAACTGCCGATCGTTGCCGCCTTTGATAGACAACTGGAGTATCTCCTTTTGATTTCTGTTTGTTGGGACCCATTGCTTTCTTTCAACTTCCTTCAACTCTCAACCAAAATGAGCGCTACCGCAACTATCACTAGTCCGCCTGAGATTACGGCGGACAATGTCGCCACTCTCTTCCCCGAGGTCGATACATCTCTGGCCCGCGAGATCCTCCCCACTAGCCAAACGAACACCGCACGCGGGAATGAGCTGGAGGGCTACGATGAGGAACAGGTCCGTCTGATGGAGGAGGTTTGCATTGTTTTGGACAACAACGACCGACCGATTGGAAGCGCCAGCAAGAAGATCTGTACGTTCTGCTCCTCAGAACCAACCCCGGAAATATAAAATGGCGGGGTAGTGGCGGGCACAACATGAGAAAAAGCACTGACAGTCGCATTTGAGCAGGCCATTTGATGACCAACATTGACAAGGGTCTTCTTCACCGCGCCTTCTCGGTCTTTCTTTTCGATTCCAATAAGCGCCTGCTGCTTCAGCAGCGCGCCACCGAGAAGATTACCTTCCCCGACATGTGGACCAACACTTGCTGCTCACATCCCCTTGGAATTCCCGGTGAGACCGGCTCTGAGCTGGATGCTGCTGTCATGGGTGTGAAGCGTGCCGCTCAGCGCAAGCTGAACCACGAGTTGGGCATTAAGGCAGAGCAAGTCCCCTTGGACAAGTTTGAGTTCTTCACCAGAATCCACTACAAGGCCCCCAGTGATGGAAAATGGGGTGAGCATGAGGGTAAGTTGCCTGCATGGCACAGCGCATGTCCGACTTGATGTATGCAATCACTGACAATTTCCTAGTGGATTATATCCTCTTCATCCAGGCTGATGTCGACCTGGAACCCAGCCTCAACGAGGTCCGAGACACCACCTACGTTTCGGCCGATGAGCTTAAGGCAATGTTCGAGCAGCCCGGATTGAAATTCACTCCTTGGTTCAAGCTCATCTGCAACTCGATGTTGTTCGAGTGGTGGAGCCACCTTGGTACCCCTGCTTTGGAACAATACAAGAACGAGCAGGAGATCCGTCGGATGTGAAGAATCCAATGCACATACCGTCGGATTTTGATCTCATTTCGATCTTTCTGCTGTTTTCCTTTTTTTTTCGCATCTCTCAGAGCAATCCGCATTTTTACGCGACTCATGGAAATATACCTCTTTGCACCCCAGACGATTCTCACGATATCACCTAATTCGGATCATTTGCCCTTGTGGTTTATTTTCAGCCAAAGCAGATATGAAATATTGAAGGCTTTATTTTGAGAGGTTTCGAGTTGTTCCTTGAACGTATCCCCGCAGTATCACCAGAGAATTCTGGTCAAGACATATATACATAAATCATGGATGGAATAAAAACAACCGAAATGCCCAAGAATGCCAACACCAACGCTAAGAAACTAGAGCGACAAATCCAAGCCCATGATGATCATTACTCTGCCGGATCCGTCGATAAAAACAAAATGCAACTGCCCAGGATAACGGTCCCAACTACCGTGAAGACAACCTGTGTCTTCCAGCCACTCTGCACCAACGCTGCCCTGCGCGCGTACTTCCTGACCGTACGCGAGTAATTTGCAAACCCATTCGCCAGACAAGTCAAGCTCAATACCCAGAAAATAATGCCGAGGGGTAGGGCCATGCGCCTCTCTAGGCCGGTGGGCTGATCCCGGAAATGAAAGGAGATGATGATGGCCAGTGACACTACAGCCAAGTACATCGACAGACGGAGCCATGAGAGGAAAGTGCGCTCATTGGCGCAGTGGTCGCGGGCATCGGAGGCGGTGTTTTCGAACAGAAGCGCACCGAAGTAAGGGCGGGAGAGAAGGATGTGGCGTTGGGACTCGGTGTGTCTTTATTCAGAAGTGTCAACCAGACTGTCACTCTCGGGCTGGGCATGTAAGGTGGGGCATCGTGGAAATTCAGTAAGCCTCGAAATCAAGAATGCAACGGTATGTAAGGGATCCAGCCACATCATAACGAGGTTCGCTGGTTTCGAGTCATTTCTGCAGAGCTGGGCGGTTTGACTTACTCTTCCACGAGGACCGGCTTGGAATGTACTGGGTTGATAAGAGGGTTGTAAGGAGGACGAACCCCCCTACTTGTGTCACCGTTCGTGACATGGAGAAATTGAGTCTTGGAGCTCGGTCATCTCCAGAAACAGCAGATCTGGACAAAACCTGGGGGACTGCCCTGGAGGGTCTGAGACAGACGAGTCATGTGATGCTCTATACTGTTTTTGGAATGATGTCACCGTCGTTTTTGCTTTTGGCTTATTTGTTGATCGGCGTTGATCGGGTGATTCGATGAGATCAATGGCCCAGTTGAGCGTGTTATTTATCATATGCCCGGGCTTGGGTGATGTTGGAGGATGTGATGTCCGCGAGAATATATATAACTGCTACCTACGGAGTAGTTCGCATGGAAAAAGTGACTTGATTGTCAACCCGAACACAACCCCAGAGCTATGTGATTTCCATACCAGTAGATACCGACCAAGAAGCGAATGAACAAAAATAATCAGGTCAAAGATGATCTCGACGAAACAGAGAGAGAAAAAGAACCAAACAAAAAGAAATTGCTCACACTCGGAATCGAACCGAGGATCTCATCATTACTAGTGATGCGCTTTACCGCTAAGCCATGCGAGCTGATTGATGTATGGGTGAGCTCTAGTTGTATACAGGAGCAAACCGGTAATAAGTTCATAAGAAAAACAGAGATACTCTGAAGCTCAAGCTTCCTGGGACTCAGGTTCCAAAAATGTGCGATCATCCCTCTTCAAATTACCCCAGTCGATTGCGCGCATACAAAAGAGTACGGAGTACAGCCATCCCCCGTGTGATTTGCATCTTTCGCGGGGATTTCCGTATGATACGCAGTACGCGAGAAGCTTGGACCTGGATCTGCAGTATTGCTGGTATTACAGTTACATCTGCAACCAGCTTGAGGTAATCCTTTTCCGTCCAAAGATTCTCCGCAAGTTTCCAAGTTCCTACACTCTCCCTAGGTAAAGGGCTCCAGATAGTTTGCTTTGTCTTCTATCTTACTGTAAATGATGCGCTGGCTGTAAATGATTCATAGTCTCATTCCGCACATTCTATCATGGCGCCCCGAAATATCCGCTCGGCCAATCCTGCCGAGCATCAAAACTCGTTTAGCCGATCCTTTACATCCAGCTCGCCTATTGCTGCTTCAGCAATCGCACGGGACCTTGCAAACTACAGTGAAGAGGATCAAACACCCACTGATGAAGCTTCCGACATCTCAACAGCACGCCCGCCCGCCAGTTATACCAGCACCAACCCCCGCTCTTTAGCTGGTTCCTATCGTCGGCCTAGCTGTGTCACGTCTGTGAGCCACGGAACTATAATTCCATGGGCGGGAGACCAGCAATCGCTGTCTCAAAGCGAGCGCGAGCAAGTCATTGAAGAGGAACGCCACTTACTGAGCGATAACCATGTTATCCCGCCTGAGCATGCACATGGCAAGTCCCACAGTCTCCAACGTAAGATGAGTGGTATGCTTTCTGCTGCCATTGGTCAAGGCCTCTCATCTCGACGGCCAAGTGCTTCTTCCCGGCGCTCTAGAAGCAGAGACCCGGAGACAGACGCGGCAAGTGAAACCACTGCTCTACTTGGGGAGGGTCCTGCCGACACTGCAGGCAGTGAAATGGACTTGGAGGAGATTGACCGAAGATGGGTCGAAGCCGTTGCAGCAGGCCTAATTCACACGACTTGGCAGCGTGAAGCCAAGGTTATCATGAAATACTCTTTGCCTCTCATGGTCACTTTCTTACTGCAGTATTCCTTGACCGTGGCTAGTATCTTTACAATTGGTCATCTGGGCAAGGAAGAGCTTGGAGCCGTCAGTCTCGCCAGTATGACCGTAACTATTACCGGAAATGCTGTGTACTCGGGCCTGGCGACCAGTTTGGATACACTTTGTGCCCAGGCATACGGCTCTGGAAAGAGAAAGCTGGTGGGTCTGCAGATGCTACGTATGGTGTATTTTCTGTGGACCATTACCATACCAATCATGGTTACCTGGTACTTTTCGGAGCATATCCTTGCCAAGATTGTCCCGGAGAAGGAGGTCGCTGAGATGGCGGGCCTGTATTTGAAGATTGCTCTTTTGGGAACCCCAGCGTTTGCTTGCTTTGAGAGCGGAAAGCGATACCTGCAGGCTCAGGGTGTGTTTTCTGCGTCCCTGTATGTTTTGCTTTTCTGCGCGCCACTGAATGCGTTTCTCAATTGGTTCCTCGTCTGGGTAAGTACTTTTCCAGCTCATTGGGAACGATCATACTGATTTTGATATTAGAAACTTCAATGGGGCTTCATTGGAGCTCCGATTGCCGTCGTGATCACAGAGAATCTCCTCCCACTCTGCTTGTTCATCTATGTATATTTCTTTGTGGGATCCGAGTGTTGGTGCGGATTTACCACACGAGCATTCCAGAACTGGGGTCCGATGATCCGTCTCGCACTCCCAGGGTTGATCATGGTCGAGGCGGAATGTCTGGCTTTCGAGATTCTGACGTTGGCATCAAGCTATTTCGGCACCTCGGCACTCGCAGCGCAGTCCATTCTAGCCACCATCTCCAGCATCACATGGCAAATCCCATTCCCCCTCTCTATCGCAGGTAGCACGCGGATCGCCAATCTCATCGGCGCTACCTTGGTCGATGCCGCAAAGACCTCCGCAAAAGTGAGCTTCTGTGGAGCGGCAATCGTCGGCATGTTTAACATGGTCCTTCTTTCAACTTTGCGGTCATATGTACCCAGGCTATTTAGCTCTGACCCCGAAGTTGTTGAAATTGTGGCGCAGGTCCTTCCAATCTGTGCGGCTTTCCAGCTATTTGATGCTCTTGCAGCCAACTGCAACGGAATTCTCCGTGGGCTGGGTCGTCAGGAGGTGGGCGGATACATCCAGCTTTTCTGTTACTATGTGGTCGCTCTGCCCCTTAGCATAGGCACTGCATTTGGTTTGAACTGGGGCGTGATGGGCTTGTGGACTGGTGTTGCCCCTGGGCTTTGCCTAGTTTCCCTCATCGAGGCCATTTTCATTAGCCGGGCTAACTGGAACCGCTCTGTCGAGGAAGCTCTGGAGAGGAATGAGTTAACGTGAATGGATAAACAGATCCCCGGTACATACGAGGAGATGCGTTAACATGATTTGATATGTTGTTCATGATAAAAAGAGACTTTGACATCTTTCCAGCACATGTGTTTATTTATTTTGTACTTCGTCCTGCACCAGCGGTGGTTCCAATGTATGTATTTCAGTTCTAGCCCTGTTTTCAATCTCATCTACATTATGGCAGTCTACTGAGGCCATTCCTACTTCGGATTTCCTCCATATTCAAACCTCCTCCCCACTATGGGCTCATATCAAGACTCAGAAATATCAATTTCCCTTAGCATTGCGGAGTCTCCCTTTTAGTATATCTTGGAACACCTATCCTCAGACCTGAACACCACAATGTACGGTGGGTATTGATTTTAAGCATGCATAACCCCCTTTACGAGGGGAATGGAGGAATTTTGATATCATTTTACAATTAAAAGCAGCTGTCGACCTCGTACAGTTTATTAACATAATATCTACCTCCTTTATAGAGCTTCCCTTTCAACCTCTATTTCAATTGTCTTTGTGCCTACCTAGTATCCTGACTGCTTTGTAATATAGGCAAAACCGAAGTGGTATTACACTGGGCTCACTAGACTGCCGTATCTATATGGTTCTACAAGATTCTGGAGATAGAGAGGCCAGAGTCTTTATGGCTGCTGCTGTATAAGAAGACAAATCATGATATCATTGGAGTCTAGATGTGCCCCTTATCGAAAAACACACACATGACCGCTCATATTGCTTTAGTACTCCAGGTACGCCCACGTCTGCTCATCTGTAGTTGAGAAGATCACACCAGCATTGAGCAACTCCTCACCGGCCCTAGCCACATCCGATGCAGGGACGTTGAGTCTCGATGAAATGACCTGCATGTGAATACCTTCTGTTCCTTGAGGCTCATTCTTGAGCAGGGTATAAATCTTCTTCGCAAGGGCCGACATCGTAGCAAGAACCTTGTTTTGCCCAGCACCATCATCTGCACCACCCATAACAGCATCAACACCACCGGCAGCACCGCCAGCAGCAGCGGCGCCCGGTGGACCGCGAGTGAAGAACAAATGCACAGCAGTAGCCTCGAGCAGATGGGTATGTAGCTCATTGATATTCGTCAAGGGCCGAACGGAATGAGCACCAATGTAACGTTTGTTGCCGAAAGACTTGATGGATCCAAAGACGCGTGCGTAGCCATTGATCTCAAGCTCACTCTTTCCATCACCGGGCGCCTTCACGTCGTCGGTATCCATGTTGTCCGCGGTGGTCGAGTCAACCCATTTTTTGACCTCGATCTCGCCTGTGCCGTCGTCGATCTTGTATGTCACGTTTGTGCTCTGTGAGCTGATGTTGCGTACTTGGCCCATGAATAGGACGTTGGCGACATCGGCGCCGTCAACTTGGAATGGCGCCTCGGGGAAGGGTTGGGAGGCATCGAGGACTTGTTTCACTGTCACGGGACGGAGGGTTTTGTTATCCCGATCACCAGTCTGCGTTCATGATTAGCCGAGGTAGCTATATAGATCACCTGGGATTATATGTATACCTTGCCTCCCGCGGGACTGTTAGTCTCGCCCGGCATGAACCCTCCACCGCCGCCACCGCCGCCGAATGAGTTATAATTGTTGTAATTGCCGTCTAGTGAGAGTGTTAGATGATCGAGGGACCCAAAATTTACACGTGTGGAGGATGATACGTACCCATGATGTGTGGTGTTGTGTTGTGGAGAGGAAAATTCAAGATACAGCCTGTCTCTTCAACACCATTTTACTCAATTGGGAGCGTGTCGCACGCGTCGCGGGGATCGTGTTCTGCCCGTCAATACCGCTTTCCAATCTGGACAGGGCCATTTACATACTTCACAGTTGGCTCTTCGACTAACAGATATTTATTGATTGCTCAATTACTTCGCATCGTAGTTAAATAGCGCTGTTTAGAAAACGTCCATTGTCTCCACAAGTTCTGTACGGCTTGCCTGATCTGAACGGCCAAAATGCGCATCAGATACTTGTGTGACATGTCCAACGCATGGGGACTATACTCCGTAGTATAATGTAGATCTGACACATTTGCATCTCGATACTCGAACTAGCTATATCCCATTTAGACCACTGAATTCTCTAGAAACTCGAGAAGTCGACGGTTCTACTTACAGCCCTTGATGCAAATTGTATAAGATTTGTTTGTTCAGTTTGCACGCGGGCGATGGTTGATCCGTGGCTGACCGCCTTTGATTCTCTCGACTTTTTTTTTGCGATTCGAAAAGACGGCGAGATAAGCGACTCGACTTTTCTTCAGGTGTATGAAGTTTAAGTAGTTGAGGATTTACCTGGGTGTCACATTCTTTTCTGACAATAATTTCTGTTGTGATTTTCACAATATCCCGGCCATTGGCGAGCCGAACGAGTTCACGCTTATCACCGCATTTCCATATCAGTCGAGGCTTCACAGCATACAGCAAAAATGCCTCGCCGTGCTGCATCTCCCGCAGAGTCGGAGAATGAGTTCGATATCACAAGCGCCCTCTTCGAACACGACAGCGATTCCGATGATTGCGCAAAGCCCCCCAAGAAGAAAACCCAGAAGCCCGATACCAGCGCAGACCTTGACTTTTTAGGCGAAGATGACGGTGATGCAGCGTTCATTGCGAACCACCAGGCATCTGCCAATCGAAAGGGTGCAAATCTCAAGGGCCGCACCGTGAAGAAGGGAGGTGGCTTCCAGGCAATGGGTCTCAGCGCGACCCTGCTGAAAGCCATCACTCGCAAAGGCTTTTCCGTACCTACTCCGATTCAGCGAAAGACCATTCCTGTGATCATGGATGACAAGGATGTGGTTGGTATGGCTCGAACTGGTTCCGGAAAGACTGCGTCGTTCGTTATTCCTATGATCGAGAAGTTGAAGAGCCACAGCACCACATTCGGCGCACGTGCTCTTATCATGTCTCCATCGCGTGAATTGGCTTTGCAAACTATGAAGGTCGTCAAGGAGATGGGCAAAGGAACAAACCTGACAACAGTACTTTTGATTGGTGGTGATAGTTTGGAAGACCAGTTCGGCATGATGGCGAACAACCCTGATATCGTTATCGCAACACCCGGTCGATTCCTACACTTGAAGGTTGAGATGGACATGGATCTCTCTAGCATTAAGTATGTTGTTTTCGATGAGGCCGATCGACTGTTTGAGATGGGTTTCGCCGCACAGTTGACCGAGATTTTGCACGGCCTTCCTTCAACTCGCCAGACTCTTCTCTTTTCCGCTACATTGCCCAAGTCGCTCGTTGAATTTGCACGCGCTGGTCTACAGGAGCCCAGTTTGATTCGTCTGGATACGGAAAACAAGGTCTCACCCGACCTACAGAATGCTTTCTTTGCTGTCAAGTCATCAGACAAAGAGGGTGCTCTCTTACATATTTTGCACGACATTATCAAGATGCCCACTGGCGAGACAGATATCGGCGCAAGACTACGCCAAGAAGCCGAGAATCCCATGAGGAAACGCAAGAGATCGGATGTCCGCCTCCCAAGCGGTTTCAAGGAATCCCCTACCAAGCACTCAACAATCGTTTTTGCTGCAACCAAGCACCACGTCGATTACCTTTATTCACTCCTCGTCGAGGCAGGCTTTGCCACCTCTTATGCTTACGGTTCCCTGGATCAGACCGCTCGTAATCAACACGTTCAAAACTTCCGATCCGGTATCTCCAACATCCTGGTTGTCACCGATGTGGCCGCCAGAGGTATCGATATTCCTGTTCTTGCCAATGTCATCAACTACGATTTCCCCTCACAGCCCAAGATTTTCATTCACCGCGTTGGTCGTACTGCTCGTGCTGGCCAAAAGGGTTGGAGTTACAGTCTTGTCCGCGACAAGGACGCACCTTATCTCTTGGACCTTCAGCTGTTTTTGGGACGCAGGCTGGTTCTCGGTCGCCAATATGGCACTGAACTCAACTTTGCGGAGGATGTTGTTGTGGGCACCTTGGCAAGAGAACCCATTTCTCGCGCCTGTGAATGGGTGCAGAAGGTTCTTGACGATGATGTAGATATCCTCGGACAAAAGCAAGTCTCCCAAAAGGGAGAGAAGCTTTACCTCCGCACCCGCAATTCGGCCTCTGCCGAAAGTGCAAAACGGTCAAAGGAGGTCGTTTCTTCTAATCACTGGGCTGAGATTCACCCGCTCTTCAACGACGCAGCTAGTGAGAGAGAAGTTGAGCGAGAGAGTATGCTCGCTCGCATTGGTGGCTACCGGCCACAAGAGACAATCTTCGAGGCAAACAACCGACGAGGCGGCAAAGTGGCGGATAATGAGGCCGTTGACACCATTCGACGACTCCGCACCAGTGTCGAGAACAAGAGAAAACGGGCGGATGCTAAAGCAGAGGCCGAGGCATTGGCACTTGGTATGCCCGCTACCGCCGAGGACGGTTACAACGAAGAAGACGAGGATATTCCCGAGCAAGTTGGGGAGAACATGTCAGAGGCATCCGACGATGAGCTCGAGGTTACCTTCTCTTCCTACAACGCAAGCAAATCCAAGCAAGGAGAAAAGAAAGATGCAGCTGCAGCATTCCAGAACCCCGACTATTTCATGGGCTACACACCTCAGCACACCGACATGGCCGAGGACAAAGCCTACGGTGTGCACTCCGGCACCAACTCGAACTTCGCCAGCGACTCCCGCAGCGCGACCATGGATCTCAACGGCGATGAAGGCAAGCGTGGCTTCGGCGAAGCACGGTCCGTTATGCGTTGGGACAAGCGACACAAGAAATACGTTGCGCGCCAGAACGACGAGGACGGCTCCAAGGGCAGCCGACTTGTACGCGGTGAGAGTGGTGCCAAGATCGCCGCCAGTTTCCGCAGCGGTCGCTTCCAGGCTTGGAAGAAGGGCAAGCGCGTGGAGCGGATGCCTCGTGTTGGCGAGGCCGAGACTCCTGCCATGAACAACGTCAACTCGCGCATGGCCAGTGGACGATTCCGCCACACTCAAGACCGGGCGCCTAAACAGGCGGATCCTCTGCGCCGCGACTACGACCGGATGAAGAAGAAGAACGAGGCAGCACGTGAACGCCAGCATGAGAAGCTGGGTGGTGCGGCATACGGCGGCAAGAGCGAGCTTCGGTCTACGGAGGACATTCGTAAGGCACGCAAGCAGCAACAACAGCGTCGCGATAAGAATGCTCGGCCATCGAGGAAACGCTGAAGGGATGTTCTAGATGAAAACTGTAGAATATATATGTCTATATTGCAGAGATACCACAATTTGTGTTCGGAGACTTTACATTATCGCTCTGTCTTATTCCGAATCCGAGATTCTGGAACCGCCTAGCTCACCACATGGGAAGAAGTCGTGTAGCCTTGGACTCCTATACGAAGACCGATTGCAAAGGAGGCCATGATCAACATTGGAACCTGACCATGCACGAAGTCGTCACGTTTAAACCCTAGCTCAACCTTGTACGGAGTTACTCCGTACCCTGATCCAGGATGTGATAACGGCCCAATCACGCCCTAGCGGAATCGGGCATCCCCTAGTCACCGTTGGCAGATGTTCGGTCAAAAGTACCGGTTCGCAGCAAAGTGCCGAGCGTGTAAAGCTCTGGGCGAACAGGCCATAATTATTCTTATATCGTAGGGTTTCGACGTTGGCACTAGGAGAATTTCCAAGGATAGTCCCGAATAATCTCCGTGTGAACCGGAACTATTAGCGAAGATCCGGCGATTTTTGATCTGATCAGTTCGAAGCATCCAATCCTCTCTCTCCACACTCCACTTTCATAAAGTCGGACCTTTTTTTGGGGGGGGAAGAACTAGGCGACACTATGCCCGGAGCGGTAGGAGTATACCCTGTGCCGTTGGTCTTTGGACACGAATAATAGGGAAGGACGATGGATTATGATTGGCAGCCGAAGGATTCCGAAAACAACCAACCAGACACGTCGATTGTCCAGACTATTTAATCCTGCATGAACGGGGGTGACAGACCCCTTGCTGCTCCGCGTGCCGCATGTTCCACACCCCTTTTTTCCCATCGGATCATGCCGAGTTGATGTCGAATGGGGATTATCGAGTGGGATACTCGGACGGAGTACGGACATGTTGGAATATACCGAGCTATCTACCGAGTACGGAGTGTACTCCCGTACATGGGATGTCCCCCCTGGACATTTGGTGTGGACTTCCACGGTATGTACGGAGTACGGAGTACTCCGTACGGAGTCGTGAGAGATAGGGAGTACGGCGTCTCGCCTTTGTCCCCAACGGTGAACACATCCCAATTCTCATGACGTGAGATCGCTCTGGAATCCTGCAACACGCCAGGGATGACGGGGATCAACAATGCGCACGCGCAGCGGTAAAGGGCAATGTGATCGCCCCCGGCGCCGAAGGCTGCAGCCACATCGCGGTCGGGGTCCCCGGAAAATAAAGTAGGGAAGGATTCCTCAGTTTCAGAGGTTTCTCTCCTTTGACCCTTTCTCTTTCAAGGTTCCTTCAGCCCAGTGAAAAAGGTCCGAGTCCAACAGTAACATGGAGAACAAAGCAGGGTATGACAGGTTCCTGATTACTGCGAGACTCGGTATCACACGGGTGCCGCAACGCATTTCCAGAAATGGGCCCCCAAATTCCCCCAAATCAGGAGGAAAAACGCAGGAAAAGGGGGATGATGGTGCCTGCAGTTGGTCCGACCCTGTGAGACCTTCCCATGATCTCTTGTAACCGTAACCCCCTAGACGGAGTATAAAAAGAAGGTACAATGATCCCGGAGAATAACGGCATTTCCGTTGGCCAAGGGTCCAAGGGTTTGCAAGTGCCGGATAATTCGGTCCTATAGTTGGTCGCATTATTCAGATTCCTATTTTTTGGCCATTTGGGCCTACACGGCCTGTAGCAATAGGGGAAGTCCGAGGAAGCGTCAGCCGCGTATATCGCTATTAATGGCGATTGCAACCCTGTTCCGTTGCGGTTACTACTGAGGGATCTAGGTCCCAGGTCGATACAACGTTTCCTCGACGCAGTACATACGGAGTACGGAGGACATGTAGTATAACCCGCAATACTCCATATTTCATATTTTGCACACAATTAGCAGGAAAGCAAGACGGTACTAAAGCAATAAAGCAATAAAGCAATAAAGCAATAAAGCAATAAAGCAATAAAGTAATCAAGCAATCAAGCAATAAAGTAAAAAGGGAACGGAGTAACCAAGTAATCAAGTAATAGAGTCATAAAGTACCCGGAATGCACATAGTCCACGCCGGGCTCGACTATTGGCAATGGCTGCGGGCGCCGACGTCGATCCGTCAATCTTTCCACCTTGCTTCTCCGGCCCTGATTGGCATACAGCCCCTCTCCGAGGAAACTTGATGAAATCGGGAAAAAAAAGGGAAAGAGAAAAAAGAAAAGAAAAGAAAAAAGAGAGCAAAAGAAGTCTCCTTTCACTCCTACGGAGAAACGGAATCCGATCCCCTTCCTTTCTGCGACGGAGTACCTGGAGTCTCCGGTCACTGACAGCACTCTCTGTCTAATGCAAGCCACCTGGGAATGGTCTAATAATAAAGAGAAAAGGGTGATCCCCATTTCTCTCAAATAATATGGAGAAAAGAATAAAAAGCGTGCATTTATCCAAGAGAGGGGGGTTAACCCCCCCCCAATGATCTACCATGACGAAGATCAAGTCTATCAGCTACTAGCGTCTGCACTGACCACTATCTCTTTCTTAAGATACTCAGGACTATCGAACGCCTTGGTCCTATCTACTCCGTAGAGGGGGGGGGGAGCAATCCCCTGTTGTGTATCTATTCCTACTCCTTTTGGGAGGAGATGCATCTTATTCTCGGTCTAGCTCACCGTTTCCTCTGTGCACAATCCCTCGATTTGGGAACGTGGGACGTGTGATCGAGACACAGAGAGGTAAGGCGTGGGGGGGGAGGGGCTTTGACATTTCCCTGCACCTTGATCCTAGCTCGATGATCGACCGCCATGCAATAAGTCGCCCTGGGGTGGGAAGACCTGCGCGGCTATGAGTAACCCTGTGCCCTGCTGTCATGATCTGGAAATCTCCCGCTGATCGATGCAGTCTATTTTCTGACTCCTCCAATAGCGGATCTCTCCACCACTGATTATAAGCTCGGTTGGGTCCTCGGACAGCCTGGGAGGCCTGGATGATCGTATATTGATATCCTTTTTTTTCTCCCTTCCCCTACACCGCTGCAGTTTCTTCCCTTCCCCTCCTTAGGCATTTTATTCGTCAGATATGCTGCTTCGAAGTACAGGATCCAAAGCCAGTGGCCCCTGCTTGTGAGTTCGCATATCAGTCTGGGGAGAGAAGCAGAAGAGGGGAAGAAAAAGAAAAAACCATAAAAAACAAAAGCATTTGCCCCGTGGGCCCTTTCCAGTTCCTGCCCGACGCCCGATGCAATCACTCGTGCTTCACCCCCCGAGCCTCACTACCTCCCAGTTCGGACAGCCCCGGTTCAACTCGGGCCCAGAGCGGCTGCCGTTGAATCGATCTTGGTCTCCCAATGCTCGAGCGTGTAGCCCCCGGGCTCCTATCCCCCGTCAATCTATGTCTGGATCTTCTACGGCGGAGCCCTTGGAATCATCCGCAGAGCCCAAGCCTCGAGGACGTCCCTCTCCCGTAGTCACGGCTGAGCGGTCTGCTGTACCCGTATCTGCCTTGGAGCTGTCGCAAGTACCGGGCAATGAGCCACTGCCACGATTGGGATATAACGAACAGGGACCTCTATATGCGGCATCTCCACGGCAACTACCAGGAGCACCATATCCACTCTCAGCACTGGACCCAACTCATCCGCCAGCAGGTCGCTCGCTGGCACAAAAGTCAACGCGACGTACGAAAGCCCATGTAGCCTCGGCCTGTGTCAACTGCAAGAAAAAGCATCTTGGATGCGATCCGGCCCGTCCGTGTCGAAGATGCGTGCTTGCCGGGAAAGCTGTGAGTTTTGGACCATTCCCCTAAATCCGGGGACTATCACTAACCGACAGCAAACAAAAGTCAACATGTGTCGATGTCACCCACAAGAAGCGAGGACGGCCCCCATTGAAAGCAGAAGATTCATCTCTCAGGTCCTATACCACACATTTGGATAATCCGACTATTCCAGCAGAAACCCAACCAACCATGGCCCCGCGCCGGACCATCATGCATCGCGCCACGTCCTCACGAGAACTACGACCCATGACGGATCTACAGGGATTAGGCGATGTAAACTCAGGAGTACGAACGCCACATCGGTGGTCCGCTTCGGTATTTCCTCTGACGCGACCAATGGATCCCTCCCCCACGATGCCGGCGGGTGTGGGTCGACGGCCATTCTCTTCATCTGGACCGCCATCATACTCGGTGCCGACACATCCACACATGCCTCCAGCCTACATGCCAATGGCAGGTGGTTTCAATCCAGTGCTAAAACCTAATTCCATGTCTGGCATGGAGCGGCGGTTCCCAACATACGGTGTTCCAGCATTACCTCCGCCAACATCGCCTCCCCAGCACCAGCTACCACCCGCCGGGACTCCCTTTCTACCATACTCCGAAACACCCAACAATCCTATTCGTCCGCCAATAAGCGACCCACGAGTATCGCTGTCACCTCGGGATCCATACAATATCGAATCCCCAGTCCGCCTCCCCCCAATCCACCAGGCCACTGCTGGACCACCGCCTCCTCACCATCACGTCCATCGCCTGAGTGACCCCTACCCAACAAATTGGACTCTTCCAGGTCGAGAAGAGACGCACCATGACCCTCGCGCCATACCCTTTCACAGATCTGCAGGTCCTGCCTTTCACTATTCCGTCCCTCATCAACGTTCTTCCTCCATAACAAGTGCGACTATGGACCCCATCCCTCGCCATCTCGGGCCAGTAGAACTGCCATCCCCCATCCAAGCAACCTTGGGCAGCTCACCTTCTATGCCGAGGGCTGAGCCACCTACCACCGAAGCCGAAGGTCACGACAGCAGACCAATCAAACGGCGCAAGATGGCTTTGGACGATATGGTCAACGGTTGATTTTTGACACAATTGCCCGCAATTCTCATCCAATCCAGCACAGATTACAATCGGGGACCAAAGTTCCCCCTTTGTATTGTATAACTAGTCTGATTCCCAGTAGCAGGGTCTACGGGGACTAATCATCACACCATCCACAACACTTTGCCGGTGCAAGCACCGGGCAAAGGATCCAACCAACATTTGTGATTCTCTTGTTTTGTTTTTCCAAAGGGCAGAGCATGAAAAGGTCTCTGTTCTCATTTCCCGGGGTTTGATTTTTGGTTTTCTCATTTCCTTGTGTTTACGTGCGAAGATATCACATCCGCATTGTTTTATGGTCTGCTTTTTTTTGGTTGCATCTATCATATCCATGCCATGACAACTTTCGAATTTGCTCGTCTTCACAAGGAAAGACGGCGGCTGGTTGCGGGGGTCTCTTTTGTCCAAGATTTCCTTTGTTATGTCCTGAATTTTCCCATCTCTCATGCCTCACATCTCATTTGTCAACTTTTCCTTTGCCTGATTCCCCCTCTAGCGACTACTCCCTCCAGCTTATGCGCGATTTTTGTACCCAATGCATGGCACGGCGTTTCGCGGCGAATATGGGGGCGGTCTTGCCTTGATTTTCACACCATTTTAGTTTACTTCCTACTCTTTGCCCGGTGCAAGTAAACAGCGATCTCATTTTCCAGCTGGTTTGGATTTCTAGCCTAGGGTTTGGTTGGCTGGTTTCTATCCCAGCATCTGTGCATGTATGCGATGTATATACAAATGTAGGAACAGCCATTTGCTCATATGATCCTCGGGGCTTTTGTTTGGGGACTTTTTATATAATCCACGTAGGTCGGAGGACTTGATGAACCATCATTCAGTGGTAATTGGGTATGCGGTGTGTGGAATTTCCGCCAAACGATACAATGGTGAGAGAGTTAGGAAGTATAGCTATCCGCATTTCATAAGATACAAGATTTTCGGCCGCCCACGGGCGTCCTCTTATCTTTTCACGATGCTTTATAGCTTAAACACATAAGTCATAATAGAATAGAGAAACATAGAGTGCCGCATGAATCAAGCTCTAGTAAAAGTAATGTCCCGCACCCCATTTCCTTAAGAGCGAAATGTCGCTCTATCAACAAAAAAGGAGAGGCCCTATATTTTCCTAGTCACCTAAGCCTAGTTATACAAAACGTATATTAACGTAGCCAGTTATCTACGTATCGAAGTAATATATTTAGAATACCTATCTCTATATCTTATAAACCTATATATTACCGTTAACTAAACTAATAAGTACGCCTATCACTTACACTTATTACGCTTCCTCGCACTATTATCTTACTCTACGTTATCTATAGAATTATTAGTATTATAGTCGGATTTAAAAGCCTTACGGGGATCACCCCCTCTACCGCGAGAAGAAGCCTTACGCGTAGCTTTAGAACCCGACTTAGATATTAAGTTATCCGACTAATTAGAGGAAGAAGTATCCGACTTATTAGAGGAAGAGGTATCCGACTTATTAGAGGAAGAGGTATCCGACTTATTAGAGGAAGAAGTATCCGACTTATCCGTAGATATAGATTTAGTATCGGATAACTTATAGTCCGAGTAGGAGCTAACGCGTATATATATAATAGATGTATTAACCGGTATAGACGGAGATACGTTAGGAACTAAGATAGGGGATAAGGAAATATACTTACCGGTTAGGCCTATACTATTAGTAGAGGGAGCTTAAGTAGTCGAAGGTTATATCCCTAAGATAGTACTAGGTACGCTCTCGTTATTAGGACCGGCGTGCTAGCGGGTCCTAGTAGGTAATATAGAACTAGAGTGAAGGAATAGTAGGGTGCTAGTATATTTATAAACTAATCGCTAAAGAGCTAAGTTCCCCTAGTAGTCTCTATATAGATGACCTTTAGCGGGTTATAGGACTAGGTCACCTAACCCGGTAGGACTTAGTCTCCTTAGTGCGGTCTCTAGCGGGGGGGTTATACTACCCCTACTAGGTCACGGGTTCTAGGTCATAGGACTAGGCGGGATCTAGCCTATAAGGCACTCTCCTAGTAGAGGGTCGTAACATTTTCCCCCTCCTTAAAGAGCTACGTCCTCGTAGCTAAGGGTCGGGGGTCGAGGGTCTCTTATAGTCGAGATAGGGAGGGTTCGAAAATAGTATATATATCTAGCTATCTAAAAGAGGGTAATTTATCTTTATAGTGGAAGGTATAGATAGACTCGGAGCTTTAAGCGTTATCTCTCTTTATCGCGTATAATCTAAGTTCTTTATATATTTTTCACTTATCTCTCTTCGAGTTATAGCTTTCTTCTTTCTATACTTCCTCGTCTTTTCGCTTTTTCTTCTTATAGCTTTTCGTCACTTTACTTTTCTTCTTATAGCTTTTCGTCGTCTCGCTTTTCTTACTATAGGTTATTTCGACTTATTATAGTAGCTCCCTTTCCTCTAGTCGCGAGTACGACGTATACCTCTATTAATAATTACGCCCCTCCGGCCGTCGTCTCCCCTACTAACCCTATAAGTGCGTAGTATCGGCGTTATATAGACCGTCTTAGATATAACCCGGGGTATATATATATCCCTCCGCCTAGCGGGATTAACGTTAATACTCCCCGGTATAACTATTATACGAGGAAGCGGTAGTCTTATATAATAGTAAGTATAGACCTCCGTTTATATTAGCGGTTATTAATATTCCTTAAGTCGATTCTAGGCTCGACGCTTAAGCTAATACTTATATCTTAGCGCCCTATACTACCCCTACGTAGAATATATCGTTCCTTACGATTATATAGGGGTTTTAAGGTACGCGGAATACTTTAACTCGAGATATCTATATAGGTATAGTTACGCCTTTTAGTCCTTCTCGCGTTACGCCCTCTCTACCTTCTCTACCCCCTCCGCCTCTTTCGATATAGGTTTTATTAATAAGTCGGGTTATAAGTTAGCTTCGGGCGTCTCCTTAGGCTAGGTTATATATATAGCGGTAAGAATATAGGCGTATCTTAGAGGTTACTTATCTAGTATAGGTAGTTATTACGTTATACCCTTAGAGAGTGTTAGCTATATTACTTTTCGTCTTATTTTTCGGCGATAAACTCCTATATATCCTTATTATATATCTATAGTCTCTTTAAGATATTTTTTATCCGCTCCTTATCTTTACTAGTATTCTAGATCCTCCCCTAATCTATCTATAGCGTATATTAACGTAGCTAGTTATTTTCTAGGGGTCTATTCGGTAGTTAGCTATTAGGTTTAGCGTTCTTAAGCCTACTCTAGTCCTTCTAACCTTCCCGGAACGTATCTAGTAGTAGATTCTAGGTTATATTAACTTCTTCTTTATAGATCTTCCTTAGCGTATTATACACTCTAGCCGTTCTTTCTTTTTATTATAATAGCTCTCGAATATTAGTATATCTTCTACGTTTTCTCTCGGCTCCTAAGTATTTTCCTTATACCTATATCCTCTCTATTTAATAAGGTATTCTACGCCCTTACGGTTATCGGTAAGGATCTCCTCAATCTCTTATTTAGGTTAGTTATCTACTAGTATAGAATCGGGCCGCTCTTAAGCTTTTAGCGGATCTCTATAGTATAGCTCTAATATTAAAGTATATTATATAGGGTAGATCTTACGGTATCTTAGTATAAGGATTAGTTAGTATATCTATTATCCTACTATACCTATTATCGCGAAGGGTCTTATATAGCGGTTATCTAGCTTTTTATACGGTCGTCCTAAGTTAATATACTTATTTCTTAGTATAATCTATTATCTAATTATAAAAGACTTCTCTATATATTTCCTATCGTAGGCTTACTTTATTATAGTTTTCGACTCTTCTAGGCGCTTCTTTAGTATTTCTTATATCTTTAGTATTTCCTTTACGCGGCTTTTAGCGTCGTCGTAGGTTTCTATCTTCCTATTTAGTACTAACGTTCTTAGTTCTAGTTAGAATCCTAGTAATACTTCGGCCGGGGATATTTTTAGTACGCTATAGGTAGTAGTATTATAGATAATCTATATAAGAGAGATTTATCTTATTTAGTCGTTCTAATACTAGCTTACTATATTACGTAGGTAATACTTAATATTCTAGTTTTATCTCTCTATCTACCCGTCGGTTTATAGGTAATAGGCTATTAATAGCCTATATCTTATAGTAAGAAGGTAGTAGAAATAGCTCTAGAATTTTAATATAAAGATAGTACCTCTATTACTAACGAGGTTTTCTAGTATTCCCTATAGGGGTATAACCTTTTCGTAAAATAAGGTTATAAGTTTTAGCGAGTCTACGTCCTTAGTATAGGAAATATAGAGGGAATATTTTAAAAATAGATCGATTATAACTATAATTACGTTATAGGCCTTCCCCTCTTATTTTAAGGGTAGTAGGCCTATAATAAAGTCTACGCTTATTTACTAGCCTAGTCTCTCTAATACTAGTAGTAGTTCGAGTAGTCTATATAGCTTATAGCGTTTAATAGTATTAGACTAATAAATCTAGTATATAAGGACGTAGTCCTATATATCCTTAATAAGGGTTTTCTATTAGTATTTACGTCTAATAGCTTATAGCGTTCTTTTCCTTATATAATAGCCTACCTATAGATCGTTATAGTAGATCTTTATAATTTCCTAGTAGATTACGGGTTCGCCTTCGGGAATATAGATATAGTTATTATATCTTAGTAGTCTATCCTAGCTCCTTACGCTCTATCGTATCTTCGGGGGTTATTTAAAGTCGCTAGTTTCCCGTACCTTTCTAAGCGTATTCCTATAGAACTTATTCTTCGCCTATATCTTAAGTATAAGTTCTACTATAGTTTCTAACGGCTCGTAGGTATATACGGTTTCTCCTTTAGCTACTTCGCGTACCTTCTTTTAACTCGGTAGTCTATTCGTCGCGGGCTTAGTAGGGATCTTTACGTGTACTATAGTTATTATAGCGCCTAAGTATATCGTATCCCGTAAATCCCTTTAGTAACTAGTACCTTT